TACCTCAGCCGAGAGTTTGACCTACATGGCGCCGCTCTAGGGCGAGGGACTCCCGCAATCAACCCTTTAACGGGCCCTGGAGCCACCGCCGCATGGGGGAGTACAATAAATGCTTCCCCCCCACACACTCGAAGATAGATTTAAAGGATACCTTGCCAAGGCCTAAAAACCGCCAAAGTTGTGACAAAATGCTACAGGGAAGGAGAAACCTGCCAATGCAGGGGAAATTCCTTCCCAGTTCTGAATACAGCAACCATCTTACAACCATAGCAGCGCCCACTGACCTGGGACGCAAAATATTACGCTGCAAGAAAATATTATTAATTTGGGAGGGTTGGCTGGGTGAACCTGGAAGAGGAGGAAACAAAGTGAGGTTTGGCCGAAGGGGTCGGCCTCTTTTCCCCTGGCCCTCGCCCCACCCCCAGCCATTGTCCTCCCAAGCTGGGGGTGGGACGATGGCCACCCTAACGCAGGTGGGAGGCACCTGACCAGGTAAGCCTGCTCGGTGTCACAAACCCCACCCACCTGTTGGGAAGGGAGGGTGGCAATTGCCACCCAACACCAGCAACATTATAAACCTCCACACATAATTGGGTGGCAGGTTAGCATTACTAATCTTCCATGTTTTTACTGGTCCACCATTGTATAAAAGGTAAAGGGACCCCTGACCATTAGGTCCAGTCGTGGCCGACTCTGGGGTTGCGGCGCTCATCTTGCTTTATTGGCCAAGGGAGCCGGCGTACAGCTTCCAGGTCATGCGGCCAGCATGACTAAGCTGCTTCTGGCGAACCAGGGCAGTGCATGGAAACGCCGTTTACCTTCCTGCCGGAGCGGTACCTATTTATCTACTTGCACTTTGATGTGCTGTCGAACTGCTAGGTTGGCAGGAGCAGGGAACGAGCAATGGGAGCTCACCCTGTCATGGGGATTCGAACCACCGACCTTCTGATCGGCAAGTCTTAGGCTCTGTGGTTTAACCCACAGTGCCACCTGCGTCCCTCCACCTTGTATAGTATAGTATAAAATAGGAACCGGGGAGGGTCAGGAGTTAATCCAGACATCAGCACAATAAGCTGTCAGCGCTGTCAGAGCACTTGTTGCCTATTTCAGAAGGGCAGGAGGGTCCTTAAGAAACTTGCAGTGCCCCTCCTTAACCACTGAAACAGTCTCCCCATGAGAGCATGGCACACACTTCCTCTCTTCTGCCATCTTTAAACCCATTCCCCAACCCTTCTGATCCCTAGAACATAGACAGAGAGCAGGAAATCTATGGACTAAAGGTGCTTGAAGAATTTGGTTCCTGTGAATTCTGATGCAAAAATGGACCTGATCTGCACCTCCCAGACTTCTGTGTGGCCTCTGAAAGTAATTATCCTTCAGCCTCGTTTGGGGAGGAACACACACAGGTGTGCATTGTGTTCTCTCAACAGGCCGACACCTCGTAATGTAAATACTTCTCTCCTTTTTGTAAATGTGGGCCAATTTTTAGGGTTCCTAAAAAGTCCACCCATAAATGAGGCAAAACAGAGTTGTTGTCTTTTGCAGTGGAAGTGAAACCGGCTCAGGACAGTTATATAGGGATCCATCCTTCCATCCCAAATTAGGATCTTACAACCATAATGCCTTGGCCTATTCTGACACACACGGATTGGGGCCAGTGTTATAGACCCTCTTAGAAATGCTCTCGCACAGATCCACAAAAGGGCTACACCTTTTGCAAAAGCAGAATGACCTTTTCTTGAGCCAGAGTGTCGGCTTGCTGAGAGAGCACAATGCACTCCTGTGTGTTTTTCTCCCCATACAACCTGCATCTGACGACATAATAGCTCCTGCAACGGCAGAGCAGAAAAGAGAAAGGCTTTGGTCCATTGTTTAGGTGAAGCACACGGTGTCAAACCAGATCCAGACAGCATATGCCAAGAACAGTGAAATAATTCCATTGTTGGTAACATGGTTGGGTGCCACATTTTCCAGAACAAATACACACATCGTCCTAAATGGCGAGGTGGCATTCAATAGAAATCGAGGCATTCCCACATAAGCTATTTGTCATGGCAACAAAGATGCCCCACTTTCCCAAACTGTACTCTAGCTAGTTTACCTTCTCAGAGTGATGAAATGACACACATAATGGTTATTTCATATAGAAGTGGTTCACACATAGCACTTGAATTATTGTCTTTTTTAATATAGGACAGCTACATATTCCTGTAATGAAGAGGGTAGGACTAAATGATGCTCAGGGTCCCTTCCAACTCTACAATTCTATGATCCTATGATCACTGTGAAGATAAAAATGGGAAACAGTGGGTAGCACTTTTCCACGAGTGCTTTATAAATGACAGAACATTTAATGCTTCTTATTCTCCGGAAGGTTTGAAGCATATTCTTAGAAGCCAGACTTAGAGCCTATTCAGAAGGCCAAAGTAGCTTACCAACATCCCATGCAGAGATGTGCTAAAATGTGTAGTAAAACAGGCATCTGAAGCTGGACTACATCCATTTTTGGACTCCCAAACTGCTATAACTGCAGCAAGTTAAACTAGCCGGCCACCTGACATATTGGAATGCACACACACACACACACACACACACACACACATTTCCACAGTATCCCAAAGCAATTGGAAGGAAAAGATGGCACGGATGACTAGAGAGATGTATGAAAGCCAGAAAGCCACAGGAGGGCAATAATAATGTTTAATGGTTGGTAAGCAGCTTTCCATTTTCTGCTGCACTCGTTTTCGTGTTGAACTGGGGGGGGGAGAGAGAGAGAGAATGAAATCCTTTAAATATCAGTTTCGTACATCTGGAAGGCATGAAATATCACTAGAGACATAATGGAGCTGCGCCCAATGAGAATTAAACATAGCAAACATCCTCTCTGTTGATTTTATTTGAAGAGTTTCCTTGGGGTGATGGATAACTTTGAAAGGAGAATAAATGAGGCTATTTATAAAAACTTAATAAACTCTGTGCTTTAATGTTGTAGAGAAATGGCTGTTTTTGCTGCCTAAAATTCAGGCTATCATAAATGTCAGAAGAAAATTGCTCAGCGTACTACTCCTGTCTTATTTATTGTTTACTAGAAAGAAAAGTGGAACCCTGCCTCCTATGCTCTGCCTTATATTACTGCTTATATTTTCAACTGTAGATGAAAATGAATGACCCAAGGTATATGTTTTCGGGTCATTCTAGTTTGCTGTAGTCCATCACATTTGTCAATAAAGTCTGGATCCTACACATTGAGCATGAGAAGATGGGGGTGAAGTGGTACTTGTCTTGGTGGGGGGCAGAATGGACTGCTCTACCGCAGACTACTGATGGAGGGTCAATTTTTTATGCCTATATAGAAAAAGAAAATCCCTGTGTGTAAAAAGCAGCCAGAGGAGAACAGGATTAGGACTTTTCTCCCTGATACTTTGTTGGGGTTTTCCTTGCATGGAATCTTGTAGGCAGAGGGGCATTCAGAAATGGCACTTGACACACACATCCACACTCGCAGCAAGTGGCAACGTAGATTCTGTCACTTCATTCTGCGGCACATACAGACCAGGCATGTACCACATACCCCGCAAGTGTCCCAGAAAAACTGGGACATCCTGTTTTCCCCACAAAAACACAATGGTCATTTTGGGCACCATGATATCACGTGATTTCATGCCAAGGTCTCGCCCCCCCCCAAGCACTTTTTGGAGGGGCCGCGATCTCTTACAGTGCTCAAAACACACATTTTCGGGTACTGTAAGAGCACGCCCCCCCCCCAAAGTGTGCGCTTTGGGCTCCATGATCTCATAAGGGTCACGTGATTCATTTAGGAGCACAGAGAGAGGAAGGTGCACGTTGACTGGCTGGGCTCCCCCTGTGCAAGTCGCTATGGCGGCATCAGCAGCGAGGGCTGGGCTTGCATGGTGGGCTATGTTTATGCTCTGTGGTCCACACTGGCCTGGCATGCATGCACCTGCATGAGCCCCAAGCACCGGCAAACCATGCTATGCCACTGCAATAGATCAGAAGTATATACCCAAATATACTGGTGCCATTTCCAGGTGCCAATGAGGGGAAGAGCACCCATCATGAGCTGGTTTTTGAGGAAATAATATTTCAATGAATATTTTTTTTAAATTGAACCACTAAAATTAAGCTGTGTTTCCTCTGCATTTTCACATCCAAAATGCCTGTTCTATCCTCAAAGCTTGCTTTTCTCTTCTTGCTTTCTTAAATTTGCCATTTCCCACTCCCTTTTGGGTTTAAAACACACACACATACATCTCTGCAGTCTATTTGCTCTGTCAAACAAAACTGTTGTTTGCAATAAATTGTGCTTCCCATTCACAGACAACCTTTATTACTGCCGCTTGTTTGCAGGAGTGTAGTTATAGCATTGTCAGAATTTCTGCTATAAATTTTATTTGATTGTATTTATAGCCTCGCAGTGAAAAGGGCTAACCGTGCTGAAGTTTCTTCAATAGATCTCAGTCCCATAGGATATTTGGTAAAATAAAATAAAATAAAAAAACAGTGCAACATTACTTTGTATTTGGCATCTACAGAACACCTGGTAGGTAACCTTTATGGTACCTTGCAAAATAGTTTACCTTGACCCGGCTATGGGCTCATTCTGCACACACATAAAAAATGGGCTTCTGCCTGCTCTCTTTGCCTGGGGCATTGCAGGGATGGAGAACCTGCAACCCTCTAGTTGTGGTTAGACTCCAGCTCCCAGCAGTCTCAACCAGTATGACCAATGGTCAGTGTGAGGATTGTAGTCCAACAATATCTGGAAGAGCCAGTGGTTCCCTACCCCTGGTGTGTTGCATTTAAAATGCTATTGTGTGCATGATTCCCAAGGCTGGACTAAAAGCTATAGCTGAACTTTTTCAGGGCGAGATCTGTTTGAATTTAAAGCTTTTAATATTCTCATTCTCTCTCTCTCTCTCTCTCTCTCTCTCTCTCTCACACACACACACACACACACACACCTCACAGAATTGTAGAGTTGCATAGCAGGAATATACAGCTTGAACTTTCAACCTTGGTGTTATCAGCACCATGCTTTAACCAACTGAGCTATCCAAGCTGATATATAATGGTAAAGGGACCATTAGGTCCAGTCATGGCCGACTCTGGGGTTACGCGCTCATCTCACTTTATTGGCCAAGGGAGCCGGCGTACAGCTTCCGGGTCATGTGGCCAGCATGACTAAGCCACTTCTGGCAAACCAGAGCAGCACACGGAAATGCCGTTTACCTTCCCGCCGGAGCGGTACCTATTTATCTACTTGAACTTTGACGTGCTTTTCGAATTAGGTTGGCAGGAGCTCACCCTGGGAGCTCACCCCGTCGCGGGGATTCGAACCGCCAACCTTCTGATCGGCAAGCCCTAGGCTCTGTGGTTTAACCCACAGCGCCACCCGCGTCCCAAGCTGATATATGAACATAGACTAAAAAAAAAACCAGTAAATGCTGTATATATAAAAGCAGCATACAATCATCCTATGTCAAAATAGAACCGGGCAGTCCAACCCACGACCCAGAGGCCACATGCAGCCCTCAATGCCTTTTTTGGCAGCCCCTGGCAACATTTGATACCCCCCCTCCGCCCTCCCACTGCCTTCCCAAAGCTGAATAAGTGACAGCACTGGTGTTTGGGAAGGAGGTGTGAGGGCTCCGATAGGGTCCTAGAGTCCTCCTCCTCCTTCCCAAAACCTAGTTAGCACTTGCCCAGCTTTGAGAAGGAAGTGGGAGGGCTCTAGGACCCTGCCAGAGCCTCGCACCTCTTTCCCAAAGCCCAGCAACTTGCTTATCCAGCTTTGTCGGTGCTGACCATTAAAGCCCTAAACCAGAGCTTCCCACACTGTGTGTTGCGACACATTAGTGTGTCAGCTGCAATGCATACGTGTGTTACACAAACGCTCCCCACACTCCTCCCAGGGCTGGAAAGGAGTTCGTTTAACCTCAGGATTGCAAGCAAAACTGAATTACCGTGTCGTGAACTGATGGAAAACTGAATTACTGTGTCGCGAAATGATGCAAAACTGAATTACCGTGTCGTGAAATGGTGCGTGTCCAAAAATTGTGTCACCAACTTGAAAAGTTTGGAAAGCTCTGCCCTAAACGGCTTTGGCCCCATATTCCGGAAGGAACTCCTCTGCCCCCATCGTTCAGCCTGGACACTGAGATCGAGGACTGAGGGCCTTCTGGCAGTTCCCTCACTGCGAGAAGTGAGGTTGCAGGGAACCAGGCAGAGGGCCTTCTCGGTAGTGGCACCTGCCCTATGCTACTGTTGTGGAGGATGGTAGTGATTAAAAAAATCAATCCTCCTGTGAGACTGGAAATGTCCCCTCACTTGCTCAGTTTAGGATATTCCACCATTCTTCAGCAGAGTTTCTTTTCTTTCAGCAAAGTAAGTGGCTGATGTATATTTCAAACAAAGCTTCAATCATAAAGAAAATTGAAGCACAATAACAAACTGTCTGAGAGAAACTAAAACAACCTCATGAGGCGAGAATGACAGTTGGCCTCTCTAACTGAACTTAACTGAACACCTGAAGGGAGGGGCCGATTCCAGAGCACAACACAAAAGCCCCGCCCACCAGATGACAGACATTCTACTAATCCAATTAGGCCCCAGTGTTTTTTTCTCACAGGAACATCCTCACATCAGATGTCAAGGAAATAAACAACTATCTGCCTTTTAGAAGACATCTGAAGGCAGCCCTGTTTAGGGAAGTTTTTAATGTTTGAAGTTTTATTGTGTTTTTAATATTCTGTTGGGAGCTGCCCAAAGTGGCTGGGGCAACCCAGTCAGATGAATGGCATCCAAATATTATTATTATTATTATTATTATTATTATTATTATTAGGAAGGCAGCATGAGAGCTTGGTGGGGGACATCAAATTTTGGCCTCACTCCACCCTCCCGCACGACACGGCAGTGTGCAGCCTGTGGGTTCCATATTGTGGCCCTCTTTGTAGAAAAAGTTGGGCCGCCCTCATATAGGAGCTAAAACCAGTTAAAAGGTTTGGGGAAATAAAAATGTCTTTGCCTGATGCCAAAAAGACGTCAAGACACCTGGTGAGTTTCTTTCTCTGAAAGGTTCGTTCCATGCTGGGAATGCTACCACTGGAAAGGCCCTTTCCCCAGTGGACCACCCATCGCACCTCACCTGACAAGGAGCACTCAGAGAAGGGCCTTAGGTGAAGACCTTAAAGCCTGGGTTGGCGCAGCTCCAGACAGGCAAAGTGCTGGGCCTTATACGAGGGAGAAAGAATTTTGCATGGAGATTTGTATCTTGTCACTGGAAACATTTAATTTCTCATGCTGCATTACTTTTTGTCTACCTTATTGCTGCTTTGGGGCAAAACCATTTAGAAATACAGCTCAGCGTGCCTTATGGAACTAGGGGGTGAGGAAAACCTGGTTCCTTTGGTCCATTAGCAAACTCTTAAGAGATATTACGCAAAAAATCAATACTGTCAATGCTGAATAAAAATTATTAATTCTTTAGAGAGGGCTTTTTTTCTGAGCAAGTCTTAATACATAATTCAGTTTGAACAGCCAATTGCTCCTAATATTCCCAATGTGGCGTACAGGGGTTCCACAAAGGCTTCCTGTTTCTGCTGATTTTTTTTCCTAATTAAGGGTTTGGTCATTTGTTGCTGCTGCTGTTTGCCTTCCGGGGATCCTCCTTTTTTATTATTGGTTTTATTTGTTTGGGGGGGCTTCCCAGTTTTTCTGTTAATTTTCTGTTTTTATGGTACCCAAAACAGTGCCTTAGGTTTCCAAATGTACCCGCAGGTCCCAAAAGGCTAGGGATCTTAAATTAAGTTAACTGACTCTTCTAGTGCTTCTCTACCTTTTCCCACAAAGTAGAAAATCCAAAGGAGCTATTTGTGTAGTCCGTTTTCCTTTGGAGGAGCAAGAACTGGAGATTTATGGGAGATGCTTATAGCTTCATTTGTTTGCTTTAAAAAATGTGCAGGTTGAAAAGAAACGGTAGGGATATGCAGAGCAAGCAGAGACAGTGCTAGCCCAAAGGCAGAATCCGAATCACAGATTGATTCATGAACTGCGGCCACTCCATAGAAATTAATAATAACGAGCCCACATTCACACGGTGCAGTATGCAACTAATTACCTGAGAAACGGCTGCCTTGGATGGCACCAACGATTCTTCCATTAGCATTTCACACGGCTGGGATGGAAGAAATCAACAAAGGGAGTAGACAAGGAAAATTTTTCAAAGCAGAAAACAACCTGGCCGGGGCACTAGCCAGAAGGACAAAGGCTGTGGGGAGGTCACACCTTTCCACCCAGTGCCAGATTTAAAGGTAAAGGGACCCCTGACCATTAGGTCCAGTCGTGACTGACTCTGGGGTTGCGGCGCTCATCCCGCTTTATTGGCCGAGGGAGCCAGCGTACAGCTTCCGGGTCATGTGGCCAGCATGACTCAGTCACTTCTGGTGAAGCAGAGCAGCACACGGAAACGCTGTTTACCTTCCCGCCAGAGCGGTACCTATTTATCTACTTGCACTGGCGTGCTTTCGAACTGCTAGGTTGGCAGGAGCAGGAACCGAGCAATGGGAGCTCACCCCGTCGTGGGGATTCGAACCGCCGACCTTCTGATCGGCAAGTCCTAGGTTCTGTGGTTTAATCCAGAGCACCACCCGTGTCAGATTTACGTATAAGCTAAACAAGCTATAGCTTAGGGCCCCAGTCTCTTGGGGGCCCCCGAAAAATTCAAAGGAAAAAACAACTGGGTGTACATTTCCAAAATATAAGATAAAAAACAAATAAAATAAAACCTACATACAGCAACAGTGTTTTGTGTTGTGTAGGCTCCTATGTTGTAAGTCCGGCATGGCCAAACTTGGCCCTCCAGATGTTTTGGGACTACAACTCCCATCATCCTAGCTAACAGGACCAGTGGTCAAGTATGATGGGAATTGTAGTCTCAAAACATCTGGAGGGTCGAGTTTGGCCATGTCTGGTGTAAGTAATGGGCCCCACCTGCTAGCCTGCTTCCTAAAATATCACTATCGCTATTAATATACTTCTTCTTAACTGTATTTCACTATTAATATACTTCTTCATAATTGTATTTCAGTTCAACAATTACTTTGATAAAATACATACTTTGTTATGTGCCAATGGCTTTAGATACTTATTAGGTCCATAAAGTACCATATAGCATATATTCAACACAAAAAAGCGACAATTTGTTGTTGACAAAGGACAGCTGGACATATAAAGGGCCCCATTACCTTCAGTAGCTTAGGGCCTCATCAAACCTAAATCTGGCCCTGCTCCCACCCCCTGCACACAGCCTTTGACTGCTTTTTTAAAGTCTGTTTTGATGCCATGTGAATGACACTTTGTCCTGCAAGACAACACTTGATGCTTGGTACAGTGGTACCTCGGGTTACATACGCTTCAGGTTACATTCACTTCAGGTTACAGACTCCGCTAACCCAGAAATAGTGCTTGAGGTTAAGAACTTTGCTTCAGGATGAGAACAGAAATCGTGCTCCAGAGGCACAGCGGCAGCGGGAGGCCCCATTAGCTAAAGTGGTGCTTCAGGTTAAGAACAGTTTCAGGTTAAGAACGGACCTCCGGAACGAATTAAGTACTTAACCCAAGGTACCACTGTAATTGTTTTTGAAGAAATTCAATAAAGTTTGCAATAATAATTTGAAAAGTTTTTTTAAGAATGTTAAAAAGTTTGACCTGAGATGCATGTCCACGTATCCTTCTTTCTTGATCCTACCTTCTCTCTCTCTCTCCCTCTCCTCCTTCTTCTCTCTCTCCCCCTCTCCCTGTCTCTCTCTCTTTCCTCTTCTTTCTCAGGATCACTACCACGGCTGCCTGCATGATGGATTTACGCAGGTACCCTCTGGATGAACAAAACTGCACGCTGGAAATTGAAAGCTGTAAGTTGTCTCCCCATTTTCTACTGCTTATATAAAAGAACAAACTTGTTTTGTACTTTTGTACAATGTGTGGCAAGGAATCTTACAATGTATACTGCCATCTACACCTAAATTGCTACCATATTTCTGAGCCCAAATAAATTTGCTTATATCTCTTGCCTAATTTGCAATATTGTCTAAAGTATAAAGTATAGTTTGACTATTAATGTTTTAAAACATTTTTGAAACATTACGCTGCCTCTTTACCGTATCTTTAAAATAGGAATATAACAAGCTGGTCACATATACAGTATGGTGGTGCATCTAGATTAATTACGGCACTGAATAGTTTAAATCAGTTAAATATACCATGTGGGATGCGGGTGGCGCTGTGGGTTAAACCACAGAGCCTAGGACTTGCCAGTCAGAAGGTTGGCGGTTCTAATCCCCGTGATGGGGTGAGCTCCCATTGCTCGGTCCCTTCTCCTGCCAACCTAGCAGTTTGAAAGCACGTCAAAGTGCAAGTAGATAAATAGGCGAGAAGATAAACGGCGTTTCCATGCGCTGCTCTGGTTTGCCAGAAGCGGCTTAGTCATGCTGGCCACATAACCCGGAAGCTGTACGCCGGCTCCCTTGGCCAATAAAGCGAGATGAGCACTGCAACCCCAGAGTCGGCCATGACTGGACCTAATGGTCAGGGGTCCCTTTACCTTTACCTTTACCTATAGATAGTACTGAGCTACACAGTCCAATTGCCTGACTCTGTCCAAGGCAACTTCCTCTGTTGCAGTGAGAATTCCTACTCCAGACTCAGTGTATCTAATGCGCCACAGCTGCGAATATAGCTTTGCTTCCTGGTTGGTTGGTATCTTGCACCTGTGTGTATTAGTTCATTGGCTGTAATACCATTAGATTACTATGAAAAGCAGATAAAAACACTGCCCACCATCCTTATACAGAGCCCCACCAGGGTCTCAATAAACCTCTTACACTAGTTGGACTAGGAAACTTGGGTTTGAATCTCCGCTCTGCCATGAAGCACAGTGTGACTTTGTTAGTTGCAGTGTCTTAGCTGAATCTACTCCACAGCATTGATGAGATGATATGTGCATTTGTGCATTTGTGTGTGTGCTTTGTGCACCACCCTGAGCTCTGAAGGAAGATAGAATAAAAATGCAAATTGTACAAATAATACCTACTTAGGACTTCAAGAACAGGGTTGGGTGTGTTGTCCTGGGCTACATGAGGCTCAGTGGGTCACAAATTGTGCATTCCTGCATAAGCAATTTTCTGGCTTTCTTTTTGCCCTGACTGGTATCTCTTCTGTTTACAACACTTTTAGCATCCTTGTCATCCTTCGCAGTGTTATCCACCATCGTCAATTACTATCAAATATAGAACAGCAGTCGCTGAATACTAATTGCCAAATGTAAAACACTAAATATCAAATTGTGAGCATTCAGCGGGTGTCGCCATAGAATTGGCTTCCACGTTAAATAAGAGATCGTGGGAGGAATAGAAAATGTCTCATTAAGGCATTTATGTTTCTGGAAAAGCCCGTCGCTGTGTTTTCCTTCTTTCTGCGGAAATAGATGCAGTCTTAAATGTACATAATGGCTGAACAAAGACAGGGGTCAATTTGAAGAGGCATTGGTATGCATCAATAGAAAAATATTCCAGCCGCGTGCTCAGTGGTTCGTTGCCAGGAAGCCAGGGGGGAGACACTCCAATAGCTGCATTCTTATTTGAACCGTCATTGCCACTTACATTGGCAAAAAGCATTTTGACCGATTTGTGCAGAATCATTATCACTCCCTTCCTGAGACAATATACTCCACTGTTAAGGTGGCTGCATATAAAATACCTTGGGTTGAAAGGGTTTCACAGGAAGCATGAAAACACATAGCATATCATTGGGGAAGGCCAATTCTGCTGGAAGCTAAAGATCCCAACTGTTTATCTGGGCCTTTGGGAAAGAGTGGATGTGGCTGATAACCTACCTTATCTTTCACTCCCACTACACTGGCTATCGCTAATGTGGTATTCTAGAACCCATATAGTCCAAGAGCACTGATAAAAAAAAGGTAAAGGTAACCCCTGGACGGTTAAGTCCAGTTAAAGGCGGCTATGGGGTTGCGGTGCTTATCTTGCTTCAGCGCTTGTCCACAGATGGCTTTCCGGGTCATGTGGCCAGCAGGACTAAACTGCTTCTGGTGCAATGGAACACCGTGATGGAAGCCAGAACGCATGGAAACGCTGTTTACCTTCCCACCACAGCGGTACCTATTTATCTACTCGCACTGGCGTGCTTTGCAACTGCTAGGTTGGCAGGAGCTGGGACAGAGCAACAGGAGCTCACTCCATTGTGGGATGTGGGTGGCACTGTGGTCTAAACCACTGAGCCTCTTGGGCTTGCTGATCGGAAGGTTGGTGGTTCGAATCCCCACCAGCACTGATATCTAGTTATGGGGAACTTGGAAACAACAACAGCCATATAGCTCAGGAATAATACGAACCGGTCTACATAACTAAGCTTTCCTCCTCCTTCTTCCTCTTCTTCTTCTTTTTGGAAAAAGGCTTAAGGATAAACAGATGTTATTTGTCTATTTATTACATAAATATCCTACTTTTCTTTCAAGGAGCTCAAGGTGGCCCACAAGATTCTCCCTCCTCTCAAATTTTCCTTTCAACTCTGTGAGGGAGGATAGGCCAAGGAGCAGCTTCATGCCTGAGTGGAGATTTGAATTTAGGACTGTGACAATCCCTCACCTGACAGAATATCGCAGCCATCTCAGGAAAACAAGTGCTTAAGGCAGCTCATCAAAAACCTTGTCATGAGCTTAGAAACTATGAATTTATGAATTGTAACTAACTTCTGAATGTCTCTCAATGCACTTTAGTGCTGCTCAGTGACCTGTAAATTCAACGAAAGCCTAATGCAGTCAGATAAGGATTGTCAAGCGATGTATTAATGAACTTAGAGAAGAAGCCAGGGGGGCGTATGGACTGGTCTGGGAGAGGGGGGACAGGTGACAGTTTTGACTGTTTATGGACCAGGAGAACTTGACGCCAGGTACTGGTGACTTCAAGACTGGATTATTGCAATGCTCTCTATTTGCGGGTTCCCTTGTGCTTGAACTGGAATGCTGCAGCGTGGTTGCTGGCAGGAATGAGACCTACTCAAAGATCGGCACTGATTGCCGATTTGTAACTGGTCCAAGTTCAAGCTGTTAATAATGGTATTAGAAGCCCTCAGCTGCTTGGGACTAAGTTTCTTGTAGGATGTGCCCACTAGACTGCTTTGGTTTGTGAGCTGACACTCTTGCAAGTGCAATATGAATCAGTTGTCAAACTTCCTGTTAGAAAATATTTAAGAGCCTTTGAAAGAATGCGTCATTAAATTTCAACTCAAGTCCTGTGCAAGGTTACACGCTGAACCTCTAGTTGCTTTGATGTTCATTCATTCTCAGGGTACGACAGCCACACTCCTAAACTCCAAAGGCTGAATGGCCTACAACGTTTTTGCAGCCGTACCTAAGAACCCAGGTCTTTCATAAAGTTCTGGCAAACAAAGCAGATGTGCAGGCAGACCCTAGCGTGTGATGCTGTAAGAACCTTGGAACTTCCAGTCTGTTGTGTGATAGCTCTTAGCAACTTTTTATTCAGTCAGATCACAATTAAATCTCTATGAGCGGGCAGCTGAAATTGTGAATCTTGTCATTTCACATTTTTTTGTGTGTGGGGAGAAGAGGCAAGGACTGTTTGATGGTAATGCATTCATCCTCACACTGTTGGCCTTTGGCACAGTTTATGCATTTACTGGTTTTCTGCCAATGTGTGAACAGCTGCCTGAAGCACAGACTCTCTAAGCAAAGAATTAATTTAAAGGTTTTCTTTGTCTGTTGGTGAGCTTGCTGCAGCATATGATAAATTATTCCAGTCCTCGCCGCAATGGGAACTCCATTTTCATCCTCAACTCTTACTTAATGAATTCAACATGTATCCACAATTATAAACACTCTTTTAAAAAATACAAGTGATATAGCAACCAGTTAACAACATGTCTGAGTGAGGCAACACACTGTGTTTGCAGTAAGCTGTGTTTGTAGCAATCCTTGCTTAATGTTACATGAATGTGCCTGCTCACCCCTCCCCTCTGCTATGGTATGGTCACAATGTGGTGATCGAAAGCTTTCACTTCTACTTTTACTAACTGCTGTTTAGAATTATGTTCAAACCAAGACAAACTATTGCTATTCTAACCAAGTTTGGATAGCTCCGGTTTACTGAAACTGAAGCTGTCTTGCTTCAGTAACAAAATAGAAGATAAACCACAGTCTAGGGTTCAGAAATAACATTAAATGCAGTTTACTAAAAACAAAAATTTGCGTCGTCTTCCGTGTGGAAGTGCTAGAGGGGAGGGGGGACGTGTGAAATTCACTCTGTTTTATTCGCATAATTCCAAACCATAGTTTGGCATTATGATTGAACATTCAGAAGATGTTCATTCTCTTGTACAACACTTGTGCGATGCTCACATCTTAATCATGTTTTGTACTCCCCAGTTTCCTAAGCAGTGGGAAGTTCCAGGGACAACCTTATAGGTTCAATTTTTGAAATGTTGGAGGGTATGAAATCCTGATAGGTGAATAGCTTGATGGGCAGCTAAAATATTGCATTCTACAAACAAACAAACAAACCCCGCCCCCCAAAAAATTATTGTGTTTGGATTGGGTCTGTAACCAAGTCAAAGCCCTTTTCTATAACCAGCCATTTCCCAATCCACCGGTACCTGATTCAGTCTGGCTGCTATTTACTTTCACTGCGGTTGCGCAAAGTGAGTTTAACATGAATCTTGCCTTCAGATGCAAAGTTTGCAAATGGTAGTGATGCAACATTCACATGTGGGATGAGTGAAAAATAGGTGTGAAGCATAAGCAAACCGTAAATTGAAAACTGCAGGGATTTTTTTTATTTTTTAAGTCAGATAGTTCTTGCACAAAGCAGCGAGGTATATTGCAAGTCATGGCTGCCCCCTGCAGCTGGTCTCAGGGCTCATTCAGATCCTACTCTGCCAGAGGAATGCTTATTTTGCAGCATGTTTCCTAACCATTCCTTACTGCTTACCTGAGCCACGTGTTTCACTTTTCTACAGGGACTAAGAAAAGCCTTGCTTTAATTCTGAGTAGATATGCATAGGGTTTCACTGTTAAATCTGTGAGAGGTGCAGCACAATCCTATGCATGTTTACTCAGAAGTAAAGCCCAATTGCATTCAGTGAGGCTTACTTCCAAGAAAGTGTGCATAGGATTGTAGCCTTATAGACATAGTGCCCATCATTCCAGTGATAACTTATGATTCAGGCCTAAATCCCCAAGCCCATAACAGTTCCTCTGTAATATTCTACAGGGCTATCTGTTCTTTATCAATTATATTTCTTCCATTTATTATTGTTATTGTTTGTATATTTTATACAGTTTGAGATCTATAATTTTATAATTTGTTATACAGTAATTGTGAAATTCCATTTTAAAAAATATTGTTTAAGAAGAATAAGAAACCCCAAGTCTGAACTTCTCCAATATCTTCATGTTGCCTTTGATAGAGAGCTGGAGAAACATTTAAATAAATAGTTTTCAAGTTTGGAACGGATGCTTTCTTTTATCGAAATGCAATAAACATTATATAAAGCACAGACATAATATTTTGTTACTTTTGTTAATCTTTCAATTGTTTCTCATGAAAAATAAGTGGCTTGGTATAAAATCTGGTGATGAAAGCTTATTTATAATTTCTAACCATCAGAAATTTCCCAACAAGAAATAAAATAAAAATGGCGGAAGTTCACAGTAATGGTCAGTAATGTTTGTTCTTATTTTCATTTTATTGACATTTTATTGGCTTTGAGATTTAATTTTACTACTCAACTGATTTATAAAACATTTGGTCAACCAACTAACAGGCTTGGGTATATCTTTCCTATTGCAGATGGATACACAACAGATGATATTGAGTTCTACTGGAATGGAGGGGAATCTGCTGTAAGTGGAGTTAATAAAATTGAGCTCCCTCAATTCTCAATTATCGACTACAAGATGATCTCAAAAAGAGTAGAGTTTGCAACGGGTAAGCAGTGAGCATCCCAAGACATACTCTGGGAATGGCAGTAGAAAAGAGACATGCTGTGGTTTCACTTTTCCCTTTTTTATTTTTTAAACAGGGGCATACCCTCGGCTGTCACTGAGCTTTCGACTTAAAAGAAATATCGGCTACTTCATTTTGCAAACCTACATGCCTTCTACTCTGATTACGATTCTGTCGTGGGTATCTTTCTGGATCAACTATGATGCATCTGCTGCACGAGTTGCACTAGGTAATTTATTATTTGGACAACGAAGCTACTTAAATATCCTTGGTGTGTGAGATTTATTCTTTTCATTTATTAATTCATTTTAGCATGTTAGAGGGCTCTAAGTGCTCCGTGTGTTGTGTTGTTTTGGTTTTCTTTCTTTCTTTCTTTTAAAAAAACCCATAATGACACATAACATCCTGGCAATTTTATATTACTGGTCATGTATCTCTTTTTTTAAAGTAAATTTCAAGTCCTTACAGTTGTGAAGAAAGTGGGTGAAAGTATGGGGGAAATGCAGTGTATCCCAGAAACTGGAAAGGGTGGGGGGAGTAAATAAGATTTCCAGAGCCATAATATATGAGTCATACCCTCCCAGTTCTAGACATTGTGTTCTATCTTCTAGTAATTGCGCAAAACAAGCTTAGTTTGTATAATTTATACAGTTGCAGACCATCTCTCTGCCTGGATCTCATGAGAAAATGATGGTGACTCTGAAAAGGAGTCATAAAAGATAATGTGCTATGTTGGCAATGCATCTTTGGCTGACCAAAAACAAACAAACAAAAAGCTTCTCCAGTTACAATAACAGATAGCTGATGGCAGTATGGGAAACTACCTTATATTACCCTTAGCCAGGCTTCCTCAACCTCGGCCCTCCAGATGTTTTTGGCCTACAACTCCCATGATCCCTAGCTAGCAGGACCAGTGGTCAGGGATGATGGGAACTGTAGTCTCAAAACATCTGGAGGGCCGAGGTTGAGGAAGAAGAAGGAGAAGAGGAGGAGGAGTTTGGATTTGATATCCCGCTTTATCACTACCCTGAGGAGTCCCAAAGCAGCTAACAATCTCCTTTCCCTTCCTTCCCCACAACAAACACTCTGTGAGGTGAGTGAGGCTGAGAGACTTCAGAGACGTGTGATTAGGCCAAGGTCACCCAGCAGCTGCATGTGGAGGAGTGGGGAATCGAACCTGGTTCACCAGATTACGAGTCCACCACTCTTAACCACTACACCACACCACACTGGCCTTAGCAATGTTACTACTTCCAAAAGTCTGCACCCTGTGCTCCCTATGAAAGTGCCTTCCAGCATGGGATGTAGCAACCATGCTGCTACAGTGATGTAGGAATGCAGGGATTGGGTGTCTATGTATATGTAAAATACATTTGCAATGTACAGGTGGGACCTGTTCGGGATTCAGCCAGATAGTCAGGCAGGATTCAGGATGCTCCATTCCATTCACCCCTCCCTAGTTTTGTCCCCCCTCTCAATAGTTAGCATTCTATGCTTACCCTCATTTAGCTGTTTCTGGTGAATAGGGGATAACTCCAAATGAAGGAGTCTGGTTGTGTTGCTGCAGATGCACCGCATCGTTCCTCCTCTCTGCACTCCTCCCAGCGGTCATTCCTCCTCTGGTCACTGCTATGGATACATGACCTGACTGCCTGTCTCTAGGCACTGCGGTCGTCTTCAAGGGACTCCCACGCAGCAAGGTTGATGTTGCCAGCCTGTTCATGTCATGTTTGCATACATCTTTGTAACGCAGAGTTGGTCTGCCAATGGGAAACCAGCTCCCTGCAGAGCACATCCTTAGGGACCCTGCCATCTTCCATTCTGTGGACACGACCAAGCCAGTGTAGAATGAGTTTGCTATTCGTATATAGGATTTTAGCAGGTTTGTTGGTGGCATCTTTCCACATGAAGAGTTGCTTTGTGTACCGAGCTCTTTCCTTCCTTCTAGGGATCACCACTGTGTTGACTATGACCACCATCAGCACTCATCTCAGGGAGACACTGCCAAAGATTCCCTATGTGAAGGCAATTGACATCTACCTAATGGGGTGCTTCGTGTTTGTGTTCCTTGCCTTGTTGGAATACGCGTTTGTGAACTACACCTTCTTCGGCAAAGGCCCACAGCATCAGAAGAAAGCAGCTGAGAAGGCCAGCAGTGACAAGAGGAAACTGGAGATGAATAAAGTTCAGGTAACTGATTGCCTGAGTTTTCGTATATTTCCATTTACGTATATCAGGGTGAGGTTAAGAAGCAGGAAGGAAGCAGCACCTCGGGAAACCCTTCCAGAGCTTTCCTCACTTGTGCCATATGACAGAATTCCATATGGAATATTTGTATGCAGCACGGGACAGGACAGTGATGAAAATGTTGACCTAGTACAGGGGTCAGCAAACTTTTTCAGCAGGGGGCCGGTCCACTGTCCCTCAGACCTGGGGGGGGGGCCGAACTATATTGGGGGGGTGTGAACAAATTCCTCTGCCCCACAAACAACCCAGAGGTGCATTTTAAATAAAAGCAGACATTCTACTTTATGTAAAAACACACTGATTCCCGGACCGTCCACAGACCGGATTGCATGGCAAGTCCCCCTCCCCCCTCATGAAATAAGGACACAGGACACAGTATTTTAAGGTTAATGGGCGTAAAAGGCTACAACTTTGTTGACTGCAGGAATTGAGCGGTATTGGCTTAGGCATTGGTCCTATCACTAACCAGCTTCAGCCTGATTGCATGAAGGCTGGTGAGGGTTAACCACCAGTAGGGGGAGTCCTGCTGATGTACATCAACCAGGAGCTCCCCCGGGGTCACCGCTCGGGGGTGTGCCTTAGGCCCACACCTCCATAGGCTTTGGACAGGGCCACGCCCCCCGGAATCCTTTACCAGACTACCCTTTGCTTTGGGGGAAGGTGATGGCGCTTCCTCTCCCCCTCATTTGAATAACAATACCCCTACCAATGCCGAGAAAGTTGTGACGATTTGCTATGAGGTAGGCGAAAAACCAAATGGCTGGTGCCAATTTGCCAAGTGGAAAAAATTCCTACCAGGCCCCTTGACGGCGACCAACCGAAGTCCATAGCAATGTCAGAGAGCTAAACCTAAGGGCGGGCAGGGTGGGAAACCGGAGCAGCTGGAACGTGGAAGAGAGGAAAATCCTCGGGCGTGCCGGCCCTAAATAGCCCAGGCCATGCCTCCCCGGCCAGCCGATTGGCTGATTGGGGCGATGACGCACCCGAGGATTCCCTCATTCTCGCCTGTATGGGGAGGGCATGGGCCTGCAACCCCACCTCCTCTCCAGCTCAGAAGTGGCTTTTAGAAGGCAATTGAGCCGGATCCAGGTCCCGGACCTTAGTTTGCCTACCCATGACCTAGTATGTGGCAGCTGCGAAAAAGGCAAATTTCATGCTAGGGATCATTAGGAAAGGAACTGAAAATGAGACTGCTAAGGTCATAATGCCATTATATAACTCTATGGTGCAAGCATATTTGGAGAACTGTGTACAGTTCTGGTCACCTCAGCTCAATAAGGATTTTGCAGAGTTGGAAAAGGTTCAGGAGAGGACAGTCAAAATGATCCAGGGGAAGGCGTGACCTCCCATATGGAAAGGTTGCAGCCTTTGGGACTTCTTAGTTTGATGAAAAGGGAAATAAGAGGTGACATGGTAGTTTATAGAGGAACTGGATGGAGACATACCCCCTAAAATAATACTAGTAACATAAAACAGTTGTGCAGGGAAAATAATAATAATAATAATAATAATAATAAATTTTATTTATAACCCGCCCTCCCCGGCCAGAGCTCGGCTCAGGGCAGCTAACACCAGTAAAATTACAGTAAAAACATAATGGGGGGGGGAGCCAATTTAAAATACAGGTTAAAATGCAATTTAAAATGCAGCCTAATTTTAAAAGTAGCTCATAGATCAAAACCATAAGGGGAGGAAAACATAAGGGTCAGACTGAGTCCAAACCAAAGGCCAGGCAGAACAGCTCTGTCTTGCAGGCCCTGCGGAAAGATGTCAAGTCCCGCAGGGCCCTAGTCTCTTGTGACAGAGCGTTCCGTATGCATGTGGACCATACTGACAACCCCAGCTGCTATCATGCAGGAAAAGAAAATGCAAAAACAAGTCAGGGCAGAGCAAAGGTGAAGGCAGACCACAACAGAGAATAGCAGTGTTCCCTTCTTTCCCAACTGGAAGTCCATATCAGTCAGGCAGTAGCACATGACCCATTTGGCCTTTTTGCTGTTGAAATGCTTCCTGGCCATCTTATAGGTGTAACCACAGGCTGAATTCTCACCAGTTGCCAGGCCCGACAACTTTACTCTTTGGTGGAGATACACTAAGGCAGTGGCGACTGGCACTCATTTAGACCAGTAGGGCAAAAGGCAGAGAGACCAGTAGCCAATGCAAGATCGAGCCATTGAATTCTGGGTTGCTCCCCGCCAGCGTCCTCCCTGCTGAGTTCTACAAGGGCCAGTCTGAGTCTAAGGAGGTCGTAAAAAGGACCCCTGACCATTTCACAGAATCACAGAATCATAGAGTTGGAAGAGACCACAAGGGCCATCGAGTCCAACCCCCTGCCAAGCAGGAAACACCATCAGAGCTTTCCTGACATATGGTTGTCAAGCCTCTGCTTAAAGACCTCCAAAGAAGGAGACTCCACCACACTCCTTGGCAGCAAATTCCACTGTCGAACAGCTCTTACTGTCAGGAAGTTCTTCCTAATGTTTAGGTGGAATCTTCTTTCTTGTAGTTTAGATCCATTGCTCCGTGTCCGCTTCTCTGGAGCAGCAGAAAACAACCTTTCTCCCTCCTCTATGTGACATCCTTTTATATATTGGAACATGGCTATCATATCACCCCTTAACCTCCTCTTCTCCAGGCTAAACATGCCCAGCTCCCTTAGCCGTTCCTCATAAGGCATCGTTTCCAGGCCTTTGACCATTTTGGTTGCCCTCCAAAATTTGGTCTAGTCGTGACCGACTCTGGGGTTGTGGCACTCATCTCGCTTTATTGGCCGAGGGAGCCGGCGTACAGCTTCCGGGTCATGTGGCTAGCATGACTAAGCCGCTTCTGGCGAACCAGAGCAGAGCACGGAAATGCCGTTTACCTTCCCACCGGAGTGGTACCTATTTATCTACTTGCACTTGACGCGCTTTCGAACTGCTAGGTGGGCAGGAGCTGGGACTGAGCAACAGGAGCTCACCCCGTCACAGGGATTCGAACCACCGATCTTCTGATCAGCAAGTCCTAGGCTCTGTGGTTTAACCTACAGCGCCACCCGCGTCCCAAGGAGGACGTAGTTAAGCGCTAATGCCGCCACACTCTGTACTGGTTATAAGTAAGAAGGCAGGCAGGTGGGGGGCTGGTTGAATGCAGCATGAGGTTGGTGGGTCAGTGTCCCATCCCCCCTAATGGACCAGCCTCCAATCGGGCCATTTTCTTTTAAGAGTAGATTCTGAAATGGACTGGATTGGTGCCCTTTGATCTCCCAGATGGGGCCATTTTGACAATATCATCCTCTGCCTTATTTTTATTTATTTTTTGCTATTGCCATTTCTATTTAGATTGGCCTTCCCCTTTTGTCTCCATTCATCTTTCTCCTTCACTCTACTTTTGTAGAAGTCTCTGAAATATGGGATCTGAAAAGAGCTCTGTGGGTTGGATGTCCCTACCCTTAACCTGCGCGGAAATGTCACATGCTGGATAATTGTGACGTTCTTTCCTTTTGCAAGTTATTTATCAACTGACCTAAGGTTGGAGATAATAGTTCTTCTAGGAAGATGGGCAGTCATTTGTGGGTATGTGGGCAGTTGAATAATAATTTCTCCCTGTTCTTTTGGTCACCAGGCCATTTAGCCTTAGCTAGGCACATAATTTTCTATCCATAGCAATTTTGTCCTGAACGTAGGACACCCTGTACGTGTTTCCTCACAATGGAAAAGGACCACATTATCTACTGAATCACTTTCCATTGCCCAGTCTGTAACACTGGGCAAGCAGAGAATTTGGGCAAAAAAAGGTGCTCCAGAGAAGAAAAATAGAGATTATTATCTCCTTCCGTTTGGGTGAATGTGTTAATTTGTTATGAATTGCAAAACTTATAATTCAGGGGAAATGAATAGCCTGATGATTTATACAGAACAGGGGTCTCAAAGTGATTTAGAAACTCATTTTAAAATGTAGCAGGTTCATTCATAACACTTTAAATTAAAGCAGTAATTCATCCAACACTTGCCTTGTAATAAGCAATGAGTGCACAGTACTTTAAATGAGGGGACTCACATGAATCATCAATATAAACCATTAGCATTTGTCAGTTATTAGTCTTTACAATGGAGAAAAAACAACAGAGATATTAATGATATTTGCGCTTCTATTGCAGGTGACTATATAACAAATCTGGGAAGGCCTTTAATTTGCCAGTTGAATTGTTCAGTAATTAAAAGATTATAGATGTGCAGTTCATTCAGGCAATAATAACAACAGCCTACGGTATTCTTGTTGTTCGTCCCCTGCATCTTATATTCCAGAATGTAGTGTCTCTGAATATGGAAGTTTAGCTATCATGGCTTAATAGGCATTGATAAATTCAATCCATGAATTCGTAGAATCTTTTTCTAAAGCTTGACACCATCACTAAGACTTTTTCCTATCAAAAATATCCCTTCCACCTTGAATTATCTGCCATGAAGTTCCTGCAGAAGATTCTGAGGAAAGTTATAGGGCAGAGGTGGGGAACCTGTGGCTCTACAAATGTTGTTGGATTGCAGCTTCCATCGTCCCTGACTATTGGCTCTGGTGGCTGGGAGTGATGAGAGTTAGACTTCAGCAGCATCCAGCTGTTGGCAGGGCAGCAACGTTCACATGAGCTCACATCACTGGTGTCACTGTGGCTTACAGGGAAGGAAAGGGCTAAGATGGCAGTGTGGTTGGCATGGTACGAATGCACTGGTGGAGCCAATCCAGCATACTCAGGCTTCACTACCACCTCACCCCTCTCCCTCCTACTAAGCCACAACGGCACTGGTGATGGGAATTTGGGCAAGTGCCACCACCCCACTGTGACGATCACACAGGGTCCCCGGACGTTTCACCGTCTATTGATCCCTGTGCCACCACTTTATTTCTCGCTGCCACCACCCAGGCCCTACCTGGTACAGTACTGGGTCCAGTCAGGGTTAAATTGGAACATAAACTTCTGTTTATTTACTGCAGTTTAACAAGCATGTGGTTTCATAAATGGTATCGGTCAATTACAATCATCGGTTGCCTATCCAGACCTATAACTTCCGCTACCTGCTCTCACTCAGTAAACCACCTCTCAGATATTTGCTTGTCTTCCTAGCCCCTAACTGTTCCTGACTCAGCTTATTTCGCTACACTAACTCAACCTACCCACAGACTCTATCCCAATTCACTCCCACTCCAACCAGCCACCCAACTCCCAACGAACTCCTCCCTTCGCGCCTCCCAGAGCTGGTTTTATAGTCCCTCTGACTCCACCCCCCTGGGTTCTGATTGGGTAACCTGTTTAACTATTTCACCTCCAGCATTCTCATATGTTAGCGTCACACCCACCAGCAGGTTTCCCATTCAGGCTTATTGGGCAGCTGTGCTTGAACTGAGAATGCACACCGAATTCTGTGGCTGAACACGACTGGGAGAAGCGGGGGGGTCACCGTTACTGGGCCAGCCATTCTTCAGGATAGTTTGCCATTGTTACCGATATTCTCTGCAAATATTCACCGATTAGCTTCCAAGGAGTCCCAGAGACTCCCAAATGCAGTCTGGAAAACCACTGCAGTAATTACAGGTTGAGCTACTGGTCTGTGGTCAACAATAATGGCTGCTCGGCCCAGTACACCACTCTGCATTTCAACCAGCACAACATTTATTTCACTGCACATTCCTTCCTTCTTTAGACTGAATCCTTAAATGGATACCTGGCAAGGGCTATGAGGCTGCTGGGTGATTCTAGGTCCTGTTTCTTCGAGGGAGATAATGACTGTGAACCTCACAGAGACTGTAATTGCAACAGTAAACAGTTAAATTATACTGAGTCATTAAGGAAGACACTACTGTAGGTTACATGTGTAGCACAGGTGAATATTACTTACCACCTTCCTACCACTTCACTTACTTCTAGCAACTTCTGTTAATTTTTAAATTTTAATGAGGGGGGAAAACCCATAAGAAATACAAGTAAAGATTTCATCAGCCATTTGACCGCTTTGAAGCACTAGTACCTTCCTGATGTTCTGTGAAGATAGGCAGTGGGAACCAAAGAATAATCAGTATTATTACAGACAGAAATGGCTGAAAAGGGGGGTGGGGACTGGAAATGCTAAGAAAGGTTACAAAATACAAGTGTTCTCGTTAACTAAAACAATCTCCAGGTTCTTTCTCAGATTCCTTTTTCTCATTTCCTAATCAATGTTGGCATTGGAAGGGGCAGTTTAAGGCTCCCCCTTCTCTACCCTCGTTGTCATTTCCTGTCATGCATTTTGTTCGTTATCATCTCACTCATTTGCCAATGTGCCAAACATAACCAGTGGTGTAGCGTGGGGGCCAAGGGGTGGTTGCCCCAGATGCAAAATTGTTAGGGGGTGCAAAATTTCAATACCCAGTGCTTCCGTTGCTGGGCTGCATTGAAAATGGCTTCTCCATGCAAACCAGGAAGTGACATCTCCAGACAACAGAATTACTCTTCTTATATCTGCAGCTGTGATCTCCTGGGTGACGTAGACAGCGTTAGGCAGTTGAATGTGCATGTATACTTAGTTTCCCTCCCTCCTCAGGCACTGAGTGCAGCCTCAGGCACTGGCAATCCACGCTACGCCACTGAGCACTACTAAGGGATTAAGAGACCTTCTCTAAAGCCATGCTTCTTCTTTAGATTGACGCCCGTGGGAATATTCTTCTTACTACCCTGGAAATGAGAAATGAAGTCAGCAGTGCCAATGTGCTGGCAACTTTGAATGACCCGAGAGCTACCATGTACTCCTACGACAGCGCCAGCATCCATTACAGGAGGCCTGCCACCACAAGGGACCTCTACAACAGGAGCACTTTGGACAGACAGACAACCCATCAAAAGGGACGCCTACGGAGAAGAGCGTCGCAGCTCAAGGTCAAAATCCCAGATTTGACTGATGTCAATTCCATAGACAAGTGGTCCAGGATGGTTTTTCCTATCACCTTTATCCTTTTCAATGTGGTCTACTGGCTTTATTATGTGCACTGAGTTATGCTGTGATCCCTCCACCTGCCTAGCCCAGACTCCTGTTCTCAAATTTGCCAACCTTAAAGACTGTTGTAGCCGCAGTGCTACATATTCAAGGTACAATATTCAGCCATTCTGTGGGTTAGGGTGCCCTTTTAACCATATCCCAAAAATCAAACCATGTTTACTTCAAAAAAGAAGACAGTATCTATTTGAACATGCGCTCATCCTTTTAGATCTGCTTTCAAAGAGCGACACTGAAGACACAAGTGCTACCCCTCTGTTTTGTTCTAAGGTTATTTCTGGTGATCTTTCCTTTCTTTTTTCTTAGCATTTAAAACATGGCGTGAAAATTCTGCCTTATTTTCCAAAACACATACATTGGTCCTAACCGTAGGCTTGTTCACACATTACACTGAACACAGGTACCAGCTCTCTCTACACATGTACAAGTGTTTGTGTGAAAGAGTGTGCAGCTAATTTGTTGATTTGTACATCTCAGCACAGGTATACACTCATGGAATGTTACATGTTTGCGTGTACAGCTCAACTATTTGTGTACACAGATTGTACACTCACGAAACATAATGTGTTCCTAGTACCTCCATATTATTTGCCAAACAAAGCTCAAGTGTTATTCAAGAAAAGGCAAAGCTACAGCTGCATGCAACCCTAATCACACTTATCTAGGAGTCAGTCCCATTGAACAAAGTGGTTTCCAAGTAGACATGCACAGAAGTGCGCTGTACACATGTCACCATAAATAGGTTCCCAGATCAAGAACTGATATATATTTGAACGCCCAGAACACCCTTCTGACACTATCAGAGCAGATTTAGGGTTGTATCACTTAATCTGATAATTCGGAGATCAAAAACATGTCGATGAACCGGCTAGCTTTTTCAAATTGTTCATAAACTCTAATACAAATGACTGCAAAAAAAAAAAATCATGGCTAGCAGGGGACATCTTAGAAACAGACTTCTATGAAGGCAGTGCCTCTTTCAAAACTGCAGGAATGCCTGCTACAACATAACCATAGTTCTCTAAAAGCAAAGAATGCTTTTCTTTCTTCAAAACTATAGCTTCGTTTATATGCAGATGTATGTGGATTTAATCAATAATCGATTTAATCTCATACAATTATTTTAAGGAAATCTCTGTTTGATTAGGTGACAAGTCTAGACAGAACACCTAATGTGTGTCTTTGGGATCTGGGCTCGATGGCTGGTCTACAGCACAAATGAAGCTGTACCAACAATTACATAATAAGGGTTGCTGGAAGAAAATAAGTGCCGATTCAGATTTTGCCTTTCCCGCTCTGTCATGGTGTTAGTTTTGTGAGAACACACTGGAGTCTTTATTAGCAATTCCTGGCCCCTATCAGAGGACGTTTTTCTCTCTTTTTAGGAGCTAAAGTAGATGTGGCATTCCATCACAGGTCACCAATGACTGGTGCCTGAAGACACACATCAACTCACAGGCACCCAAAGGATTCCCTGCTCCCCACCCCCAACTGAAATTAGGCTTGATAAAAGCATTCTAACATAGGCAATAGAACAGGCTGTGGTGTGCGCTTGGCTGTAATGTGTGTTTGCGGTTCCTGTAGCAGTTTCTCTGGTATGCGGGTGTGCCCATGCGCCCGAAAAGGTTGGTGACCCCTGAATTACACAATTGGCCACTGTCTGCTTGGGTTCCTTTTCCCCTTTACTTAATAGGCAGCCATGGCCTTGTGGGGAGAGGGGCAGCAAGGAGGAAGCTTGCAGTGCTGATCTGGATAGTCACCCCCATCTCCATGGCTGCTACTTAATCCTAGGAGGGAAGCTGTCATTGGTACCAGTAGGTGTTTCCCTCCTAGTGCAAATGGAAGTCACAGGGTGCAATCCAGTAAAGGGTTAAATGCCCCCCTCCGCAACTCCATGGTACCCCAGCCCCACCCCAGGATGCAAGGAACCCGAGCTGGAATACAAATTCCATCACCCTTTATTTTTGGCCATGCTGGATGTTGGTGCAAAGATAGAGATAGAGATGATAGAGACAGAGATAGAGATAGAGATAGACATGATAGAGATGATAGAGATGGAGATGATAGAGATAGATTAAAGAAGAATTCCTGGGTGTCAAGATCCAAGATTGGGGCAAGTATTCTTTGGTGAGAGAACCCAAGCAGGGATTTATTATCACAAAATATGCAGCAAAATTAAATGTGGAGATATAGGCTGTTAGACCTTTAAAATATGTGACCCTCCAAGTGAGTTCATTATTTATTTGTTACATTTATATAATACCTTTATCTTCCAAGATCTCAAGGTGGTGTATATAATTCTCCTCTCCCCGTTTCATCCTCACAATAACCCTGCGAAGTAGGTTAGGCTAAGAGATGGTGACTGGCCCAAGGTCACCAGTGAGCTTCATGGCTGAGTGGGGTTGCTGGCATGGCAAGGTTCTAAAATGTCCCCTTAATAGATCTCTTTTCAACATGTCCCTCTTCCCCCAGGCATAGGAAAAGGCCACATACTTGGTACGTTTAAAAATGGTTTGCTTACAAACTCTCCAAAGATCAAATTCACCTGCTTTAGAAAGTTGCACAGGCATTAAAACTTGGCTTAGATAAAAAGTGGTGGAAGTTCCTAAATTTATAGGAATAGAGCCATGTGGCTAAACTGGAGTTACCAGCTCAAACCCTTTCACATGATGATCAGGTAGATTGGAAGACAACAATGACTTGATTACCTAGTTCCTCCCAAGGTGAGGGGACGTGGGCATATATATACAGTGGTACCTCGGGTTACATACGCTTCAGGTTACATATGCTTCAGGTTACAGACTCCGCTAACCCAGAAATAGTACCTCGGGTTAAGAACTTTGCTTCAGGATGAGAACAGAAATTGCACGGCAGCAGCAGCGGGAGGCCCCATTAGCTAAAGAGGTACCTCAGGTTAAGAACAGTTTCAGGTTAAGAACGGACCTTTGGAACGAATTAAGTACGTAACCAGAGGTACCACTGTATATATATATAACATACTGCACTATACCTGGAGGTCTCAGGGTGGTTCACAGAATAAAATCAAAATATAAATCCACAAAATACATAATTAAAATAAAAACAACCAAATAGCCCCCCACAAGAAAACACGCATTTTAAAAGGGCATAGGATATCAATCAAATCAACTAAAAGCCTGGTTCAAAAGGAACTTTTTTGCCTGGTGCCTAAAGGTGTATAATGAAGACACCAGGCAAATTTCCCTGGGGAGAACATTGCATAGATGGGGAGCCACTGCAGAGAAGGCCCATTCTCGTGTTGCAACCCTCTGGAGAAAGCACACAAAGAAGGGCCTCAGAAGATGATCTCAGGGTACCAGTAGGTTCATATGGAAAGAGGCAGTCCTTGAGGTATTGCGGTATTGAGGTGTTTAAGGCTTTATAGGTCAGAACCAAAACTTTGAATTGGGCCTGGAAACTAATTGATAGCCCGTGCAGTTGGACCAGGATCAGTGTAATATGCTCAAACCGTCTTGCTCCGATGAGCAACCTGGCCACTAAATTCTGTACTAGCTGAGGTTTCTGAACTGTCTTCAGAGGCAGCCCTACATATAATGCATTGCAGTAATCTAACCCTGAGGTTACCAGAGCATAGACAACAGTAGTTAGGCTATCCCTGTCCAGATAGAGGCATATCTGGGCCACCAGCCAAAGCTGATGGAAGGCACTCCGGGCCACTGAGGCCACCTAAGCCTCGAGCGACAGCAAAGGATCCAGGAGGACCCCCAAGCTACAAAGGAAGTGTAACCCCATCAAGAGCAGGCGATCTCCCACCCATCCAGTCTAGGAAACCACCCACTAACAGTGCCTCAGTGTTATCTGGATTGAGTTTCAGTTTGTTGGCTCTCATCCAGTCCATTACATCCAGTCCAATGTATCACTGAAATCTGTGTGGGTGAACAGGGTCTCAATCAGCTGTGGCCACCTGGGTACTCAGTGCAGCATCAGTCCAGACGTGAGGGTCAGGGAGTGGTAGTTGCTGTGGTTTATAGAGATTCTCTCTCTATCTCCAGGCTCTCTGTCCAGTCGGGGGCGGGTGGGTCTAGAGTGTGTGTTCCTGGCATTAGGCAAGAGGGTGGTTTGAAAGTGGGAGACACTGACATTAGTCCCTTGTCATGGTTCGATCACTTCCTATTGAGATTTAGGCCGTCAGTACCTTTCCCCCTCTACAGAGGCGGGGGACCTATTAGGAAAGTTTGCCCTCGGAGGCTGATGGATCCAGTGGGATTCCAAACAGCTCTAGGGGTGTTTCCGGCTGATATGACTGGCACCTGTTCAAGCCTTGGCCAACCTCTCCCAAACACCCAAATGGCTCCGGCTATTGACACGATCACCCCTGAGCACCCTCTCCCACTTCATGGAGCCCATTTGGCCCCCTGGTATACTTCAGAGCTTAGGGCGAGGAAACAAGCTGGGAGACTGCTTGAAAGGAGGTGGAGGAAAGATCCAAATGAATTCAACTGAACACTGGTAAGAGCTCATTATCGAGCCAACCTAGTGGTAGTGAAGGCAGCAAAAAAGCATAATTTGCTTCCTCCATTGCATCTTCATTATGTTGTCTGGCAGTGCTTTTCCAAGTAGTATGAGGCCTTTTACAGGCTAGCCCAAAGGATGTGGTAGAACCAATGGTAGCTCACTGTGACTTGTTTATCTCACACCAGCTAGGTCTGATGGGAGCTGGAGTTCAGCAACTTCTGAAGAGCTACAAATTTCACATCTCTGTTCTTTGTTGTTTTAGTGAACTCATGCACATGCGCCCAGATCATGCATTCATCATTATGTGGGACCGATGGAAAGGCAAGTATGTGTGTATACACATATACCCAATGACTACAGTACTTTTACCATTACCACCCTTTTTTAGTAGGATGGGCATACACCCATATATGCACCTAGTCATGCATGTTATTTGAAGTGGGGGGGTGATAACTCATCCAATGTGGAGGATCATTAGTTTGGTGAATACATGATCGGACAGTCTCCCAAGACTCTATTGACACTTTCGATTAAGTCAAAAGCTATTTTTGCACATCCGTTTCAAAGCTTGCCATTTTCCTGCCCAATATTGCCTTCAGTTCATGAGCATTTAAGACCTACTCCTGCCCAATTTTTGGTACTGCTATTCTTTTCCAGGTGTGGTATCAAAAGTGGTGACCAGGATAGGTCCCTTGTGCTTGATATCACATATAAATCTGGTTACTGATGCTACACATGCATCATGAACATGCCAGGGTTCTGTGCCTCAGGAAGGTGGAATGTTCAGTAATAGTTTGGATCTTCAAAAATGAATCACCAGCTCTTCCCATGTGTAATTTAAGCTGAAGTCACTCACAACATTTTTGCGTTACTTAAAATGCTATCCTACCGAAATAAGCAGGACTTCTTATTAAGCATCCATGGGGATGGGACTGAAAGTGCCTTACTGACAATGGATAAATTGTTCCCAATAAACAAAGCAAGAATCAACAAATATACGATGTTGCTCGCCTCCTATCTCCCAGGACATTTGTTTTAGCTAAGCCTCTTTGCTGGAAAGTGATGGACTTCCATATATTCAGTCTCACTAGTGAACATCTTATCAGAGAAGTGAAAATCACAGCTTGGGTTAATGCAGTGCTACCATCATCTAGAGGGATGCGGGTGGCGCTGTGGGTTAAACCACAGAGCCTAGGACTTGCCAGTCAGAAGGTTGGCGGTTCTAATCCCCGTGACGGGGTGAGCTCCCATTGCTCGGTCCCTTCTCCTGCCAACCTAGCAGTTTGAAAGCACATCAAGTGCAAGTAGATAAATAGGTACCGCTCCGGCGGGAAGGTAAACGGTGTTTCTGTGCACTGCTCTGGTTCACCAGAAGTGGCTTAGTCATGCTGGCCACTTGATCCGGAAGCTGTACGCCGGCTCCCTCGGCCAATAAAGCGAGATGAGCGCTGCAACCCCAGAGTCGGCCATGACTGGACCTAATGGTCAGGGGTCCCTTTACCTTTACCATCATCTAGACCTAGAGTTACTAGACCAGAACTTTAAGAAAAAGAAAAAAGAAAGGACATTTTGAAATTGTAATGTCTGAAATAGGAGACCTTCCATATGTGACTTGAATGATCTCCTTAGAGCCAAGAGTAACAAGACACATCATCACCTCTCTCAAACCACACCCAACAGGCATGTAACACTTCCACTGCATTTCAAATTCCCTCCCAAAATGTATTGGGCCAGCCCTGGTTTCGATTCCCAAATGCGGTGTTATCCCAGCAAGACTCCCATTCCTTATTTATCTGTTATAATGTTCTCCTAAAATCCTGACAGCTAAAGAAATACCCAAAGTGCCAAACAGGAAGCAGAATCTTAAGCTCCTTTTTAAAGTAGCACTAAATTTGAGTCAAGAGGTTTCACTCACATTGTGCCTTTCTATGCATCCATGCTTGAGTATTATCTAAATCCATGAAAAAAGTATCCATGAAAACAACATATCCTCAAAGTGCCTTATTCATACAGACCTTGGTTCAATTTTCTTTGAACTGAGCCAAACTTTTTATTATTAAAATGAGGGTAATTGCAGGGGGGTGGAGGAGGTTTGATTCCTAAAAAGATAGCCCCCCAAAAACTTGTTCTACGCAAATGGACCCTGAAATATTTAATGTAAAAAGCTAATTTACTGCCATGTGCTGTCAGTTTGGAGCGTATATGCAGATAATACAGGACAGACTCAGGAAAATGGTCGGACGATATCCCATGAAGTAACTGAGTAACGCCAATATTCTTGACTTTGAAACAGTATGAGGTTTTTCTGGAATTTCAGTTTCAATTTATTATTTTTGAAAGCCTGCTTCTTTTCCAAAACGATTGTACAAATTGGCATGAAAACACAGAATCTTAATCTTCTAAAGCTGACATTTACTGGAACGAATTCTTCTCCATTGCCTAGTTCTCAAATGCTGGACTTTCATCTGTTCCTCTTTTTTGTTGTTGTTGTTTTTGTGAATATGGAGATGCTTAAATTCTTGTGGCACTGAGAAAGTTAGCTCATACATCTGGATACACCTCTAAAAACCTAATCAGTGGCTTTGAATTAAAGATTCCGCAACAGGGAGAATAGCTCTATAACTTGATTCACCATTGCTGCCAGCTTTTGGAAGTTGGGGTACATATAATCAATACAAGGAGCTTAAAAAAAAAAGAACACAAGGAGCTAAATTGGCACTAACGGCTTGCTTTAAAATTTCCAAATGAAAAATGCTCTCCTACGATGATAAAGAGAGCGTGTGCTTTCATTCCTCTTTTATTTACTACCCTTTTGAGAGCCAAAGCTTGTCTCGGGTGCCACTCTAAGATTAAAAGCAAAGTGGCACCAACAACTAAAGAAAGACATCAAGTTGTATGGTTGATAAGAGTGATAAGAGTTTGAGGAGCATGGCTATACATTCCGACTCTTGGACTGTGACTGTAATATGAGGGGCAGAAGTTTGTGGAACAAGAGACCATCAGGGTCAAAGCACTTTAAAATTAAGATGAAGCACTAATCACCATTTGCTAACCTTCTAGTCTCTTCAGTCCCCCTTTCCACCAATTCCTAGCTAGCTGCTAATACAATTGTAAGGCTGCAAATCCTAAACACATTCATCTGGGAGTAAGTTCCAATGAACTTAACCAGGATTTGCTTCTGAATGGAAATGGATTACATTGCAGAAATGTCCTTTTAAAAAGTCTACCCTGACTAGAATCACTAATGGGCTTTATCTAACATTTTCTCTGCAGATATGAAATCATACAAAAGCGTGTATCTTATCAGCTAATTCCATGAGAGATACATCATTTTGCCATAGATAACAAGGTGGTAAATCTACTTGTGCCATTTCTTGCATGAGTCATTAGGGAGTCAGGTGGCAATTTACCCAATATGTAAACCCAGCAAGTCATTACAGCATACATTCTGTGAAACTGTTTAACCATTGCTTGAATGAGAGAGTCCCACTTTTGAAATTACCTTTCTTGCATAAAAAAGGAGCAAGACACATTAAATATAGGGTAGTAGAACTGAAGGAGGAAAGAATATACGAAAACATTGATTATATAGTTTTATTAGCGTGTGGAAGGAACAATAAAATGAAGCTTTGTTCTTGGTCAATAATCTGCTCTGTATTCCTTTTGCTGCAGATACATTTTCATCTACATGAATGCACACAGAAGAACATGGTAGGGTAGGGTGGTGGTAACCAATACAGTGCCCCCCAGTTGCCAATGTCCAAAAATGAGGGTACCACGTTGGCTTGTCCTGTAATCAGGTCTCTACAGCTTATGTTTTGCTAAGCCTACAGGTTGTATCAATAATCCTACCCTTTTGTGCAGTCACAGGCAGGCAGCAAAATTTGAGATCTATCAGATTCTTGGCTAAACAGCTTGGTGGGTCACAAGTTATGCAGACAGGTTGCAGTATAATGGTTTATATTCCTATCAAGTCGTATCATTAAGCGATCAGGACCTCCTTGCATAAGCATGGAGCTGCCCCTTTGGCACCTGGTTGCATTTGCACATGATGGAGACTTTCTTGGTCTTCCATCACTACTCCTGGTCTACCATTGGTGCCTTCAGACACCAGTGAATCAGCCTGGTGTAACCCCTTGTTAGCCAGGATTGCTTGGGTTGACCTTGTACAGTACTTGCTAAGTATATTGAAGAACAATTCCATAAACCTTTTATGTATAAACTTGCCAACTAATTAAAAATGAAATGGGGAGGATTGCCGTTGTGGCTTGAGCAGCTGATAAATAATGGAAATATTTCAAGGATGGAATCTGAGGCAACGTATCTGAACTCTACAGGCCTCAATCCACAAGAAATCTAAAAATTTGGCCTAAACAATTTAGAGTATTAGGTGTCCATGGCTGCTATTAGGATGAGGCCATCAAGGTGAAACTCTTATCCAAAGGCAAAGATGATACGGTGGTTCAAATCTATCTAAAACATCTACACACCGAGATTATATTCCCCAAGCCAGTTTCACAACTTTCAATTGTTCCTGACCAGCTTGATGTAGTCATCAAAACGCACTTCCAGCAACAAATGAACTATTTCCAAGTAACTGTTTTTCATTTTTGAATTTGTCTAATAAAAACAAGGCCCTAATACAATTACACACATTACAGAATCTCCTTAAGAAGGTGGGGGGGCAGCCTTTCTCTGTGGCTCGTTTCAATCTCATTTACGTATTTTAAAGAACTATTTTGAGTTAATTTTTCATAAAAACTTATAAATTCCAGCTGAATTTTCATGCAAACACGTTTTCCAAACCATTTATTCGACATGAAAGAGCTTTTATACATGCAATTTCTGGAGTTCACTTGCTAAAAGGATCCCTTTAAATATTTGTTTTCTAAAACGAAAGGAAAGATTTCTAGGAAATAAAATCAACAAAATGCCAAGAGAGGAAAAATAGACTAATTTTTTATGATTAACTTTTCTATTTTGTATACAGATATGCTGCATTTTCTGATTAAAATTCCTGATCTGTTAATGCAATGTGAATTTATGTACTTGCTTTTTACACATCCCACGTCTTAACTTTTTAGAGTGTGCGCATTTTATAATTTTTGTTAGGCTTCTGTTTCCTTACTGTATATAACTGCATGTTTGTTTGTTTTTGCACATCCTGCATAATGTAGCACTAGACTCTATTGCTGTCAACACAAATGTTCTTTCAAATATTTTTCCAAAGGTGTTTTCTGGGAGTAACTGTACATTTTTGTATGTTTTGGGGAAAAAACATGTAAAGCCCACAATACTGTGATTATTTTCATACGCTGATTCAACTGATCTAGTATAGGACAAAGGTCACCAGGAAGGTCTCCTGTACAAGCTCCATTTACTCTTGCTGAGTTCTCATTCATTACAACAGAGCAGTGGTATCTTTTCACTTTGAGGTGCAAAGTTCATTCTTGCCGATCTTAAAAGCTAAACTGCAAAACAAGAAAAAGCAGTGTGTTCCATAGCAGCATTTGTGAAATTTTCTTCTAAACCTTGCAACAGCTAAAACGGTGTTATCACCATCCTTTGTTTAAACAAAGGTTTCAATGTTTAATATTTGTGCTAGATTTTTGCCTTTGGCATGCATACTGGACCATGTTTATAACAAAAGTCAGTGTGCAGGTGCTGTGATTTGGCCAAGACGACACTCCTGAGAAATGATCACATGTGCGGAAAACACACCTTTCTGTCCAGCAATGAAGGGCTGGTGCCAGAAAACTCCCTGGTTTGTGACCTTGTTCTTGCAGCCTTCATTCAAAACACTGCTTTGGGGGGTGGGGCGTATTTTGTACATATTTTGCAAGCCACGCATCATGGCAAAAGAAACCCACAAGAATAACAGCTGTGTGACAGAGGAATCATCCTTTTCAATAAACGATGTCTATCATATTTGTCACCCCATAACTTACATTTTGTGAAGTACTTAACATTGTAGTATCTAGTGTCTGTAGATAAACAGGCTAAGCACCCATATCTAAGAAAATACGAATCTGCACAGAAAGGGCACTTTTTTAACAGCCTTAGGAGAACTGAAGTTAGTTCACCCAAGACAAAAACAAGCTATATTTCTTCACCACCTTTCATATGTTACTTATTTGCCCCCAAAGTGAATGCACATTTGCTTGCTCCCTAAACATTAATGGATCATGATCCTTGTTAAGCAGACAGTATTCACTCTTCAACACCATTCTTCTCTACTGCTTGTTCTAAACCAAGACACAGTTGGGAGTGGCATTCAAAGTAATCTTCATGTGGCTAACTGGGTCTCCTTGTAATGACAGCCATTTGTAGTTTAGAATTGCTTATTTACAAAACAACCCTAAATTGCACCTTATATTAAAATGATGGCCTGTGTTCACCTATTTCTCTCATTTTTAGTATACACTTTTGCAGTGCAAAGGGACACGGGTGGCGCTGTGGTGTAAACCACTGAGCCTAGGGCTTGCTAATCAGAAGATCGGCAGTTCGAATCCCTGCAATGGGGTGAGCTCCCGTTGTTCAGTCCCAGCTCCTGCCCACCTAGCCGTTCGAAAGCACATCAAGTGCAAGTAGATAAATAGGTACCGCTCCGGCAGGAAGGTAAATGGTGTTTCTGTGCGCTGCTCTGGTTCACCAGAAGCGGCTTAGTCATGCTGGCCACACATAGCTGTCAACGTTTCCCTTTTTTAAAGGGAAATTTCCTTATTCTGAATAGGATTTCCCTTAAAAAAAAGGAAAAAGTTGACAGCTATGTGGCCACATGATCCAGAAGCTGTCTGCGGACAAATGCCGGCTCCCTCGCCCTATAGAGCAAGATGAGCACACAACCCCAGAGTCATCCGCGACTGGACCTAACGGTCAGGGGTACCTTTACCTTTATGCAGTGTACACCTGGGATAATCCTCCCAGCAATCCTACAAGACAAGACAAGTTGATAAATACTAACTTACTTTCTCAAACCCACCCAGTGACCTTCATGACCACGGAAGGATATGGACCCAGATCTCAATAGTACTGACCACTCACTGCAACATCACAGACTGATCAGGGGCATAGTCAGATTGCAGATCTTTAAAATGGCCCAGGATTGCATCATTCTGATCCAATAAGCTGCACAAGAGCCATCCTTTATATCACGCTATTCATTTACAATGGAATATTTGTTCATCCACATATTGGACGCAACATAACATTCAGGTTCACATGTATGGCTGTTCCTTTAACTATGAAGATTTCTCAGCCTCCCCTTTTTAGAAGTGTCAGCATGCCTAGTGCCCTGGTGCCCTTACCCAGTCCCAACTTTGATTTTTCACATATTTTGATTTTAGTCTTTATGTATGTTAGGAAAAAAATCAATTCTGAAACACAGTACTCAGAGAAATTGTGGGGGTCTTTTGTTTTTTTGCTGTAGTACAGAAACTACCATCCCCTTGTTCTTTTACTCAGTATTTTATTTTCCGGACTTCCCTTTTAAATGCTGCAGGAATGAGCAGGGCGGGGAAAGATGCAAAAGAAGTAGCATTATTTAAGTTTTATCATTAAACCAGTTTTCATAGCTTCTGAAAATGTAATAAAATGTAAATTTCATTAGCTGATGTAATCCTAGTAACCAAATAAACATTTTTTAAAAACTTTTCCATTGTACAGCTTGAAATTTTATACAGAGATTTCAAGCATGCATTATGAGGCGCTGTGTGTGTGTGTGTGTGTGTGTGTGTGTAAATAAAACCATGAAAAATCTGTTCCCCATACCTTTTTTAAAAAACTCATGAAAAAATGATTGCTACATCTCTTCTCAGGTCATGTTTTATCAGTCAATCATACAGACACTTTAAGCATTTGAAAAATACTCCTTTCCATACTGGCATTGAAGTACTGGTGTAGCAACATGCGGTAATAATGGATCTTCTCCATAACTCAGAAGCATTTTATATATAGGAAATGATATTTTACCTTATTCCAGCAATACTATAGGTATTCACCAATTTGTGAGTCTTTTCTCTAATTCTCAACAAAATGGATACACAAATAAAAATCTTAAGAGAGGTGTGGCACTATCCATCTACCCAGATACCTTTGCAGCCAACCCAAAGACCAGCTCACAAGTAAGTTAGGGTTTACAGAGACAACAAAACAAGTGCAATCATATGATTGTGGCTCTTTGCAGACAGAGACCTTCAAAGCAAATTCCCACGGCCTTGCAATCCACAAAAAAAGTACTGACTTTCTTTGAACTAGTTCAGAATGGTTTAGGGTGCTTTGTAAGGCGAAAGGTCGAGTGCTTTGGAAGTTTTCTTTCAATAACTTTCTTTAGTGGGTTACATAGATACATATAGGTTATAGTGCAAATTCTAAGGAGTCTATTGTTTGCAATCATGGGCTGACATAATGTGCTCACTTAGTCTACCAGCAATTATTCTGATAAGCAGATATCAGCCAGATCACACCAATCAGGGGTAGTTGTGTAGGCTTAAACTGTACTGTTTCACAGCCCGACTTTAATATTTAAGAGAAATCAATTTATTTCACACAGAAGCACATTACAAGCTACAGCTAGATAGAATGCTTAAAATGGTCTGGTGATAGCCATGTTCAATCCACTACACTTAATTGTAGAAACATTTCTATTGTGTTTAACAGAGCTCAATCTGCAAAACAAATCCTCTTTTTATGCAGTTCCAAAATATAACAGCAAATTGTGTCTTTGAGTATAAAATAGTTTTCACAGTCCTAGTCTGCAATGTAGTTACATAAATCCCAAGAGAAGAAGAAAAGGAATGTTTGCATCAAGTTATTTCGAGTAACTGTTGGCTGCTTGTTAGTAACATGATAAGACAAAGCCCACCCTTTCTTCAGGATCTCCAACAAATGGCACTCAAAACTTCTCAGAAATGCAGCAGTCTATCGAAGTTATGTTCACCGGTTAGCCATAATGCGATTTTGCATTTATTTTGGCCTAGCAGACATCAAGAGTTGTTCTCTCAGTAAGATTATGAATAACATCTTTCCGTCTCTCACTTTAATGCGTCAACCTCAGCACTTCAGAAGCATTTCAGTTCCTTTTGTTTTGAAGAATACACATCTATTTTCTTATCACTGACACTTCTGATGGCGGAATCATTTCAGTTGCAGAACAACCTTCAAGAGGAATACAAAAGTTGGAAGCAGTAAGTCTAAGTAGCAACGTGTAACAACTATGTAGGTTCTCATGCTCAGACAACGGCTTACACAGCCTTTTAAAATGTTTGAATACATTTCAAACTTACACCCACACATTTTTTGCCTTTTTGTCTTCTCATCTAAAGGATAAAATAAGTCTCTAATGGCTTTCACACAACTAAGGGGTGGATTGGTAATCTTCCACTTGAAAAATAGTAGGCTTTATTTCACTTTCATAGCGCTTTCTGCCAGAAGAGACATTTCCAAGGCAACAAACAAGGGCAGGAAGTCAGAACTGAAAGGGACTCCAAATATCTTGCCACCCATAGTGAAGTATTTTGAATTCAGGACAGCTGAATAACCCCACTGCTAACACTAGCAAGCCTTCCCATTGCATTTGAATTAAGTTGTGGAGGGCCACAGGTTCCGCATCCTTGTCCTAAAACAAATATCTTTTGACTTATATGACCTAAAGAAGTCTCTCCTAGCCCCAGATAAGGTTCCTATTACATAATGAGGGCTTTTCCCCAGCAAAGTTGTCCTATTGGCACAAGGACTTCAATCGGTGCAACAGGATTTCCTTTTCCTCTCCCTGTGCCCCCAATCTGTAAGGTGGGTTCTTCCAGCCCTCCAGAGCAAATGGGGAGGGCAAGAGGCAGGCAGGAAGAGGAGAGGGAGAGGACATCCTGTTGCACAGACAGGTCCTTGCTCCAACAGGACAACTTTGTTGGATATATCCCATAAAGTGTACTCTTTGCATACAAATAACTGTTGCTAGTTTTATCAGGGAAATCATTTGGGTAATTTCAGCTTTTTAAAATAATGTGATACACACCTTATTGGCTGCTTCCAGTGAACTTATTAGGTTCTGTAGCTCTTCCTTATTAATTTCTATGGAGTACGGCTTGAGGTTACCATTCTCTGTCAAATCCAGATCAAGGTTTAGAAGTGGCATTTGCAGCATGGATAGTTTATCACTAGAGAGGGCAAGCTATACAGGAAAATAATTAGAAAGAAAACAGCTTAGGCCAGTTATGATAGCACTTTTACAACAGTGAGCGGATTCTGAAAGGCTGATAAAAAGTTATTTATACTAACTATATAGTCATGAAGATGTACATTCAAGGTATCCTCCTGTAACTGAGAACCCTGGACCAAAAAAATTTAATCAGAAACAACAACAAAGATCTGAGCAGCTTTCTATATGGAGCAAATACACAGGTTTCAAATCAGCTGGAGTGAAATTTCCTCTGGAAATAACCCAGTTAAAGGATGTGAATTTGACTTTCGAAAAGCGACAATAAAACATAGAGGCCAGGAGTTCCCCCACTGATATTGGCAAGGGAGGAGAGCAACTACAACATGTCTTCTTCTAGGAGAATTCTAGCTGCCATCAGGTGAGCTGTCTCTCGGAAGAGCTGTGTGGTGAGAGAGCCCTCAATGCAGACACTGTTATTAACCTCAGATTTGCAGAAAGGGATCTGCCCCCAGATCTACCAAGGCCAAAGCAGCCAGAACCCAAGTATCATAAATGGATCTGTTCCTTTGTTCTAGGGTGGGGAATACACTTGTGGAAGCTCACCCCTGCTATGAAAACTTTACTGAAATAAGATTGTAAGCCACCTTGTACAGTTTGAGAATGTGTTGCCTTGTTCTTGAAGAGCAGTATGTATCCTAAATAAATACACTAATTCATATTTATACATATAGATTGTTGTGAAGCAGAACTGCCAAAAACATAGCAGGGGGTGGGATCCCCAGTGTAACCCACAAAACTGCACACATTATGGAATCAGCTGGGCTTGGATACTATGTCCTTAGCAAGGCAGTATAGAAGCACTCGGGAAAGAAACCTTGGCCAGACAGAAGCTGTCCATGTGTAATACATTGCTTATCCCAACCTAGCAAGGGAATAATCCATAATAAAGCAAGACTATCTATTCAGAAAACATTCTTACTCCATCAGAGTAATTCTTTGGTTTCCAGGATTCACTGCGATTTGTCACTAGCACTACTAATACAATACTCACTGGCAGTGCTAATACAACCTGTCAAACCATATATGCCTCTCCAGCCTGCTCAGTCGCTGTCATAAGCACGCTTTCAAGAACAGAAAGCCAGCAAATACTCCCATAGACTTCAAAGGGTTTGGGTGCAAACATGTTTGGTGGGGTTTATAATCAACATATATACCTGAAGGTACAGAAGGTGATCTGGCTGTAGGTATTGTTCACAAAGGCTGAAGATATGCACACATAATGAACTCAAATTAGCCAGATGGGAAAGAGAACTGCAGATTAATCAGATTAATAAATTAAAGCTTAGCCATAAAGAAAAGTTGCAAGCCCTTCAGAAATGAAGAGTCACGTGTGGCTACAGATTAAAGGCTCACAATTTCTCAAGTAGGTTCCTGCTGAAATGTTCACATTCAACAAATAATGCTTTTAAGAACTCCAATAAGACACAAAAAAACCCACCTCTCTTTATCTAATGGCTTCCAGAACAAATTTAAGCAAGAGCCAATTTATAATCACAGTGAAGCAAACAGAAGCACATTAGAAGAGTAATCACTCTTCTGAGCAAACATTTTGCATGATGGCCAGATGTTCTGCAAACTACCAGCTGCATAATTCTCATTAACGTGACCAAACTACTATAATAGATTTAACACAGATCCTCTTATGCAGATCTTATAAACAACCTGAATGTTCAATATATAATCCAAGGGGAATTGTAGATTATATTGGCATGTTACATTGCTACAGCGTATTATACCATACAGTAAATATGCTGTAAACCAGTCCAATTCAGGAGAGTGAAGAAATGCTGTATTATGTACATTGTTCATTTATTGCATAAGACAAGGGTCAGCAACCTAAGGCCCATGGGCCACAAGCAGCCCACAGGGTTTGTTTAACCGCCCCACAAGCCACCCCCGAACAGAGCCGCCCGCTTGGTGAGTCCCCGCATGCTGTGCTAAACCAGCACGGCGCGGGGACTTGCTTCCGCAGCGCCAGAAATCACGTCTGCGCAGACACCAGAAATCGCAGGCATGTGCGATCCAGCCCACGGAAGGATCTCTGCTGGAGAGAACCGGCCCAGGCAAGGTAAACCTTGCTGACCCCTGGCATAAGACATAATAGCCCACATCCTTTCTATGGCTCATTTCAATCTTACGAGAAACAAACTCTCATGATTCTACCAACTGTTTAATAACAATTGTTTGGAACCTTTACTACATACTATACAGCAGGGACGGGGAACCTCAGGCTGCCTCCTCTCCCCTCAGTTGATCTGCCATAGTCTGTTTCAAAGTCTCATAGGCCACATATATTTGTCTAGATAGTCAGCATGGTACCCTCCAGATGCTGCTGGATTCCAACTCCCATAAGCCCCAGCCATTGTAGCCAATGCTCAGGGTTGATGGAAGTTGCAGTTCAGCAATATCTGGAGAGTCACAGTTTGGCTACCCTTGATCTAGCAGTCTTATACAGCTAGGAATGAAACTGTTAGCCTAACCTTCAGCTGCCAGTCAAAATCCAGGAGGCGTGCCGAACAGATGCCATTTGTTCTTTCAATCAGGGCATGCCTGATGTCATGTTTTCTGCTTTTCAAGCAAGTCACCACAGCTTTTTGAGAGTCAGAACTCAGCTCGTCCAATGGCTGAAGTGCCTACAAAACAAAACAAAAATGGAAAAAAAACACATAAACCTAACAGGCTTAACAATTGTATGATAACAATTGGCATTGTTTGTACTTGTAAATACGAGAGTTATTTTTTAAAGACCACATCATTTTTGTGTCTGTTTTGTAGGCACAATCAAAACCACCAGAATGCCTATATTACGTCAGTTCTACCTTTACTCTAAGTACTGACTAAAATATGGGCCTCAGTCTTGCAGCTGAGGACCACATGCAACTGGGTACCACCGATACGCAGGCAAGAACAGCTCCTACTGCTTTGATAACCAGCAACAAGCAGCTGGGCCCGCAAAACCCTTCATGTGCTCAGCTGTGAAATCCTAAACTGCCTCCCCTTTGTCAAAGCTATGGTGTAGGGAAATGCCTGAAAGAGAAAATGACTATGTGGCAGACTGTAAGAAATTCACACTAGGAGTGACATGGCATCCAGCAGTGAATGGCAAAACTCCAACTTGGGAGTGCAGGAGGAGGCAAATGCAAAGCTGCTTGGTTTGGCTGCAGGTGTCTGCACCTGCCCCCCTCTTTCCAGCTGTTTCATCATCCCTGATCATCTGATTACGAGTCTTCTAATCATGTAGCAGTGGAATGACTCTGCGGTTGTTGGCTGTACAATTATAGCAATGAACTCCTTGTTGGGTTAATTTCCCTCCCCCCAATTTCATTTTTGGGTTTCTTAAAATATATACATACTATTATTTTTACTTCTGAAAACCTTGGGGTTCCCCATGCATGCTAGTATCTCCCTCTTGTTTCTCAGTGCCCCCATTTTGGCTTTATGTTGGCACTCACCAACTGGGTTCGCTATCAGAGTAAGAAATGTTCTAGAGCATCAAAGCAAAATCAGAAAAATGGTAACCATTTCGGGAATAAAAATCAAGTACAGGCAGCTCAACGTGTTTTACCAGCTGTAGGTTAATACATCTGAGAAGAAAGGTCTTTAACAGAACTTTATCCCAAATGAAAGATTTAAGACATATTAAACTTCATTAGATTCTTTTCATAATCTACAAGAATTACAGAATACACTGGCTGAAGTACTAATGTATAATCTGTTTAAATTAAATTAAATTGAACTTAACTCTGCTTAATTTTGAAGCCGATACCTGTTGCAGATACACAAAGGCTCTGCTTATAACTTTCTCATAACGTAAAGAGAATTAAAAAATATATATATAACTTTCTCATAACGGTTATATTATTACATAAACTAGAATAGCAATACTGAGTCTTTATTTAAAAGTCACAAAACAAGTGCGGATACCTCTTCATCGGAGCGATCTTTGGCAACGGTACTTTTGAAATATGCCGAGGTTTGTTCTAGAACCTCCATCCATTCTGTCAAATTCCAAATAGTGTTATAGTCTTGATATCGAGGGTATGCGCGGCCACAAATCCCATCAATTACTTTGTGAAAGAACTGGAAGAAATGAGTATAAACAAAGCTTTAAGAGACAGCTGGTTCTACTGATGTTGCATTTTGTTGGTTTTATAGATGTTGTATTTTCTGATGTTTGTAATTATAAGTAGTGAACAGGATCTTTGCACATCTACTTTGCTATGCAACACCACATCATTTGCAATCAACAGTTTGATCACTCCCAAATGATAGTCTTAGCAAAATTAATTAAAATTAATAAAACGGACGCTGGGTATGCCTCTGTCCAGCAAGGGGTTCTGTTGAAATTACTGACTTAACAATCTGATCACCCACCCACCCCATATGGAGACGGTTCAGAATCATCTGTCTTCAGGGTTGGCCCAAGACATTTTGGCATCTGAGGAAAAAACACAAAATGGCATCCCCCTCCCCACCTGGGAAGAAGAGGTGAGTGAAGATCTACATCAGAAACAAGGAGGGGCCATAAAGCTCTATGGCAGTCGCCTCATGGGTGGGCCGGCTCTGCCTGTGAGATCACCTGCTGTTTCTGTGCCCATGTCTGTGTTATGAACACACTATCTTTGAGCCTTTTCGGGTGCATTAGTGAAGAACAAGGGGTGCAAACATAATTGATCACATGACACAACCCCCCCACACACTACTTGAATGGCAATGCCGAACAATCTTAAGAATTATTTTATTGGGGGGGGGCGACCATTAGGAGTTGATTCCTATTGCGAAGGGCAAAAGCACCAGGTCATGCTGTGGAGGCCATGCAGTCAGTTCAGGGCTCCACCAGCCATCAACCCTTCAGAAGCTGGAGCACTGCTGGCATGAAGCGAATGGAGCCTCCATGAACAGGAGCAGCGCTCCTCAGAAACCCGAGGGATGTTGGGGTCATTCGGGAAGGGGACGGCCCATCTTTTCCACGCCCTGCTTGTGAACCGTCACACATATGCTGGAGGTAAAACCCCGGGCTTTCAGGCATGGCCAAACTTGGCCCTCCAGATGTTTTCGGACTACAACTCCCATGATCCCTAGCTAACAGGACCAGTGGTCACGGATGATGGGAATTGTAGTCCCAAAACATCTGGAGGGCCAAGTTTGGGAATGGACCGCAGTCGCTCCTTCAGAACCACCTCTTTGCCTCAGAGCAAACCTTCCAACGCAGGCAAAAAGGAGCGCGCCTTTTTTACCCAATCAGCGGCCAGCCTTCTCCCCCTCCCCGCGTTCTCACCTTCAGCCTTTCCTCGGCCGGCAACTTTTCCGTCAGCTTCATCTTTCTGCCCCACCCATTCAAGCTGCGCACGCGCGGGGGTCTCGACCCGCTTCCCCTGGCGAAAGCTGCGAATGCGGCGGGGCCACGTGACCGCGCGCTGGCCAGGCTTCGCCCTATCAGAGCTCCCGAATAAAGCCGCTTCCGCCTCCGCGTCATCCTCCTCCTCCTGCGGAAGGAGACTGCGCAGCGGCTGAAGCGCCGCCCCCCTCTTTCAACGCATTCCCCCCCCCCCCCGCTCCCAGCTTCAAAGCCGTGGCTCTCCTTATATTTGAGTTGAAGTGCTAGTCCGGGCCAGGCACTTCCTGAGGGGAGGGCAGTTGGTTAGTGGTCCTACCCTAAGGCAGATCTTTATATCAATGTGTTTATGTTTCAGCAGAACAAGCTGCAAACCAGGTCAAAAAACAGCTGGTATATAATAAAAGTGCAATATAAATTAGCAAAATCACAATATACTAATCGATCACATTAGATGATGTGATTAACCTTGTGACAAGAAATAGAAAAGCATCAATCAAGCCACCCCATGTGTCTCACCTAGGGTCTTTCGCCTGGAAGGACAGGTTATACCCACATTCTCACCTGGGACAGAAACTGCATTTTCCTCTCACTGTTGCCAACCAGCTAGCAGACAAAATGCTCATTAACCCCACACTAGAATAACCAGAGGCTGTTGAAAAACGGGTGAGAAATCGTACAAACTTGACCTACAGCACCCACTCCTGTCTCCTCTGTAAGATCTACAACAGTGGGTTCTTTTCACCCTGGAGCATGAAACATTTTTCATTCATTCTCCCTCTGCTAGTGTTCCAGCCATCATGCACAGTTCAGAGGAAGCGGCTATGGAGAAGTTTTGCTTCATCATAACTCTAGAATTCAAGGCCATCCAGCTAAGCAGAGAAACTCTCAATTAAAATTGCAGGACAAATGTTACAACAAGCTGAGTGCAAATGTGACATGGCAGCACCAATTTGCATTTTATTTAGTGATAAGATGCTGCTGCATGAAACTGGAAGTTACAGTACAGTGAATGATAAAAAACAAACAACAGCCCCTGCCTGCTTGCCTGCAATCTAGTTCAAGATTGCAAGGCTGAAGTTGGTGCCTGGTTTCTCATCTGAAACAGCAGCTCTTTCTGTCCAATAGACAGCAGCTCCTCTGCCATCCCAAATAAGCTTTGAACAATCCCAGATCCTACACATTCATGAAGTTTGCACCCTTTGAGATGCATCAGCATTCTTTTCCGTCCAAAGAGTTGTTTTTGGTGCTTCAAATATCATGGTATTCCTATGTCAGTGGTTCCCAAACTCCCCCGCCAACCACTTGAAAATTGCTGGTGGTCTTGGAGGACCACTTAATGATTTTTATGTCTCTTGTCACAATTGTAATGTGCTGTGCAAGACGCTATATTATTTTTCATTGTATTTCATTGCTTCTTTTAATATATTGTATTTTATTGTATTGCATGTTTCATTCCATAAAATTCAAATTACAGTATAATAAAATACACTATAAGAGTTAAAAGAAGTAATCAGAATACAATGAAAAATCAATGTGGATATTTAATGGGGACATGCCACAGGCCACCTGCATGAAACTCTAGGAAAGTCCTATTGGTTTCAGTGGGAGGCATTTGTGAATGTGTTCTTAACTTAAGGTTACCAGATTTTTTTCAATGAATCCGGGGACACTTTTCAACTTCAGTAGGAATGATAGGATTTTGTCAGGGGACTCATTTGTAAATCTGGGGACTGTCCCCAGGAAACGGGGATGTCTGGTAACCTTAGCTTAACTCTCACTGGCATAAAAGGTTGGGGATCTTTTGGGTTCATACTCTCATACTCAATTAATTCTGGTTAGTTATCACTTAACAAACTTAGTACCTTATGATATTCCCAACCAGGCAAAACACACCAAATGGTATTTACCTGAAATACAACAAATGTGGCATATGTTTTGTGCCAGATGGTTAAAGTAGTCTATAAAGTTTGTAGGTATATACCCATTGGGAGAGGGGGATCTTCATAGTACAGCCAAAGAAAATGGTTGAGGATTCTAAAGTGCATTAATGATATTAGAAGTGGAACTAGCATGGTAGTCACTTTCGTTCCAAAGTCATAAATAAGAGTGTGACCTTCTGCTTTTTGCATCAGAGACTACTGATTTGGGAGCCTGACTATCTGAAGGACTATCTGTACCAATATGAGCCTCCCTGTGCATTAAGATTGATGTCTGAAGGCCAATGGGTATTGGGAGGATGGCTTTTTGGGGTGGTAGTTCCGAATTTATGGAATTTATTCTCCCTGGAAATCCATCTGGCTCTGCTCCATCATTATTAGTTGTTGTTTTTAAAGAAACATACTGTATTTTTCCATGTACTGTATAAGATACCCCCTATTTTGGGGGACTCATATTTAAGAAAATGTGGGGAGATGACCCCATGTATAAGACACCCCCTAATTTTTTACATTATTTTATAGTAAAAAAAGAAAACCCTAGTCTTATACACAGAAAAATGTGGTATTTTAGTTTTCATCTACATTTTTCATAATTGCACTTTGGTTTAACTTATACTGTTAATTTTAAGGGGTTGTGTGTTTTCAGATAAATGATTTCATGTTGTTGTGATTGATTCTGGAGTTGTACACCACAGTGTGAAGATTGTTATGCCCTGGGAATTGATTAAGAAATATTTTAATAAATATTGGTATCCAGATATTAATTTGGCATTCTAGCCAAAGACTGCCTTGTCATGATACAAGGTGAGGCAGTTACCTCAGCAGGTTTGGGATACCACTGAAAGCAATAGTGTGGGAGATTGTGTCTTGGGAATCAGATTGATTCACAATCTGCCCAGAAGACTCCCACTTATTTGCCAAGGGGTGGTACTCTATGTTAACTAGTGACAGAGGTTGTTGTTCTGAGTTTTTTTGTCTCAGGCAACAAAATGACTTGGGTGAGTCCTGATCTTAGTGATTCCCAGTTTGCAGTGCCTGTCTGCCAGGCACCAGGTGAAAAGTCTGGAGAAGACAATTTAGGGGGGTATTCAGGACTGTTAGTCACATAGAATAAAATGCGGAGATCTCATTTCTGTCACAGTTGCTGTTAAATAAAGTGGGGGGACGGGACTAATGGGAACTCCTGGATATTCAAATACAAATATTGTATTTCTAGGAAGGCACTGATCCTAAACAAGAGTTCCTAGGATCTCAGCGGGACTTAGAGCTAATAAAGACAGAAGGAGTAAAAAGGGGGCAATTAGACAGAAGTTAGCAGCTGCAAAAAGAAATATGTTGAAGAGAAAAGTAAACACAACGACACAGAAGTTGCCACGGAAGCCAACGCTGCATTGCTCTAAACGGGTCCTCGTGGTGCAGAAATAAAACTGCTTGCACATTTGCAAAGCTGAGATTCCTGCTTTGGGGGGGGGGGGGGCTGTGGACTAGATGACTCTATGGGTTCCCTTCCGGCTCTACAGATCTGGGATTTCTGTGCTAGAGTTGGGAGAAGAGAAACGCTTGAAGGAGGCGTCAGAAAGGGCGGAGGCCGGGTCCTTGCAAAGACTGGCTTTTGTGGAGGCGATTCGCTGTCCCAGCCTTCCTCCCCCCCCCCCCACCTCGGTTGGTTCTTCCTACTGCAGCCGGCGAAGTGGGCGGGGAGGGGATCGGCTCCCAGCTGCAGGCGTCTGGCTGCGAGCTTAGGTTTCGGACCATAGTGGGAACAGCGGCGGCAGAGGGAGATCCTTCGAGTGCGCGGGGAGAATCGAGGCCGTTTTTGTGATGCGCCCAGGGGGAGAGGTAGTAAGAGGCATCTTCTCGTGCGAATTCATTCTCTCTCGTCTTCCCCTTCCTTTTGGTGCGTTGCTGATTCCCTTTCTATCCAGAGCGTTTTACCACCCATCCCGCTCTGTCGGAATCCCCTCGACATAGTCAGAAAGTTCTATTCTCCTGGCTTTGCTTTATTAAATCAGGATTTTACTGTACTTGTTATTCATCTAGAAAAACGAACGTAAGTATTCCTCAGACGCCCCTCTCCAACGCTGCAAGTCTTGTGCATCTTTATTATAATACACTGTATACACCTTTCACCCTAACGTCCCAGGGGCAGGCACGTTATAAAATTACAGTACCTGGTACAGGAAGCCGCACTGAACTTTTAGGATTTACTTCTGAGTAGGCAGAAGTAACCTAAGGAAGGTTTTATCACAGCCGCATGAGGTAAACCTGTGCATCGCTCAGAATGATTGATTCTGTTTTTGTCTTTCAGTTTTGTATCTTCGAAATAGACCAGGACAGGTATCGGTGTGGGTTTGCAAGCTAGGTTGGTGTCCTTCTATTTGTTGAACTTTATGGGAAGTTAGAACAGTTTTGGGGAAAGTAGAATAAAGCCTCATGTGATCTTTGTAATTATGGACGCAGGGCAGAGCTGTATGGAGTTTGTAAGCTGCAGTTCAACGTTTGCATTTCATTAGGATGGCCAATCTTTTTGGCGAATGCGTGGTAAGTCAAATCTAAAGTATGAGCACAAGTGTCCCATACTACGTGCCTTGTGTGGCTTTGCCTGTCCTATTTGAGCTGCAGAATACCGTATTTTTTGCTCTATAAGACTCACTTTTTCCCTCCTAAAAAGTAAGGGGAAATGTGTGTGCGTCTTATGGAGCGAATGCAGGCTGCGCAGCTATCCCAGAAGCCAGAACAGCAAGAGGGATTGCTGCTTTCACTGTGCAGTGATCCCTCTTGCTGTTCTGGCTTCTGAGATTCAGAATATTTTTTTCTTGTTTTCCTCCTCCAAAAACTAGGTGCGTCTTGTGGTCTGGTGCGTTTTATAGAGCGAAAAATACGGTAGGTAGCAGCACAGTTTAGGAATGAAAGGCAGGAGAATTGATTGACTCTTATCCTGTGGGCAGGCCTGCAGGCTTTCCTGCACTTGTCAAGGTGTGCCGCAAATCCCCACTGCCTATATGCCACAGGTTCTCCATCCGGTTATTGGGGCTTTAACATTTGCATTCAGTATTAAGGGTTCTGTCTTTGGGAAAGTTCAGCCTGTGGCCTCATGGCACAAGCAAGCTGGATTTTCTTGTTTTGCCCCTATTGAACATAGTGGAGTAAAGAGAGGGAATTAAATTTTTAGACAGAATTCTGAACATTTGTATAGTACTTCCATACATTTAAAGAGCTTCCCATGCATTATCTTGTTGCAGTCCCTTAGAACTAGCAGTTAGTGTTATTGGTCCCCATATTGCATGGGTGGAGGAGATAAAGAATGAGAAAGAGTGTGTGGCTTGCTTTTAGATCAGCAGGTGAATTCATTGCAGAGGCAAAATTTGAACCAAGGAATTCCTGACTTGTAGATCATTCTCTGCTGTGAACACACCATATGATTTCCCCCAAAGAATCTTGGGAACTGTAGTTTGTTAGGGTTGCTGCAAATTGTAGCTTTGTGAGTGATAAACTAGTTCCCAGGATTCTTTGGGGGAAGTCATGCGCTTTAAACGTATTGAGCCTGGTGGTCTTATGATTTTTGTTGTCTGGGGGGAGGGGTTTGGTAATGGATTAGCTTTGATGTTAATTTGTACTTTTAATAGAGATGGTTATATATATATAATTACTATTAATTGACCTGTGTTTTGGATTGTAAATTACCTTGAGTTACTTTGATGATTAGGCAGGGAACTATAAAATATTTATTTTGTTAAAAAAAAAAAAAAAACCAGTACCCAGGAAGCCATTTAGAGTTCCCTAGCTACAAACTAAAGATTTCCTTTGTGCCTTTAAATCTCCTGGGAGATGAGGCAGTTTCGGCTTCTCCCACCTGTTTTTCATGTGGGCACTATCTATCTACTGCCCTTTTCTACCTGTTGCATTGTAGCCTAGAGACCTGTTTGCTACAGCAACCTTAACTAGAACACACTAGCAAAATGGCAGCAATCAGCATTGTATGTGAGTATTTAGCTTGTGGGATTCTTGTAGCAAAAATAACAATAAAACTAGATGCTTAACTCAATAAGCTGAGTGTCAGTAAAGCATGTAGGATCATGCCCTGTTCTAATGCTGAGTGAATAATTATGCGTCAGACCATGCTGCCCTGCACAATATAATTAGGCTTCCCATTTTCTGAGTTGATTTTGTCAGATCATGTGAAAAGGGTTTTGATTTTGTTGTATCTTCCCCACTCCCAGCCCCAATGAAAGAATCATAATCAGATTAACACATGGCTGATGACAGCATAGAGACCTGAAGTGCCATGTTTGTGCCACGGCTTGTTTAAAGTGGAAGGGTTAATAAGACTCACTATGACATTGAGTTAGGCCTGCATTTCTACTTGGTATACTGGCCTGGTTTTCACAAAATTCTAAACCATGATTTAGTGCGTAAACCACCAGCCCTCTGATTAACAGCCAGACACACAGATCCATTGTGCCACAAGAAGTATCCCCTGAATGAAGTATCCCCTGTCTTCCTCCTGTGCAGTTGGTTTGCAGGAGGTAATGTCATTGATCATATTTTTCCCTTTCTTAAAACACTCTGGGTTCAGTGTTTTGCTTTTAAAGTCTCAGGTCACTCACTATACTGTAGTCCTATTGAAATAAACAGGTGTTAACTATGCTTACGTAGTGATTTATCTGCTAAGGTCTAATTAATTATGTACCTCATAACGTTCAAACACAAGACTGGAGTTTTCTTTTTGTTTTGTTTTACTATCTATTATATGTTTGTGTTCTTTTTCCCCCTTTAAAAAAAAAATATTGATTTTTCCCCCACTAACAACAATCCAATATAAGCCACATTAATACAATACCAAATCTTAATACAATCAAAAGAGCCAATTATCCAATTCCAAATTAAACATTTTGGGTGACTTCCCATTTTCTGTTTCTCAGGAGATGATGATGTTACTTCGTCCTGTTCCAATCCAAATAAAACAGTTCTGATCTTAATCCTTTATTTTAACAGCCACTGATGTGATGATTCAGTTCTTGTTGCACCACAGCCTCACGCCATCTTGCTTTTCCAAACTGAAAGAGATCTTGTGTCTGTCTATAGCTCCGGGCAGACTTTCAGCATTTTCTTCTTTGATTTCTTTCCCATCTGTTAATAAGCTGGTGTCTCGCCAGAGCCATAATAAATCAAAGTTAGAGTCCTCTTTAGAGGGTAATGCCACAAATCATTCCGATGTTTTCACACAGTTCCATTCCTTCAATCAATCCGTAAATATTATGAAGTTCTTGTTAATTTCCTCTTGCATTCCATAAATAATTGCATTCCATTAATAATTGCATTCCATTAGTAGTTAATTTTTTCTTCGATGAAGGTTTGCTGAATCATAAAGTAGCATATATAATGTAACGAGAGAACAAAGGCTCCCCTCCACCTACATACCAATCCAGTTATGGCGAAACTCCTCTCCAGATCAAAACCTTGACACTCAGTGGCTGATTCATTTAGCAGGTTATCTTGTCTCCTTTGTCCAGAACACACCTGTTTCTTAAGTCCAAATTCAGATCCATCTTACAAAACAGAAGTACCTCCGCTCATGGTGGCTGCGTTGAAGAGTTTCCATTATGTGCAGTGCTATTCACTCAGTGTCCCGTCCCCCCCACATTCCATCAGCACGAGAGGCAGGTTTCGGACAACCTGCGAGTGAAAGCTCACCCCCCAACCCTGGGGAGGGCTTGCAAGGATTATCCTTATTATTAAATTATCCTTAATTTGCTGCATGGCCGGTATCCGCTAGCGTGGGATGCGCTGTTTACCATGGCAGTGAGCGCCGGAAGTCCATGTTTGTCTTTCTTCAAAACTGTACTATTACAGCTCTGATTGATAGTCCTTTTACTGGTGGGGCTTCAGGAGTTGGTAGGCACGCTCTCTATTTCAGTGCTCTTGTTTTTTTAAAAGCTGTAAATTCAGCTATAAGCAAGGTATTTTCTTGGGCTGTCTGTGGGACACCTAGTATGAGCAGATTGTTGATTTTTTTTAAAATCTAAGAAAGACTACTTACACATAAAAAAGAGGACGCTCGATTCCATAATAGGAAGCAAAAAGAGGCCACATATTTACATATGCCAATTTATTTTTGTATATATACTAATCTGTGAATAATTACTATAATTTCAATGGAAACCCAGTACATTGGTACCTCGGGTTACATACGCTTCAGGTTACATACGCTTCAGGTTACAGACTCGGCTAACCCAGAAATAGTGCTTCAGGTTAAAAACTTTGCTTCAGGATGAGAACAGAAATTGTGCAGCGGTGGTGCAGCGGCAGCAAGAGGCCCCATTAGCTAAAGTGGTGCTTCAGGTTAAGAACAGTTTCAGGTTAAGTACGGACCTCCCGAACGAATTAAGTACTTAACCCGAGGTACCATTGTACATCTCACTGTCATGAGGAAGACGGTGGCCAGGTGACCTGTTTGCCTATGGTGTTAATAGACAAGGCTGTTGATCTCCCTTATTAGACTGGACTTCAAATAGAAAAACCATTCAAATAGAGGACAGTCCTCTGGCAGCTGTCTTCTGTAAGGTGGGACACATATTCCTTCCCCATAAAAGGTAAAGGTACCCCTGCCCGTACGGGCCAGTCTTGCCAGACTCTAGGGTCATCTCACTCTATAGGCCGGGAGCCAGCGCTGTCCGCAGACACTTCCGGGTCACGTGGCCAGCGTGACAAGCTGCATCTGGCGAGCCAGCGCAGCACACGGAACGCCGTTTACCTTCTCGCTGGTAAGCGGTCCCTATTTATCTACTTGCACCCGGAGGTGCTTTCGAACTGCTAGGTTGGCAGGCGCTGGGACCGAACGACGGGAGCGCACCCCGCCGCGGGGATTCAAACCGCCGACCATGCGATCGGCAAGTCCTAGGCGCTGAGGTTTTACCCACAGCGCCACCCACGTCCCTTTATATTCCTTCCCCATATATTCCACTAATTTAATCGTCTTCACGGTGATCCCCGCAGTGCACATTCTCCTCTGTTTTCCTCAGAAAATCAGCTTGCTCTTCTTAGTTGTCTGTGTAAGGAGACAAGGCCTCTGTCCTCCTTGATACATTTCATTATCAAGGTAAGGCTGTGGAAGGGGGTCTTCGAGTCGGAGATTAAGCGTGAGGCTGATTGAGGATCTCGGGAGTCTGAAGTTAACGGTTCTGGGGAAAGAGGAAACGTTCTGAATCTGACTTCCTACAGACTTCAGGTTCCCTAGGGTCGGTGGTCTGAGCCTAGTAACAATATTTTTAGGGTCCAGAAGGGAGGGACTGGCAGTTGTACACGTGTGTGTGTGTGTGTGGCTGAGAGGAGCAGGCAAGTGTGGGAGCCATGGAATTCTGGAGCAGCCATCTTGTGGGTCACATGACTCTCTTTCCATCTCTTCTAGAATTTGAGAACAGTGGGAGTTAGTTTATAGTTCTGAAGAGGAAGTCCCTGAGCTTAAGGAAGGCGGTTGCAGCTCAGGGGCGGCCCAAGTTTCTGTGCCAAAGGAAATCCTGCCAATATCTTCCAATGGTTGAGAGCCACAAGGCACAGCCTCACTGCTGTTTCTCCTTCTGCAACGATCCCCATACAGTACCTTCCCTAGTTATATCTTCTCTGTCGACGGACCTGGCTGTCAACACTGCTTCCTTATTCCCCCTATGATTCCCACCCCCTTCCTTTGCCAGGGCCTTGCTTCCTCTTCTCCTCTTTCTCAACTTCTGCCAGGCATAAAACTATTCCTTTCTCTCTGCTTTCCAGCGATATTACTGCTTCCTCCTGAGCCTTAAGCCCTACCCCATGCTCCCGGGATCCATTTGGCCACTGTGTGGCTAGGGAAAGGGATGAGAGAAGGAGAAAAGGCACTCTAATTCTCTCACACATTTTTTGACTTACCCTTATAGATCAGCTTCTTCCCTTCATCTTTCTAAACCTGTCAGGAGCCGCACCTGAACTGCACGGCAGCCATATATGATTTGTGAGAAACGGTTTGACCGCCTAGGCCGCAGTCCCGTAATCCAGTATTTTTCCGTTTAAGAATTATGTTTAGAAAGCCTGCTGTGCTGCTCCTTTTGCAAATCCCTTCAGCGGCGATGGCTAAAGAGTCGCTAAATGTTGTTGCATGAAAATAATGTTACTTTGCTTTGGAGCTGTGTGGATCCAGAATAGGTAAGGTGCTATTTTGCTTAAACCACTTGGTTTGTTGTAGCGGTTGCTAGGCTGGAGAAATCATTATGTGGCACCAAGCATTTGAAAGGCATTCAGCCTTACTAAGCGAGTGGCACTGTTCCCCATAAGTAAGGGGAGCGTGGATGTAGCCAAGGGGGGGGGGCAGAGAGGGGCAGCTGCCCCCCAGGAAATAAAAATCAATAAAAATACATAGTGAACTGAGGTTCTTCCCCCCTCCAACAAAAATCCTGGCTACGCCCATGATGGGGAGACCATTTGTCCCCCAGCAAATGCTACCACCCAGGTATCTTTGGCATTGTCTCTTTGGGATAGCTTTGGGTGTTGTCCCAAATGTGGTGGGATGTCTTGTGAAGGTCTTAAGGCCCCTTGGTAGCTCTAGCTACGTACTGAGTTTTGTGAGAAGGCTTTTGAGAGGGGGAGAATGTCCCAGTTCAGTGGTACAACATCTGCTGAGCATCTGCTATTCTGATCCCTTGCATCACTGTAGGGCAGGGGTCAGCAACATTTTTCAGCCATGGGCCGGTCCACTGTCCCTCAGACCTTGTGGGGGGCCGGACTATATTTTGAAAAAATATATGAAAGAATTCCTATGCCCCACAAATAACCCAGAGATGCATTTTAAATAAAAGGACACATTCTCCTCATGTAAAAACACGCTGATTCCCGGCCCTTCTGCGGGCCGGATTGAGAAGGCGATTGGGCCGCATCCGGCCCCCGGGCCTTAGGTTGCCTACCTCTGGTGTAGGGCAAGGAAATATTTCCTATCTGAAGCTCTGGACGGCTGCTGCCAATCAGTGCAGACAGTACTGAGCTAGGAGGAGTAATGATCTGGTTCAGTATAAGGCAGTTTCCAACTCTACTACTTGGGTCATTGCAAACATTGAGACAGCAAAGAGGGCCAAGACTCTTCAGAGAGTGGTCATGGGGATTATCAGTTTGTTTTTGTTCTTATTTTTATTATGTATTTTGTTTTTTATATTGTCATTTTGTGTTGCAAACCGCCCCAAGATCTTTGGGTATAGGGAGGTATGCAGATTGAATAAATAATAAAACAATACTAAATAAAACTTTATGTTGGCCCTTACCGTGTTATTAGCTGGCCGAAAGGGCCTTGCCATTTTCAGGTGTGCTTCTCGTTTTTTAGTCAGCAGTGGCTCTGTGCACTGAGCAGTTTCATTTCTGGCAGAAATGTAGCCGTGGGTGGCTTTCCTCTTTGTTGCGTCTCCTTGAGCTTCACCTGATTTTCTACCTGTTGCTGAGCTGTTGAATGCTCAGAGCTGCCCTCAGGGGCCGGGGAGGCAGCACCCTTATATATACTTCTCCATGATGAGGTTTGTTATCTGGAGCCAGTCCTCATGCAGAAAGATTGCGTAAGCTGCTTATCGACTTTCTCTGCACACTGAAGAGCAATTCGGCAGCGTTCATTGTGGCAGAAACAACTATATTTGGGTCAGGTTAGGGAATGCAGCCCAGCAACAATTTGACTTTCTAGTTCCTGTATGTATTTCCTGAGAAAGTTCTCCACACTTAGGGCTAGAAGGTTACGAAACGGAATCTGCCTTGGTTTAGCACCACTGATTTCAGGACATTGCAGGAGAGATTTGCTGAGTCAAATATTTTGGGTACATAAACAGAAGGGACAAATGTACTGATGTGGTATCTCTGGGTGTCCTCTCAGCTAGAGGGCTCTGAAGTTCCCTTACTAAATGCACATGATAGACTGCAGAGTGGTCTAGAATGAACATATAAGGAATCTGCAGGAAAACCCCAAAGGAATATTTTGGCAAATCCATATTGCTGAGGTTACACCTACACGGCAGTTTTTGAAAGGCAGTGAGCTTCGCACTTTACTTGTTAAACAAGTTTTGTTTGCTAAGTAGCCTTAAAGATAAGCAGAGCTGTGGTAAAGAAGTACTATAGATGCTTTGGGTATACCTACTTGAAGACTTGCACCCATATATTAAAAAGGTACACTAATTAGAATTTGGACTTTGAGCACTCAGGATGTGGGAGGGAGGGAGAGGCAGACTTTCATTATTTCACTTCCCATTATAAATACTAGTCACTCCTTCAAGTGCAAAAGGAGTGACTAGTATTTGAAATTGAATTCTGAGGTACTGATTAGGACACCTAAAGGCTTTAAAAATTACCGTAATAATAAAATATAAGAGCCCCTTGAAACAGGCATTGGCCATTATGTCTCTGTTTTTAAGTATATTATAGTTGATTGTTAATAGGTTATATCTCTTTATTATTGTCCTTTGAGAGACTATGAAGTGATTGGGAAGAGTTTGGTATTATCTTGCATTTTAAGTGGGACCAGTTCTCACTGCCTGTGCTATGTTGCTTTTGGTTTTTCCTTGCTATTCTTATGGTTCTGTGCATGTGTTGAGTAGTGGATCTCCACTGTCGGTGAGGGGGAATTATTTAACCACAATCACATTAATTCCCTGGAATTAATGCAGACCATTGCAGGGAATTTAGCCCTGAGAATTGGCCTTGAGCTGTATGGGATTGATCTCTGTTTCAAATTTTAAACTCACTGTCACAATATGTAATAACATGACTAAGTTAGACAAAACAACACTTTTGAAACATGATAAGTTGCTCTCATACAGGTTAAGCATGTACAGTATTAAGGTGGATAAATAAGTATTTACTAGACTGTAATTTTATGCATGCTAATTGCCTGAGTCACACCATGTTTACTGTACTTAGAAAGTCCACTTGATTTTATTCTACCTTTATAGCTTTGTCTCAGGTTATAATGACAGTTAAGATCAGATAGTATGCTACTTTATTTCTTTTAGGGTGATATCCATCATTAGTCCTGTTCAGAGTAAAAGGTAAAGGGTAAAGGGACCACTGACAATTAAGTCCAGTTGCGAACGACTCTGGGATTGTGGCACTCATCTTGCTTTACAGGCCGAGGGAGCCGGCGTTTGTCCGCTTCCACAGACAGTTTTTCCGGGTCGTGTGGCCAGCATGACTAAGCCGCTTCTGGCGAAACCAGAGCAGCACACAGAAACACTGTTTACCTTCCTGCCGGAGTGGTACCTATTTATCTACTTGCACTGGTGTGCTTTTGAACTGCTAGGTTGGCAGGAGCTGGGACCAAACAACGGGAGCTCACCCCGTCGCAGGGATTCGAACCGCCGACCTTTCGATTGGCAAGCCCAAGTGGCACAGTGGTTTAACCCACAGCGCCACCCGCGTCCCTCTGTTCAGAGTACACCCATCTAAATAAATGGAAATCACTACTACTATGTGTAGGACTAATCTTGGATATCACCATTAAAATAATTCAATTCTGCTCAGTGTATGTTGGTTTAATTTTTAACCTTTAATGGTTTAACCTTTAAAATGCATTAACAAGGTTTATATAAAGGCATAATTTGTGTTCATATGGATTGCCGTGACTATGAAAGATGCAGAGATAAACTCTAATTGATGCTGATTAGTATCTGGAATGGTAGGTAGCTCTGGGGCTTGTTAAGACAAGACCTGGATCAGGTTATCCACAGATGTTTATACAGGTTCCAACATCTCTGTAATGTTTCACAGTATCAGAAGCACTTTTCTATTTAAACCTTGCTTGTGTGTTCAGTTTGGTGAATGATAATTCATGAACTCTTCTGTAGACAATGGATTCTATGGTTTTCCTGAATAACGGAATCTAACAAGTTGGTAGGGCTTTTTAAGGGTGAAAACTTGTTTAAGAAGGGATGAATTTCGGATATTTGTGTACTACCTTTCTGTTTGTAATTAACAGTTGATTTCAATCTCCCCCAGTAATGTAACATTTTTTTATCTTGACCTTCCCTTCCTACACACCCTCTGATTACCCTTCCCTTCATTCATCCTTGCCATCTCTTTCTCTCCCCCTTTGCAAAATGAGCATAAGTTATGCCTCAAGTATTTATATGCTATTTATTATTTCTAAGAAAAGAAAAAGTTACAGAATGGCTCCACTTTCATCCATTGCACATTTAAAATATAAATGTATAGGTCATAGTAGCATCCTAAGCTTCACAAATAAGGTAATGCTAATATAGAACCAAACATCTACCTGCACCACTCGAATTGGTAAATACAGTGGTAGTTGGTAACTGGAAAGACTGACAGCCAAATCTAGAATAGAGCCCAGGAAGTGAAAGGGTAAGTCATCTCCTCCCACCCTCCTTGCTGTTGCAGGCATACTCGTTGTTGCAAAGAGCTCAGTTGCATTGTCATTCCTGAGACGTTGGAGTAGGCTGAACAAAACGTGGCTGCAGCAAAGGCTGTTGGTTTCTGGCAGTTTGCCCCGTCTTCCCTGAATGAGATTAGTTCCTTGAAAGGTTCTTATTTGGCCCTAGGAAGTTATAGGTAACTAATGAGCTATCTGGAAAACTAGTTCATGGGCTGCAGATAGACTGCATTGGTAGATGTTTCAAACCAGTTGCATACTTCCTCAGAGGCCCTTGTCCACATGCCCTGCTTTCAGAAGTTAGGTGGGCAGCTGCTGGAGAAAGGGCCTTCTCTGTGGTGGCACCCAAGCTCTGAAACTTTACTCCCAGCCGTGTTCACCTGGTGCCTTCACCTCTCTATCTTTTAGGCATCAGACAACGTCTGCCCTGTTCTTACAGTGGCAATTGGGATAGGGTGTACTAAAAAGCAGTGTTAGAAACTCAGATATATGTTAGATGCCAAATGGCTCCTTGAACCAGGGTTATAGTCGCCAAAACAGAATGCTTAGTTGCCACTAAGGATGGTTACACAGTTGTATTTTTGAATACGACGTTTTGGTTCCTGAAATTCATTCTGATTGTGCAGATAAAATATAATGGATAGAATTGTACAGGATCTGTTGCTAGCGTGTGAAAACAGCCAATAATATCCAAGGATCCCCAGGCATGCACCTCCAGATGGTGGAGACATCAGGCGCTATCCTGGCACCCAGGATTCTTCACTTGGTTGCAAGTGGCTGATAGGCAAGTGCAAGATGCACCTGGCGAATTTCAAATGCTGCTAAAAAGAATGGCAAAAATACCCACCAGAAACAATGGGAGCTCCCTGAAGGACCACAAGAAATAATGGGAACAGCAGATGTCAATTGATATGACCAGGCACCATGGAAATAAATATGTTGTTGTTGTTGTTTAGTCGTGTCCGACTCTTCGTGACCCCATGGACCAGAGCACGCCAGGCACTCCTGTCTTCCACTGCCGCCCGCAGTTTGGACAAACTCATGCTGGTAGCTTCAAGAACACTGTCCAACCATCTCATCCTCTGTCGTCCCCGTCTCTTTCTGCCCTCCATCTTTCCCAACATCGGGGTCTTTTCCAGGGAGTCTTCTCTTCTCATGAGGTGGCCAAAGTATTGGAGTCTCAGCTTCAGGATCTGTCCTTCCAGTGAGCACTCAGGGCTGATTTCCTTAAGAATGGATAGGTTTGATCTTCTTGCAGTCCTTGGGACTCTCAAGAGCACCATAATTCAAAAGCACCAATTCTTCGGCGATCAGCCTTCTTTATGGTCCAGCTCTCACTTCCATACATCACTACTGGGAAAACCATAGCTTTAACTATACGGACCTTTGTTGACAAGGTGATGTCTCTGCTTTTTAAGATGCTGTCTAGGTTTGCCATCGCCTTTCTCCCAAGAAGCAGGCATCTTTTAATTTCGTGGCTGCTGTCACCATCTGCAGTGATCATGGAGCCCAAGAAAGTAAAATCTCTCACTGCCTCCATTTCTTCCCCTTCTATTTGCCAGGAGGTGATGGGACCGGTGACCATGATCTTCGTTTTTTTGATGTTGAGCTTCAGACCATATTTTGCTCTCTCCTCTTTCACCCTCATTAAAAGGTTCTTTAATTCCTCCTCACTTTCTGCCATCAAGGTTGTGTCATAAAAACAGGGAAATGGCTCCCATTGGTTCCAATGGACATTCTTGTTATTTCTTTTCATAGATCAAATCTGAAGTAATTCATTTTAATGCCTATTTGACTGATAATGAATTCCTGTCAAGAGACTTGGGCAAGGCTTACCAGGGTTGTAGGGATTTAAACTCGGGTCCCTGATGTTTCAAGTGCAATACAGTGGTACCTCGAGTTACAAACGCCTCAGGTTTTAAACGCTTCAGGTTACGAACTCCGCTAACCTGGAAGAGTTACCTCGAGTTGAGAACTTTGCCCCAAGATGTGCCGGTGGTGCAGCAGCAGCAAGAGGCCCCATTAGCAAAAGCACACCTCTAGTTAAGAACAGTTTCAGGTTAAGAACGGACCTCTGGAACGAATTATGTTCGTAACTAGAGGTACTACTATATCCTATCCTCTGAACCACACTCAAGACAGATACCATTCTACACAAACACTGGAGGTAGGATAGCAACTGAAGCTACCAAGGACTGGGTTCAGAACCTATCAGTGTCATTCTGTCTAAACTTTATATGTGATTTATTAAAATGAAAACACACACAAAAAACTTCCCGGTTGCAGGTAAGGGGGTGGAGAGAATGGTGACTGGGCCATTTCAGGAGGATATGGATTACCTGGATCTGTTTCAGACTTGGTTCAGGCATTGTTTGGGACTGAATCAGCCTTGGTCATCCCGGTGAATGACCTGTATCAGGACAGGAGGAGTGCATCTTTGCTTCTGCAAATGTAGCTGGTAGCAGCTAAGTGACTGCTGTGGGTCTTACCAGAGTGGTGAAGCTAAGGTTAAGAAAAGAATGATGCTCCTCTCCGATTCAGTCCCAAACAGTGCCTGAACCAAGTCTGAAACAGATCCAGGTAAAACCAAGGTAATTTGATTTTTTTTCTTTTTTAAAAAATGGATTCCATTGAGTTTTGTACACTCTTAAGTGGTGCAGTAAGGAGTAACGATAACAACAAAAGCAAAAATAACAGTCTCTCGTGATTTGTTATAAATAAACTAATGCATACACAGGGAGGAGAGAAACAAGGAATGGAAACTAAAGATAGTTAAGCACATTAGTTAATCAAATCTCTCCAGAAATCTGAATCTCAGGCTGGTGGTTTGGAACCTGTAGATAAGGAAATCATGCAGGCAGAGGGCCTTCTCGGTAGTGGCACCTGCCCTATGGAACACCCTCTCATCAGATGTCAAGGAAATAAACAACTCTCTGACTTTTAGAAGACTTCTGAAGGCAGCCCTGTTTAGGGAAGTTTTTAATGTTTGATCTTTTACCGTGTTTTTAATGTTCTCTTGGGAGCCGCCCACAGTGGCTGGGGAAACCCAGCCAGATGGGCGGGGTATAAATAATAAAGTGTTAGTATTAGTATTAGTATTATAAATGACTTTCCCCACTGCCTTCTTTATCTCAGTCAAAACTAGGCCTGAACAGTCTGTGGTGTGGATTCAGTGAGCTGAACAAATGGCGAGGTTTCATTCACCGGATGCCTAGTCGCCCACAGTGGTTAAGCTGGAGTAGCTCAGTTAAGACCACATTTCCATTGTGGCTTTGGCCTTATAAAGGTGTCACGACTGCCAGCACTTTGTTATGCCTCTTCCCGCCCCCGCTCCCCAGTTCATTGAGAAAAGTTCCTTAGGTAACATGATCTTGGTGCACATTTCACAGATAGTGCCCCTGGGGCACAATGTTATCATCTCTCCCTTAACAGCAGTTCCTTGCATTGATGCTGACTCATGGATTTGGGTGACCAGCTGTGAGTTTAAATGGCTTTTCCTTTCAAAATGCTGTTATCAGCTTAGGCTCACACAGCTTTAACCGTGGTGCTATCCAGAGTTGGCTTCGAAGCCAGGTGTCTTTAGTGCTATATCTGCAGGCTATCGGAACAACTGCAGAAGCGAACATATTACAATACCTCATCATGGGGACTATAGCGGGTAGGATATATTCTGCAGTAGGGAAGCAAATCCCCATTTGCCACTGTTTTTGTATCGGAAAAAGCCAAACCGGGTAAATAAAAAAACAGGAAATAACTTTGCAGAAAAGAAGAAGAGAGAAAAGTCTGGGTGTAATAATACATTTCCTAGGTATGATTTATTTATACATCCTAGGTATTATTTATTTATACATCCTAGGTATTATTTATTTCCGACATTTTTCTAATGGTTCATGGCCATTAACAGTTTTTCCCATCTCCTTCATTCTCACAACAACCCTGTGAGGTTGGACACAATCCGATAGGAGCTGAGCAGGACCCTTCAGCACTACCCTTGGACTAATTGAGCATTGACTTTGGCCTGCACATTTTATTGCAGCCAGTTATGTCAAGCAAAGCCCTTTCCATGCTTTGCATAGGACGATCCAGCGGTCCAGTCACCCTTTGCATCCTCCCGGTATCCAGGCTGGGTATACCTAAGCAGGAACACAGCCACATGCAGGACCTAAGGACAAGCAGGTTTGCTAGATTATCCTAAGTGAAGTATGCAGTGGTGCCTGCTTGCGATGAAGTGCTAATGTGTGATGGAGCTCTCAGATATATGTATGGTTATAGCTCACCCATGCGGGACACGGGTGGCGCTGTGGGTTAAACCACAGAGCCTAGGGCTTGCCAATCAGAAGGTTGGCGGTTCAAATCCCCGCAACGGGGTGAGCTCCCGTTGCTCGGTCCCAGCTCCTGCCAACCTAGTGGTTTAAAAGCATGTCAAAGTGCAAGTAGATAAATAGGCACTGCTCCGGCAGGAAGGTAAACGGCGTTTCTGTGCGCTGCTCTGATTCGCCAGAAGCGGCTTAGTCATGCTGGCCACATGACCCGGAAGCTGTACGCCGGCTCCCTCGGCCAGTAAAGGTAGATGAGCGCCACAACCCCAGAGTTGGCCACAACTGGACCTAACGGTCAGGAGTCCCTTTACTTATGGCTCACCCACTCCAATTCTAGCAATATTGGGTAGGCTCTGTAATCTGTGCACACAGAGGGAGATGCTGGAAAAGTAGGTTGCACAGCTGACTTCTCTTTTTTTTTTATTTCAGCAGTTGTCAAGCCACGGGCTACAAGGAAAGAAGGATTTCTTGGTAGGCTATCTAACCTGCTAGTTGGTGGAAGAAGCAGGTTGTGTCTGTTCCTGCAGGGAAAGGGGGATGTGTTGAGTGAGAGGTCAGTAGGGGTGTTGGCAGATAATAGGCGGAGAGAGTATCTTGTTGGTCTCATTGATAAGAGAATTTTCCTGTTAGGGATCTTGGTCTGTGCTCCCTTTTCCCTGCCTATTAATACATAGAGCTCTCCAGTCAAACACAGAAGGGGGCACATTTTGAAAAAAAACATCTTGCACGAAGACTTTGGCTTTTCTTTTATAACAAACCCATCCCAATAAATAGCTCTGTAATGTCATTGTGCCATTTAATCAATGATTTCTGGTCTCTCTTAAATGGTTAGTGTCTTTATTATGGTTTTATATGGGCTGCAAGCCAATCCAGATGAGTGGGGTATAAATTAATAGAATAATAATCACCATCATCATCTAAAGTTACACTTCAGTGTTAATTTGTTATCATAAAGTTAAAAACTGGCTTTGGATGAATTGGGTGTTTCTCAACACAAAACAGCAATTTGTCGTGGCTTGTAATGTGCATTTCAACTTCACCCAGCTTATTCTGCAACTCTCTCTTTTTTATCCTAACATGCTGCAAAGTAAAGGACACGACTTGGTTTTCACGAGAACATGGAAGAGTCACTTCAGTGGGCCAGGTGCAAATGGCAGCGCATGGTTTCTTCAGAAGGCAATGATGATGTCACCTTCCAGCAGCCAGCCAAGACCATCAGTAAACACAGGATCGTTATACCATGTCTGGGGCATTTTAAGGAAGAATACGAAAAAGTATCCCACCTGTATCAAAACAACAGAATACGGACTACAAAGTACCGACTTTGGAACTTTGTACCGAAGAACATATTCGAACAGTTTCACAGGTAACGTGCACAGTTGTGAAATTAAAGGATAATTAGATAGTATTGTTTGCAACATTCAGAGTGAAAGCAATGGTAGTTTGTTACAGTAATGAACAGTAATGAATTACTAGATAATTTTGGGGACAGATAGTTCCAAATAATCTGCTGGCCCCTTTGAATACGTAATAATTGGCACCCTCGTGTTCAACATTTGCGATAGTTTAGTTGCATGAGATACTGGCATAATGGCACGTTTTGAATTTAATGTAACTGTTGATGTACCCCCGGGTGTAGTCAATGTGGTGGACCACAACTCTCACCATTCCTGGTCATTGATCATGCTAGGTAGGGGCAGGTGAGACCCATAGTCAAGAAGATTTGGAAGGCACCTGGTTGGCTAACCCTGGTATACCCTGTCCTAAGCACCTACGTCCTGATGTAGGAAGCCTTAGGTTTGGACTGTAATTTTAAACATAATAAAACCAAAAAGAGAAAACAGAAAAAGGTGATTTGGAAGCATAATGTTTGTGGGAGAAGGTCTGCATTTTGTGGTTGTTTGTAATGTTGCTTTGATTAATCAAGACACGTTTTCTGATTTTACTCTAGTGTTGTGGGATCTTTTCTGTCATTAGTCCCATGAAGTGAATGCCTAGTCATAACATGCATGCCCATAGTTTGCTATAATATCAATTTACCATTCTTAATGAGCTGAATACTAATCTGAAGTCAACTGCTACTCACTTAGGTGTGTCATATCAAGCTCCAGACACTTTTTTTTTTTTTTACACTCGCTTCAATGGCTGACACTAACATCCTGTGGGTTGTTGTGTTTGTGTTTTCCAGAGCTGCCAATTTATATTTCTTATTTATAGTTCTGCTGAACTGGGTTCCAGTGGTGGAAGCTTTCAGGAAAGAAATCACCATGATCCCTCTCATTGTGGTTCTCACAATTATTGCTGTGAAAGATGGTGTCGAGGATTACGCAAAATACCAGTTGGACAAAAAAATAAACAATATAGTGACTCAAGTCTATTGTAGGTAAGTAAATCAGAAATAATATTACCATTGCCTTTGACAAATATAAATATGACGCTGAATAATTAGATCCAGAGGCTTGACAACCATACGTCAGGAGTGCTCTGATGGTGTTTCCTGCTTGGCAGGGGGTTGGACTCAATGGCCCTTGTGGTCTCTTCCAACTCTATGATTCTATGATTTCAACCTGGCTTCCAGTCCGGTTTTGAGGCTGAAACTGCATTGGGCCCCCCCTGGTAGATGACCTGTGTTGGGAGATTGATGTGGGAATGTTGAGGGTGGCAGGAGAGGATATATTGATTAATATTATCCTCCCTCCCTAACTCGCGTTAGCAAGCTTCTTTACTTAGCAGAGTGCATCCCCCTTTTACGCAGCAGAAAGCTGGTTGCAAACTCGTATGAGTCTCTTAAAACAAGAAGCAATTCAATTTGGCTTGCCCAGATTGAGATATGTTGTATTATTCCTGGTAAGACCCCTTTAATCCATCCTAAAAGAATAAAGACACAACAGTCTTATTCATAAGTAACAAAAAGTAGTTTTACTCACGATCAGGCAGAGCACAGTGTGTTACAAACAGGTTCACCCCATATGGGAGATAACCTGGGGGACTGTTCCGGCGGGAAGGCAGCCAGCAGTACTGTCCAGGTGAAACAGGAAGTTCGCTGGACGAAAAAAAGATCGAAGCAAAGAAGGTGGCTGCGTGACTTGGCCTTTTACCAGGTCTGGAAAGGTCACGCCCACCTACTAGTCACATGCAAGGAAGGATGCTCCAGGCCAAGAGGAACAGGAAGTTCAAGTGACTGCACCAACATCCCCTGCATGGCCACTCTAGCAAAAGAAGGAATGTTGTACTTGACTGCTCCCAATGGATTATATCCCACAATTGATGGGTGCAGTCAGAGGCATAGCGTGGGGGGGGCGTGTTGGTGGGGCCGTGGCCCCAGGCACAATTTTGTGCGGAGGTGCAAACAGGCACCCCCCCCAGCAGGCTCCTTCATCGGAGCCTGGCTCCGAGCGAGAAGGAGTTGCACCTTGGCTGCGGCGCTCGTGCCTGGCCACAGCTCCACCCTCGGGTCGGGCCTGACCCAGAGTAGGGGAGCAGGAGAATGGGTGGCGATGCTGCCGCCCACCGTCCTCAGTGCAGGATGATACCCTGTGGCTCTTTGTGGGTTTCAGTCCTATCTACCATGGGTGGGTATATGAGTGATTGTGCATGGGGCGTGCAGCTGCTGGTGTTTGCCATAAGCCGTCCTATCCCAGTCTGGTGCCCTCCAGATGTTTTGGACTCCAGGAACTTGATGACCCTTGTGGTCCCTTCCAACTCTACGTTTCTATTATTCAATGGTCACCTTGTAACTATCTGGACATACAACAAGAGAGGCGTCTGTAGGAGATTCCAGCTCTTGGGTAGGATTATATAGAGGAAGGCAGTCTTTCATGAAACCTGGTTCCAAGACTTTTAAGGTTTGGCAGGTTAAAAAAATAGCAATGTGAATAGTTGTCGGAAACGTATAGGCAGCTTTTCCTGTTTGGGAATGTGGGGCAAGAGAATGAAACAGTGCTCGCATTCTCCTCCTGTGCTTAAGCAGATATGCCACAACGGCCACTGACTAGCTCCACACCTTGCTGCCGTTTAAGGGCTTGAATCCCAATCTGCTTCTGAGGAGACATAATTCAGATTGGCTATACAGTGGTACCTCAGGTTACATACACTTCAAGTTACATATGCTTCAGGTTACAGACTCCTCTAACCCAGAAATAGTGCTTCAGATTAAGAACTTTGCTTCAGGATGAGAACAGAAATCGGGCTCCGGCGGCACGGCAGCAGCAGGAGGCCCCATTAGCTAAAGTGGTGCTTCAGGTTAAGAACAGTTTCAGGTTAAGTACGGACCTCCAGAACGAATTAAGTACTTAACCTGAGTTACCACTGTATGTTGAAGCGATTGGTAAATGGCTCTTTATAGATGACTGTGCTGTACCACATTTCCCAGACGTTAATGAACCTGCCTTAGCACTGGGGTAGGGTGGGAACACACATCGCACCAGATCCAGCTCTCCTTCACACTGGGCTGCAAAATGCAGAAATACCAGCCAGGTATGGAGGGTACCAGCAAGGTATGCGGGTGGCGCTGTGATCTAAACCACTGAGCCTAGGACTTGCCGATCAGAAGGTTGGCGGTTCGAATCCCCGTGACAGGGTGAGCTCCCATTGTTCGGTCCCAGCTTCTGCCCACCTAGCAGATCAAAAGCACATCAAAGTGCAAGTAGATAAATAGGTACCGCTCCGGCGGGAAGGTAAACGGCGTTTGCATGCGCTGCTCTGGTTCGCCAGAAGCAGCTTAGTCATGCTGGCCACATGACCCGGAAGCTGTCTGCGGACAAACACTGGCTCCCTCGGCCTATAGAGCGAGATGAGCGCCGCAACCCCAGAGTCATCCGCGACTGGAGCTAACGGTCAGGGGTACCTTTACCTTTTTATGGAGGGTACCACAGATACACTCCCCCTTGATTCCCCTTCATACTGGCTTTGCACATTTCAAGCCAAGATTTGGCCTTTGAGTGTATATTAACATGCGTAACATTGGCTGTGTGCAAATTGAATTTAAAATATTTTCAGATTGAGCTCTTGATAGGGCCTTGAACTCATTATCCGTTTTAGGAAATGTGCGCTGCTTAGAAGTCGTAATTACAGTTTAACGGTATTGTTTTGGGAGGCAAGAGGCTCTTGGCAGACATTAATGCAGCTTTAGTGTGTTTTGTACCTATACTTCTGTATCGATTTTGCACATTGATTTTTATGTCCTCTTAGAAAACCAGTGATAACCATCTAGGAAAGGAAGTAGGCAACTGACTTGTACTAAATATTTTTAGACTGTGCTGCTCCTCCATCCTCCTTTTCTTTGCTTTTGATTCCCTTCCATTTGGGGGAGCAGGAAAATACAAAAAAAGTGAATGTCCTCTGTCCTTTGTGGCCTCTCCTTTTAGGCTTGCAGTCTGTTGAATGTTTGCTAATACAGATTTTTGGCCCCAAGGGGGGAAAACTGTTTTGTTTTTTTGTTTGTTTGTTTGTTTGTGCAATGGTTCCTCTATCCTCTTTTTAAAAACAAACAAATATACCACAAGCCTTTGGGTCTCAGCTAGTTTTCATATTCTAGTTAAGTATAATTAACATGCTTTCTGTCTTGTTTACATATTATTTCCATGTTGCTGACAAATGCCAAGTTCTGGTGGACAGAGCAGTGGCATGCAATTTCTAAGCAAGTTGTTGCATTTGGAGTATCAGGAAAATCAAATCTGGAAGGAGCAGGTCTCTCAAATGCAATTGCCCTTTATTGCTACATAATAAGAATAGGACGAGAAACTCTCCAGCATTCAAACTACAGGAGCTCAAGTGGTTTTGACTATTTATTTATATAAAATAATTATGTACCGCTGTATTGTAGAAATGTATCGCAGCGGTTTACAACGATATAATTACATAAAACCACACAGTAAAATCATTTTTAAAAGTTTGAAAAATAAAAACAAAAGTGTTTTTTTAAAAAAACTTCAGTAGACCGTTGTGAGGGATAGACTTCTAATTGTCAGATAGGCCGGTCATTTAAAAGTTGGCACATAAGGTTTTAAAAAAGCACATAACACTGAAACACAGCACCACCTGGCCAGTGACCAAAATAAATCCATTCATTCATTCATTCATTCATAACCCAAGTCTTGTGGGTAGAGTTGCCCTTGAAATCGTTGTACAAGGATTGAATGTGATGGGGACATGAGCAGACAGGGGATTGTAGGAATGGGTGGTGTGTTCTGGATATGGAGGTGCTTGTTCTAAAAATCAAACACACATTCAAACATACTACTTAACATAACCTCTCCACTGAGGATGTTGAGCAGTTGGTATAACGAGGTCTTGATTTTGGTCATTAACATAAAGGGGTCCACGTTTCTTGGAAAATGTCTCTGTTCGTTATGCCTCTATAATTGGTCTTCCGTGTCTGGTGAGATGCTCAAACATTGCTGTATCCCAGATATTATTTTCCCATATGTTCAGGGGTATTTCAGTCTGGTTCCTCCATTGTTGAGCTATCACTAATTGTGTTACAGTCAGTAAGAAGTCTACTAGTTCTCTGTGGTGGAGCCCACAGAGATAGTAGGGCTAAGGCAGAATTTGGAGGAAGGGGTTGGCCTGTGATTGTGGATATAATGGACATATAAAAAACATTGAATCCAAAATAAAGCAGTACAAACAATTAAAAAAAAGAAAAAAAAAGAAAAACGAACAAACAAAAACACACATCTACAGATAAAACCATATCATCATTCTAATCTTTATGTACATATACAGATATTGACTTCCTTCCTTTGTTCTAAGACCTCAAAATTTTTACTCTTTCTAAATTGTTGTGTCTAATGTAGATTACCTCTATCTTTATACTTTTTGCACCATTTTTCTCTTTCTTTAACCCTGCAAAGCTTCATTCGTTACATACCGATATGCTTATTCCAGAACAATGTTTTTTCATATACTCTTTAGCACATCCCCATTCTTCTAATAATTTTTGGTCCGATTGTCCCCTTATGAATGCTGTGAGTCTTGCCAGATTCAGCTCAATTGCCTTCTAAATCCGGCCCACAAACAGTCCAGGAATCAGCGTGTTTTACATGGGTAGAATGCGTCCTTTTATTTAAAATGCATCTCTGGGTTATTTGTGGGGCATAGGAATTCGTTCATTTATTTTTTCAAAATATAGTCCAGCCCCCCCCCCCCCCCAGGTCTGAGGGACAGTGGACCGGCCCCCTGCTGAAAAAGTTTGGTGACCCCTGCGGCTACACAAAGTCAGAGTCTCCCCTAAATGAAACTCTATTGTGTGCAAGCTACAGACAATCCAGACTTCATTTTAAAAGGTTTAAAACATTAATACTTTTGTGTTTCTTTATACCAGGAAATACTCTGAACATGCATAGTTAGATGTGATTGTTAATATCAGATTTTCCTACGCACATGTAAAGTCAAAATTTAATTGACTGCCTTATAAATGCTTTTGTTTAGTTCCTTGAGAAACGGATGGATTTTTAAATGCATGGTAGTTTATTGCTTTTTGTGTTTCATCGTTTTTTTAAAAAATGGGTCCCGCCCCGCCCCCTCCTGTTTTTTCCTCCCCAGAAATAAAAAGGCATATGTCGAGAAGTTCTGGAAAGATGTTAAAGTTGGTGATTTTATCCGACTGTTGTGTAATGAGGAGATTCCCGCTGACATGGTGCTGATATATACTAGTGATGGAGATGGGATCTGTCACATTGAAACATCAAGCCTTGATGGAGAGACCAATCTGAAACAGAGACAGGTTGTGAGAGGATTTGGCGAGCAGGTATAAATGGGCACTTCTTGGGAGAAAGTCTGTGTATAATCCATATCAGGGGGAATCCTATAAACTTCAATAGTTTTTGACAGTTCTCTTTGTACTGATTTCGGACTCCTGGCTCTACTCATTCTGTCTCCAGGATACCTCTCCTCCCAGCACACACAGAAAAACAACACCAATTTTCTTCCTTCTGGCAGCAACCCTTGTGATTCACAATGTCATTCCAGAAACACACACAGGGCCTTTTTTCCAGCCAGAACTCACCAAAACTCAGTTCTGGCACCTCTCAAGTGGGTGTCATTGCCATTACCATTAAGGGAGGTGTTCGTGGTGAGTTCCGGCCCCTCTTTTTTCTAGAAAAACCACTGAATACACACACAAAGGCGCACACACCTTGGTAAATGTTGACATTCACCACAATTTGGACATTCACTGCAGCTGAGAATGTTCCTCATTATTAATTCTCTTGTTGTATAAGCAGCTCCATACAGGTGATTTATCCCACAACTTTGAGATACATTATTAATATATCCCGTTTCACAGAGGGGGGAACAGCGGTTGAGGGAGAGGTATTCTATATAATTAGGGAGAGAGGAGTACAATGTAATAAATAGTCCAGCACAGGATCAGATCAACCCATGTATATTTTGCCTTATATTAATACACTCATATGCAATGACTAGATAGATAGTCAAAGGAGTCACTAACAAGTAGACTCTTCTACCTTAAAAATAAAAACTCCTCCCTTCTTAGAGATGGGAAGGCCTGGAAAACAATTGGGGGGGGGGAACAGATCTTTTTCCAAAGCCGTTTCCCCCCGGAAAAATGGAAAAAAAGAAGTTTGATATAGTTTGAATATTCCATACACTCCCCCCCCCCCATTTTTCCTGGAAAAAAAAAGGCTTTGGGGGAAAAACCTGCCCCCCCCATTTTTCTGTCCCCCCCAGTCCTTCCAGCCCCCACACTTTGGAGCTCCCTGCCGACGGACACCAGGCAGGTGTTCTCACTGTACTCTTTCCGACAACTGCTCAAAACATTTTCGTTAGGGCCAGCCCATCATAACACGTAGAAGCTGCATGCGATTTACTTCCTTTTAACCACTGCTGACTTTAATCATATTTTGAATACTCTTAAATACCTGCTTTTAACTGTGTTTTATCAATCATTTTAATGTTCTGTTGTATATTTTTGTAAACTGTTTAGAAAGCTCTCTTACCATCGTGTGGTTTTAATATATAATAACAAATTCAATTTAAAAAACACACACACTCCTTTTCCTTTCAAACACAGTTTGAGCCTTAGTGCAACTTACTATTCAGTAACTGGATGTTGGTTACTTCTGGGCCTGGCATGCAAAAAAATTGCCTTACGCTTTGCCCCGGCTGTCCTGGAGTAGAGATGGGAAGCCTGGAAAAAAAAATAGAAAAATTGGGGGGAAACTGGGTTTTTTCCAAAGCCGGTTTTTTAGAAGTCCATGAGAAAAATGACAAAGAGGAAGAGGAAGAAGAAATGGAAAATGATAGCAGTAGTTAAGGAAATGAGATAGAATAAACTGCATGTATATGTTGTGTCTTCTGTTTCTTTTTTTTAAAAAGCACTACTCAAAGGGTAGACCTTCTATGGAGCTTAAATATTGAGGTAGATCTTAACTTTATTTGCTGTTGGTGCTAAGGGGCAAATCTGATTATTTTTTATGTCAATGGTTTCTTGCTTTTGTTTTTTTGCTTGTGAGGGAAAGGGTGGTGGTTACCTGTTTTATTACAAGCATAATACTTTTATATACAATGTGTTTCACGCAATTTGTATTTTTTTTTAAAGATATTTATTGAAATTTTCAAAATGTTACACAAAAGAGAAAAATAAAATAGCAACAGAAGAAAGTACAAAATAAAAATAGTTGACAAAGTAGAAAAGGAAAAAAAGAAACAAATCCCTTCCCACCATATGAGTAAAAAATTCAAAATAAGAAAAAGTGACAGAAAGAAAAAAGAAAAATACATCACAAACCTTTAAAAACATTTAAAAACAAATTCATTGTATTCAGATCCTTAACTGTCATTGCCTTCTTTCTTAGACCTCCTCCTCCTCCCTTTCTTTGTATCCTAGTTATTAATTATCCCAGCAAATCCTTTCCAGATTTCATAATATTCTGTCATTGCATTACCCTAATCTGTTTTGATCTTATCTTTCTATAATAAAATAAACCTTAAAGCTTAAAACTTAAATGTTATCCTTACCAGCTTCTCATAACCATAATATTCTTTCATAATTCTTTAAACATCTTTGCTAAAGCCAAGTAATTTCATTCCAACATTTTTCTAACATTCATCAATTTTATAAAACAGTTCTAATGGTAGAGAAAAGAGATACAAACAAATCCAATCTTCATCCAACGTCCCTTCCTCCTGGTTCCGGGTTTTGTCAGTCCTTATTCCCGTCGATCTGGCCCATTAACCTGGCAACCTTATATCCGAGGCCCTCAAGTCTCTTCCATGTCCCTTCCGCGGCTCTTCTTCATATTTGTAACTGTATTTTCCCTTGTCTTTGTAAAACTACTCCACACTGAACTTTTTTTTTCTTTCAATTTTTCCAAAATTTCTATTTTTTCCGGGGGGAAGCGTTTTTTCCTCATGGCTTCAAAATTTCCGGAAATTATACATCTCTATCCCTTCTCAGTGCTTATTTGTCAATTACATTTCTATCATGATGTCAAAAAGTAACCAACCAATTCTTATTTATATGGCATATGGGGCTTGATTAAACCGAGTGAGGCCTTGGGTCTGTCTGAGCCATTTTCTTTCTCTCTGATAAGCCACCAACTTTCTTGGGCAGAGGTCTGTACCAGCAACTTCTGTCCTTTTTTCAGCCATTCAAGAGACTCTTCTCAGTCACCTCAGAGTGGGTTTTACTTTTTCTTGCACCCAATAAGCAGGAAAGCAGGCCTTCCTGTAAACCTGCTCAGTTCTCTGAGAATCTAGATTTAGCAGTACCTGGATTTTTACCTCAGGTTGTCATGCCAACCAGTGCAGATAGGCATGCAAAGAATTGATGCGATAATTCATTACTTTAACGATGTTGCTGCATCCCACGTTTGAGCTCCATTTTCCCCCTTCTCCCCCCCCCCCCCAAATTTGTATCTAGGAAACTGAAGTTGATCCGGAAAATTTCGCAAGCAGGATAGAGTGTGAGGCGCCAAACAATGATCTTACCAGGTTCCGGGGGTTTATGTAAGTAATTTGGGGTAAGCTCTGTCTGCTCTCTCTGCTTGATAAAATATTATAGCACTCGTATTAAAGTGAAGAGCAGCAGCTAGCAGTCTCCAGGCCATACCAAGCCACTTTCTAGCTAATGATTATTCTCGTCGCAGAGGTGACTGGGGTGGGAGGCACAAATGGTTATGGGATGTGACTTGACAGCAGATTGCCTTCATGGATGAATTTTTGGGCCTTCACTCCTTCGTCAAAGTGGCTTCCTGGCAAATCTTGTTTGCCAGCTATGCAAGCTCTTGATCCCATGGAAAGCCCTCGGCTTCAGAGTCAAGGGAGGCTCCTAGCTTGAAGTTGGAAAGCTTATTAGCAACTTTACATTATTAGGCTACATTATCAAAGTATTTGTATCACGGCCTGACACCGTATGCCAATGAATTTGATTTACAGGGGAACCTTGGTTCTCGAACGCCTTGGTACTCAAACATTTTGGCTCCCAAATGCCGAAAACCAGGAAGTAAGTGTTCTGGTTTTGGAACGTTTTTTGGAAGCCGAACATCCGATGCGGTTGTCAGCTATTGTTTCCAGGGCGCCTGCACCAATCGGAAGCCACGCCTTGGTTTTCAAATGTTTTAGAAGTCGAACGGACTTCTGGAACGGATTACGTTTGAGAACCAAGGTACCACTGTATTACAATTCAAACACCAATGAGGGATTGCACTGAAAGAGCCCTTGTCAGGCTTTCCTCTCAATCACTAGCCCAAACACACCAAGCCTCCTCACTTGGAGATGTTTTCAATGCAGGCGAGATGCTCTAGGACAGCTTTCACTAACCTGGTGTCTTCCGAATTTGTTGAAAATCAGATATATAATCTAGGCAACAAATGGCTCCTTAAGCCAAGGTTGCAGTCACAAAAGCGGAATGTTTAGTTGCTGTTTTAGGGCAAGACAGTTCTAAAGTCTTGTTTTTCAAATGATGGACTGACTGATTGATTCTCAGTTGAACTTCTGGTTCTAGTTCAGATGGCAACCTTGAACTAGGTTAACAACTTTGAGAACTGAAAGAAGGAAAGTCACTTGATCCTGGGACAGTCCACATATATTTTGTTGTATTCCGCCCTCTTTATCTTAACGGTCTCTGCTCCTGCTCAGGCTGCACAGAAAAAGCCATTTGGTTCCAGAAATTCATTCCGTGTGTGCGGATAAAATATAGCTGATAGAATTCTACAAGGTGGCGTGTTCGTCGATGAAAACCGTCTAGATCCAATGATCCCCAGATGGTGGCAATGTCCTAGCACCCAGGCATATCCACTTGGTTGCAAGTGGTTGAAAGCAAAATATGTCTGGCGTCTGGCTAATTTCAGACACCGGTTGGACTGCAAGTCCCATCAGTCCTAGCTAGTGCAGCCTGACAGCACCAGGTTGTCAAAGACTGCTCTAGGATATATTCTTTTGAATGTCTTGTCCGTGGGTGTTGGCAGTGTTTGCGGAGCCTTTGTGAACACGAGTGCGCCTTGAGTGTCTCTAGGCAAATAACCATCACAGCTGGATTTGTCTTTACAGGGAGCACCCAGATAATGAACGAGTGGGCCTGAGCAAGGACAACTTGCTGATGAGAGGATGCACCATCAGAAATACAACAGTTGTTGTTGGCATTGTGGTGTACGCAGGTCAGTGCCCTGGCTAGATATCGCTGGTTTGCACAGCCTGAGAAATGAAGCCGTTCATTGCCATCCCTGGCAAACACAAAGGGTTGTCCACAACGTTACTCAGAGTAAACCCAATGCCAATTTATGCCAATGAATCTCAGGGGATTCTACTCCTGTGGAATGCTCTCCCCAGGGAGGTTTGGCCGGTGCCTTCGTTACATATCTTTAGGCGCCAGGCAAAAAGTTCCTCTTCATCCAGGCCTTGGGGCTGATTGATATCTGATGCCCTTTTTAAGTGGGAGGGTGGATTATTGGTTTGTCATTGTTCTTATTTTTGCTATGTGTTTCATATTGTAAACCGCTCCGTGATCTACAGATGAAGGGTGGGACACAAATTTAATAAAAAATAAGTAATAATAAAAATAATGCTCTAAGGGTTTGGTTTGGTGCAGCCTAATACTTTGTGCGATAAAGTCTATTCTAGGGGTGTAACTGTTAAATATAGAGGATTAATCCATTATGATGCCAAGTGAAGGTTGGAAAGGAGGTCCAATAAATAGCAAAGGCTCCTAAAATCAGTGTCTCCTCACATCAATTTCCCCTCCTCCCAGTTGTTCCACAGAATTCTTTATATAAAGATCAATATTTAAAACATTCCTGTTCCCCCCTCCAGTTCAAAATGTCCTGGGCATTTCATAGCCATAAAACAGTTTACAGCAATAAAAAGCACAGTGCTATAATTTTATCATAGTGGGTTAAAAAAACAACAACTGCAAAGTTGTTAATCCTTGGGAAATAAAAAGGATTTTGCCAGGCATGTAACAGACGTTAATGTCTTAGGCTCTAGGCTAGCCTCCCTGGAGTGTGTGTGTGTGTTTGACAACTAGGGCGCCATAAACAAAAATGCCCTCTTTCCAAGGAGCTACTGGGAACAGAGCCTGCCCCTATTTGCATAGCATCCAGGTTTTGGTTTTTGTTTTACAGTGGTGCCCCGCAAGACGAATGCCTCGCAAGACGGAAAAACCGCTAGACGAAAGGGTTTTCCGTTTTGAAGTTGCTTCACAGGACGAATTCCCCTATGGGCTTGCTTCGCAAGACGAAAATACCTTGCGAGTCTTGAGGTTTTTTTTTTCGCTTTTCCCCCCCTTTATCTAATCTGCTAAGCCTTTAATAGCCTTTAATAGCCTTTTAGCAGCTAATCCCCTAAGCCTTTAAGCCTTTAATAGCCGCTAAACCGCTAATAGCGCTAATAGTGCTAATCCGTCAATGGGCTTGCTTCGCAAGACGAAAAAACCGCTAGACGAAGACTCTCGTGGAACGGATTAATTTCGTCTTGCGAGGCACCACTGTACTTCTTGGTCAAATGGGAGTAGCGATGGGCAACTGGAAAGCCCAAGGAATCAGTCTGGCGCAGATGACACAGTGTGACTGTCTGAAGAAGCAACTTCCTCCCCAGCCCATTATTTAACTCAAACTACTTCCTTAAGCTACCACAGGCCTTCTGCAGCTTTGATTTCTGCCTGCCTGGCTATATGCTGACTCTGCGTAGCTACCATCAGGCGTCCAAGTAGGGAATTTTGGCCCTTGGGATTTCCTCCACCCTCCTCCAGTCCAAGCGGCCATTTGTATCTAGTAAGCATCATGGGACTCGGTGGCCAAATTTTGCAAAAGTTATAACAATCAGTGTCTATCCTTGGCCCCGGCGGGGTGCAGTTTTAATTGTTTCAGTTTGCATTAAAAGCTCTGACGTGTTTTGTGTTGTCAAAAGGTCACGAAACCAAGGCAATGTTAAACAACACAGGGCTTCGGTACAAGCGAAGTAAGCTAGAGAAGAGCGTAAACAAAGACATCATCTGGTGTGTTCTGCTTCTAGTTGTGATGTGCTCTATAGGGGCCGTGGGTAAGTGAAGAGTTAAGATCCACTCTACAAAATAGGATATTCTCTCTCTATACGTCTGTTTGGGACTCTATGCTTTAAGGGTTTTTCGAATGGAGTTTAGCATTTTTATTTTTATTTTTGGGTCCCAAGACCTTACGTTGCCTGAGGTGAAAAGCAAAATGGTGTCTCTCCCCACTGGGATTCCATGCACGGAAGTTGACCAGACTGGCAACCGATTCTTATTTCAACACTGCAGATGGGACAATAGGGGTTCAATCTGCATCCTAAGTGTCCTCTATTTGACTCCCGTTTATGGAGAGCTCTATCCTGAAGCGCCGCTTTTAGTTGTATGATTTACAGTGGCCGTATCTGTGCCATACATTGGAATTACAGTGGTACCTCGCAAGACGAATGCCCCGCAAGATGGAAAACTCGCTAGACGAAAGGGTTTTTGGTTTTTTGAGTTGCTTCGCAAGACGATTTTCCCTATGGGCTTGCTTCGCAAGACGGAAACGTCTTGCAAGTTTGTGTCCTTTTTCTTAAAACCATTAATACAGTTGCGACTTGACTTCGAGGAGCAACTCATAGCACGTGGTGTGGTAGCCTTTTTTGAGGTTTTTGAAGACTTTGGTGATTTTTGAAGCTTTTCCAAAACTTTTCTGACACCGTGCTTCGCAAGACGAAAAAAACGCAAGACGACAAAACTCGCGGAACGAATTAATTTCGTCTTGCGAGGCACCACTGTAGTCTTGTACCGCTTTTAACAGTCACGGATTTCCCCCAAAGAATCCTGGGAACTATAGTTTGCTAAAGGTCCTGAGAGTTGTTAGGAGGCCCCTGTTCCCAGCTACAGTTCTCAAGAATGGTTTAACAGCCAGTCCCTCTTCCCAGGGACCTCTAGGAAATCACCTGTGTGAGGGGAATAAGGGTCTCCTAACAACTCTCATGATAGGGACGCGGGCGGCGCTGTGGGTTAAACCACAGAGCCTGGGACTTGCCGATCACAAGGTCGGCGGTTCAAATCCCTGTGACGGAGTGAGCTCCCGTTTCTCGGTCCCTGCTCCTGCCAACCTAGCAGTTCGAAAGCACACCAGTGCAAGTAGATAAATAGGTACCACTCCGGCGGAAAGGTAAACGGCATTTCTGTGCGCTGCTCTGGTTCACCAGAAGCGGCTTAGTCATGCTGGCCACATGACCCAGAAGCTGTACGCCGGCTCCCTCTGCCAATAAAGCGAGATGAGCGCCGCAACCCCAGAGTCGGCCAAGACTGGACCTAATGGTCAGGGGTCCCTTTACCTTTAACAACTCTCATATCACCTTTAACAAACTACATTTCCCAGGGTTCTTTGCTGAATGCCTGATTCTGCTTTCAGTGTATAATGCAGATGGGGCTGCTATGAAAGTATCACTGGCTTCATTTGCCATCATAACGTAGAGGCACATGTTTTTCCTGTAGAAGCTCCCAGGTTTGATTCCTGCTATCACCGGTTACAATGATCAGGCATCAGATTATATAAATACAGCTGCAGCTGCTTTGAAATCTCAAATACTTATTTCATTGTTCTGCTGGTGTATAAATAAAGTGAATAACACAAGCCTTGCATGATTTTTCATCCGCATTGTATATTTAAAGCGCACAGCTCTGCCCCGAAGAACCCTGGGAACTGTAGTTCATTAAGGGTGCAAGGAACCATAGCTATGTGAAGGGGTAAACTACAATTCCCATGATTCTTTTTTTTTGGGGGGTTGCTTTAAATGTACAGCATCTGAATGTGTTATAGGTTTCTGAAAGTATAGCAAGTTAATAGTACCATGTGCTCTGAGGCATTTTTGCTCAGAAAAAAAAGTCATGCTGAATCTAGTGAGAGTTTTTTAACCAGGGAGCATGTATAGGATTGGGGGACGCGGGTGGCGCTGTGGTCTAAACCACAGAGCCTAGGACTTGCCTATCAGAAGGTTGGCAGTTCGAATCCCCGCGACGGGGTGAGCTCCCGTTGCTCGGTCCATGCTCCTGCCCACCTAGCAGTTTGAAAGCACGTCAAAGTGCAAGTAGATAAATAGGTACCGCACCGGCGGGAAGCTAAATGGCGTTTCCGTGCACTGCTCTGGTTCGCCAGAAGCAGCTTAGTCATGCTGGCCACATGACCCGGAAGCTGTCTGTGGACAAACACCGGCTCCCTCAGCCTATAGAGCAAGATGAGCGCACAATCCCAGAGTTGTCCACGACTGGACCTAACGGTCAGGGGTACCTTTAACTTTACTTTTATGTATAGGATTGCAACCTTCATCAGCTTATTTTTTAGATGATTTTTAAAATATAAAGCCAGGGCAGTTTAGAAGCTGATTGATAACTTTGTTGTCTGCGTTCTCCAACCTGGTGCCCTCCAGATCAGCAGGGCCTGACGAGAGTTGTCCAAAACTTCTAGAGGAGGCACCAGGTTGGGGAAGCCTGTACTACTCTGGTCACTGCCTTGGAACGCAGTGCCATTCATAGTTTTGATTTTGTTAATGGATTCTTTATCTTCTTTTTAAAAAGGTCACGGGTTTTGGCTAGGTGCCCATCCAGACCCACCTCTCTATAGTAGCGGGAAGCAAATTGCTCCAGCAATGGGAGCGTTTTTTATGTTCTGGACAATGATAATTTTATTGCAGGTAAGTTCATGGTTTGGTTGCTGCTGCGTTCTTTAATACTACTGTACTAGAAAGCCAAAGTAACTTGAATTTAGTAGGTGTGTTCCAGAGCTGCTTTTTTTTTTTTAAAAAAAGAATTGTAGAACTGTGGAAGGGATATCGGAGCTTGTCTAGTTCTGCTCAGTGCAGGATCTGTAATGCAAGGTGCAACTTCCCTGACATATGGCCATCCAACCATCTGGACGCCCCCTTGTTTCTCCACACCCTTCTTAAAATGTTGCGCACTGAACCTAGAGGCAGTACTCTGGATGCAACTGAGGAGTACAGAAATAATAATAATTATAAATAGAACGGAACTACTGCCTCTTGTGATCTGGGCATTGTACTACTGGAAAAGCAGCCAAAAATTGGATTAGTGTTTTTTCAGCACTCATGTTATACGGGTGGCTCATAGTCAATTTAGGATCAGCTGAGATGCTTAGATCAGGATTAGCCAATGGGCTGCCCTTGGGATGTTGTGGACTACAGCTGCTGTTGGCCATAGGCAGCATGGCCAATGGGCAGGAATGATGGCTGTATCACCTATAAGTTTCATAGTCGACAACATCTGGATGACACCACAATGGTAATCCCTGGCCTAGATCTTTTATACATTCTCGTTGTTCTTTTGTAGCTAAATTCAGGACTTTGCATATACAGAGGTCTCCTCGCTTACGTGTTTTTGACTCCCGCGCGTATATGTGCAGTGCTGGGAAATAGTTAAATCAATCTATTTTAACTGCAAAAAAAAGGCAAAAACGGCCTGAATAGAGCAGAAAAACCAACTACCAATCGAGGAGCATTTGCACCAACCTTTCAGTCTCATTTTTAATAGTGTTTTTCAAGGTTTCCCAGAGGTTTTGATGATGTTTACAAGCTTTTTAGACGGTGCTCCCCACTGTATGTGATTTCACGTCTACATGTACCACCTGGGAATGTAACCCCCGCATTAGTGGGGAGACACCTACATCATAGTTGGGTAACAGTCTTGAGTTCTTATTTTAATCCTGGTTCTGTCTACTGCCAAGCTGGTTGTCCCAGCTTTGTATCAGCTGCATATTTGATAAACATCTGGCTACAGGATCTGATAAACATCTGTAGGATCTGATTTCTTTCCGCAGGGCCTGTAAGACAGAGTTGTTCCGCCTGGCCTTTGGCTTGGAATCAACTTGATCCCCTCCCCCTCTTTCCTTTTTCCTTTCTCCTTCTGTGATGGAACTCCTAATTGGGGACTTGCCTGGCTTTTTTCTGGCCCACGTAGGACCAGTCTGGATAGTTGGCCTTGGTGAAGACTTGACGTTTTCATCCCCAAAAAAGTTTTTGATTTGAGTTTCTACTGCAATGAGGCTGCATTTTAATGTTGCATTTTAATCTTATTTTTAAGTTGTATTTCAATCAATTGTTTTTATATCTGGTGTTAGCTGCCCTGAGCCCGGTCTTGGCTGGGGAGGGCGGGATATAAATAATTTTTTTTATTATTATTCTATTACATCCTTTTCCAAGTCACTTAAAGAACCCTGTGGCACTTCACTTGGGACCTTTATCCAAGTTAATGTGGCTCTATTAACAAGCAGTAGTTGGGTGCAGTTGTTCAACCAGCTGTAAGTTAACCTAACATTAATCTTGGCAAGCCTATGACAGACTTTCTCAAATGATTTGCTGAAATCAAGATACACTATGCCCACGGCCTTCTCACGGTCTGCCAAAGCAGTAACTATTGAAACAACAGATGTAGTTGGTCTAGGATGACTTATTTTTGATAACGCCATACTGTCCCTCTTCTGTTGATTTTTAGCAAGATACACCCTTCCGCTAATCGACTCCAGTCATGAGTCTCATTCCACCGAGTCTCAGTGATCCCTGTCGGATCAACCTTACCCCCTCATATTAGGATTTCGGGTTCATTTTCTGGTGCACTGACCTCGTGAGCAAGCCATACTAAATCCGCTTCTTGCCTTGACAGGTTTTGATCCCGATTTCTCTTTATGTCTCCATTGAATTTGTCAAATTGGGGCAAATCTATTTCATCCGGAATGATCTTGATTTGTACCATGAACCGACGGACACCGGGATCCGGTGTGGATCGCTGAATATTGCCGAAGACCTTGGGCAGATTGAGTACGTTTTCTCTGATAAGACCGGAACCCTCACTGAGAACAAAATGGTTTTCCGAAGATGCAGCATTGCAGGGATGGAATATGGTCATGAAGAGAACGGTAAGGCTGAGGGAGAAAGCTGCTTTTGTGCCAGGACTGCAGTCTCGGGCGTCAATCCTAAACACACTTGGCTTACACCTAAGTGCAAAAGATTGCACTTTGCTAAGGCTGCAATTCTACAAGTACCGTAGATTCCGGCGTATAAGACGACTTTTTCACCCCGGAAAAGAGGTTAAAAAGTCGGGGGTCGTCTTATACGCCGGGTATAGCTTTCTCCCGGCACAGAGCCCGCCCACTGCTGCTGCCCAGCGTACAAGACTGGGCTTATAAGACGAACCCCCAAATTGGCAGCTGCCAATTTGGGGTGTCGTCTAATACGCCCAGTCGCCTAATATGCCAGAATCTACGGTAGTCTTGGAAGGAAACCCCCCAGTGGGCTATACTGCTGAGCTGTTTCTTTCCTAGACTAACAGTCTAGGAAACTGCATTCCTTAACATTCTTACTTGGAAGGAAATAATTCTGCGAGCAGTGTTACTAACCTCTTGAGTAAAGGAGGCTAAAGTTTAGGCTGTTGACCCCTAGTTCTGCATGTGTGTGTACATGATTGCCAAGGACAGAGGAAGGGAGGTGCGGTGGGGACAGGCCGCCCCAGGTGTCACCACTGAGGGGGGGTGACAAAATGCTGGACAGCACTCACAGCAGGGCCTGCAGCGCGCTCGAGCCACGCATTGCTCCTGGGAGTGACGCGATGGCTTGGGCGCCCGCAGGCTCCGCGCTGCCCCAGGTGATCCGCCCACCAACTCCCCCTCAGTTGTAGGGCGGCTGAGTGGGAGGAGGCAGGGAGACTCCTTGGAGGACCCACAGAGCGTCTTGCCTCGGCTCGCCCCACCCCCATGAGCGGCTGGCCCTGCCTCTGGGCACAGGGCATGCACGCTACCCGAGGCGCCCGATTGGCTTGCTCTGCCGCTGATGATTGCACTGCCTCTAGTCTGAATCGAAGGACCCATGCTACTGGTTTCTTGTGTCCAGTGGGACTTTTGAAAGTGCCCCCCTGGGAATAACAGAAGCCGTTTGCCGTGTCCCATAGATCAAGCATGCTGTTGTTGCAGGTGTAGGGGTAGTTAAAAATCACATTGGGCGTATGCAATGCTTTGGAAGCCTAAAGCAGCTCTTGGCTTTCTGTCCTATACATTTAAACAGTATCAACTGTCTCGTTGTTGTTGTTGTTGTTCCCCACCCCTCTGGCTGGGTTGCCGCAGCCATTCTGGGCGGCTTCCCACACATATACGGTATTGGCCCGAATATAAGCCGCACCCAAATAGAAGCTGCACCTTTAAAATTCAAGGGGGTAAAAGAAAAAAAAGACAATACCTCGGGTTGAAGTAGCTTCGGGATGAGTATTTTCGGGTTGCACTCCGTGGTGATCTGGAAGTAACAGAGCGTGTTACTTCCGGGTTTTGCCACATGCGCAGACACTCAAAATGACGTCACGCGCATTCATGGAAGCGGAGACTCACGACCCACAGACACGGGTTGCGTTCGCTTCAGGATGCGAACGGGACTCTGGAACAGATCCCATTCGCATCCAGAGGTACCAATGTACTCGAATATAAGCCGCCCCCTTAAAAATCCGCAGGCACTCACACCCATTCCATTTTACTGTATGTCTGTTTCAGCAGCAATATCGTAAAAGCCCATTTTAGTAAGGTCACGAATTTAAGCCGCACTTTAACTTTTCATGGTCGGAATTGGGGGGGGGGGGGCGTGAGACTTATATTCAAGCCAATACGGTAAAAACATAATAAAACATCAAACATTAAAAACTACCTGATCCAGGGCTACCTTCAGGTGTCTTCTAAAAGTTGTGTAGTTCTTTATCTGATGGCAGGGCGTTCCACAGGGAGGGTGCCACTGCCAAGAAGGCCCTCTGCCTGGTACCCTGTAACTTCACTTCTTGCTGTGGGGGAACTGCCAGAAGGTATTCGGAGCTGGACCTCAGTGGTATTCAGGCTGAATGATGGGGATTTAGATGCTCCTTCAGGTATACTGGACCGAGGCCATTTAGGGCTTTAATGGTCAGCGCCAACACTTTGAATTGTGCTCAGAAACGTATTGGGAGCCAGTGACGAGCATCTTATTACAGTCCCTGTGGCATCTCTTTAGTAGTCCACTTTTTGGTCCACCTTTTCATGTTCTGTGCTCATTACTTGTAGTCTGTATAAAAGGATGCGCTAGAAAGCGACAGGTATTGTTGGGCCTGTAAACACAAAATTCTTAAAAATATGGAGTATGCCTTTTTATCCCACGCAGGCTCACACTGCTTTGCCGTGGGGCCCTGTGCATGCTAAGGAAATTCATAAAACCTTGATTAGGATGGAACCATAGAAATGAAACTATTACTTAAAGGGAAGTAATAGTGCCACTGTATTCTGCTCTGGTCAGACCTCACCTGGAGTACTGTGTCCAGTTCTGGGCACCACAGTTCAAGAAGGACACTGACAAACTGGAACGTGTCCAGAGGAGGGCAACCAAAATGGTCCAAGGCCTGGAAACGATGCCTTATGAGGAACGGCTAAGGGAGCTGGGCATGTTTAGCCTGGAGAAGAGGAGGTTAAGGGGTGATATGATAGCCATGTTCAAATATATAAAAGGATGTCACATAGAGGAGGGAGAAAGGTTGTTTTCTGCTGCTCCAGAGAAGCGGACACGGAGCAATGGATCCAAACTACAAGAAAGAAGATTCCACCTAAACATTAGGAAGAACTTCCTGACAGTAAGAGCTGTTCGACAGTGGAATTTGCTGCCAAGGAGTGTGGTGGAGTCTCCTTCTTTGGAGGTCTTTAAGCAGAGGCTTGACAACTATATGTCAGGAGTGCTCTGATGGTGTTTCCTGCTTGGCAGGGGGTTGGACTCGATGGCCCTTGTGGTCTCTTCCAACTCTATGATTCTATGAAACTGTAAACATGCATATTGCAGGTTTTCATCCATTCAGTCATATATATACATATTTATCAGTAAGGCTCGTATTGGGTAAATTAAGCTGTGCTCGTTCATGTACTAGATGTACTTTATAAATCAGTCTAGCTCTGCAGTGATCATTGAAGACGTTTACCCTTTCAAGCAGCAAGGCCTAAATCTGCATGAAATCACAAACCAAATCCATGACAACGGAGGATGACTCACTGCGCAGTCCCCATGTAAACTGGCCGGTGTATCTGAGGCCGTTCATTTAGGAAGACGGCGATGCCCTCCAGTGGCTGCATTGGGAAATTGGTTGTAATCAAACAAGCAAATGCCAGAAATGTAACTCTGGAAAGCTTTGTGTGCAAGTTTCAGTAATACTGCTAGGATATGCATGCAGCAAAAGATGGCATTGTTGAAGATTCAAGCACATATCATATAAATACTATCAGTGCTTTTTTTCTGGAGAAAAAGGTGGGGGAACTCACTATGAAGTTTGTTTGTTTGTTTGTTTGTTTGTTTGTTTGTTTGTTTACCCATGTACAGTGCCTTCCCACCCCACCCTGGGCAGTGGCTAAATGTAAGATATGATTAATAAACTCAAGCAGACAATGATCTGGATTAGAAATGGCCACAACTGTATTGATTACAGATATAAGTGGATTTTGTCTTTTTATATATGTTGGAAGCTGCCCAGAGTGGTAGTTCCTGCTAAAAAACCCAACCCCTGAATATTATAATCACATCAGAATATTTCTGACCGCTATTAAAGAAAGAAATAGAGATGGGAAGTCACTGTTTTTGTTGTTTTGCAGCTCTTCGTAATTCTGTAACTTGGTAAATAGAAGAGGATCCTTGGTTGTAGATCTGAGTTTTGACTCCCCCCCCCCATGTGAAATGCCAAATACAGTCGTACCTTGGTTCTTGAACGGAATCCATTCCAGAAGTCTGTTCGACTTCCAGAAACGTTCAAAAACCAAGGCACGGCTTCCAATTGGCTGCAGAAGCTTCCTGCACTCAAGCCGAAGCCGCATTGGGCTTCCAAAAAACGTTCGAAAACCAGAACACTCACTTTTGGGTTTGCGGTGTTCGGGAGCCAAAATGTTCAAGAAATAAGCTGTTCAAAAACCAAGGTACGACTGTACAATTCATGGGAGGAAGTCCACTAGGACAAGGAATCCCTTGCTTTTGCTTTCACTGTTGACTTGGGACTGCTAAAATGGAGGTCCAGTTGAGTATCTCGAAGGTCATAATACAAAGACCAGCGGCAAGTGGCTGCTGCTCATAATGGCTGTATTTGTTTATTTCGTACCACCTGAGGCTCCATGATGCAGGAAAGGTGGGGGTAGAACTAATAAATACATTGAATTCCTTGAGTTGAGAATATGGGACCAGTCATAGATTCACTATTTTACTTTAAAGAATCGTGTGGGTGATCTCTTTCTCTCTGTCTGTCTAGCTAAGAGGCTAGAATCATACCTAGATTATGATGATGAAGAAGATGAAGAAGGAATACGCACTTCATATTCCTCTTTGAAGCGTCCGTCAAGGTTTTCCACCTGCAAATCGGGTTATTTCCAGAGTACAAAGTCTTTGAGCCGCTTGTTTAGCTCCACCTCCGCCTTGAGAACTAGTATATCGCGCACGACACAAATGGCCTTCAGCAGCCCAATTGTAAGTGTGTTCCTTGAGCCTATGCGGGACTTGTGTGGGGGCTTCTGGCTGACCTGTTCATACATATCTATGCAGGGACATGAGTGGTGCTGTGGTCTAAACCACTGAACCTCTGGGGAAGGGGTCAGCAACCTTTTTCAACCGCGGGCCAGTCCATGTGGTGGGCCGGACTATATTTGGGGGGGGGATGAATGAATTCCTATGCCCCACAAATAACCCAGAGATGCATTTTTAATAAAAGCACACATTCTACTCATGTAAAAACACCAGGCAGGCCCCACAAATAACCCAGAGATGCATTTTAAATAAAAGGAAACATTTTATTCATGTAAAAACATGCTGATTCCCGGACCGTCCGCGGGCCGGATTTAGAAGGCGATTGGGCCGCATCCGGCCCACAGGCCTTAGGTTGCCTACCCCTGCTCTGGGGCTTGCCAGTCAGAAGGCTGGCAGTTCGAATCCCCATGACAGGATGAGCTCCTGTTGCTCTGTCCCAGCTCCTGCCAGCCGAGGAGTTCGAAAGCACACCAGTGCAAGTAGATAAATAAATACCGCTGCGGTGGGAAGGTAAATGGCGTTTCCGTGTGCTCTGGTTTCTGCCGCGGTGTCCCATTGCGCCAGAAGCGGTTTAGTCCTGCTGGTCACATGACCCGGAAAGCTGTCTGTGATCAAACACCGGCTCTCTCGGCCTGAAAGCAAGATGAGCACCGCAACCGCATAGTTGCCTTTGACTGGACTTAACCGTCCAGGGGTCCTTTACATATCTATGCAGTTCTCACAATCCCAAAGTAACCTGGCAGTGGCTGTTTCACAAGACTCTTCTAAGCAATCCATCTGCAGCAAGGGATGATTTTTTTGCAGGAAGAACTTTGAGCCTTTCAGCCTCGGTCTCCAATGGCATGCAGTTACACTGGAATGTTCATTATATTTATCACTCCTTGCTGTGTTTTAATGATTGATCAGTGGTTTTCTGATGACTTTTAAATGTCATAATGCTCATTTGATGAAACGTAGTTATTTGTCGGATTGCCTTGTTACGTTTTGAAACAATTTAGTACTTGATTGCTGTTGTAGCGCTGTACGGATTTGCATTTTTGTTGTTGTTGTGAGATGCTGGAGAAGTAGCCTGCGCACTTGAGTTATAAATGAATAAAATTTCTGAAAAGCTGAGTCTTCCAGGAGCGTGGGCTCATTCCACCTTTGGGGAAGGCGAAGATACCGTATTTTTTGCACCATAACACTCACTTTTTTCCTCCTAAAAAGTAAGGGGAAATGTCTGTGCGTGTTATGGACGGAATGCCTACGGGTGGCATGCCTACGGATTTTCCTCCTCTAAAAACTACGTGCGTGTTATGGTCGGGTGCGTGTTATAGAGCGAAAAATACGGTAATTTCGACGAGAACCTTACCGTCCTTGTTTTTGCTTGACCAACAAGGAGACTGATGTTGTGCCAGATGAACTCCTTGAAAGGAAGTTGAGGAGGATCACTTTCAAATCCTATACAATATCTGAGACGGTAGGGCTAACCCCAGAGATAGTGTACATCGCCGAATTCTTCATCGCTCTGTCGATTTGCAACACTGTCGTTGTTTCAACGCCTGATCAACCACAGCGAAAGGTAAGGCAGGGGAGAAACTAGAGATGCTGCTGGTGCTTATATATGTGTGTGTGTATAATGTGTGTGTAGTAATTATTATTATTATTATTTATTTATACCCCGCCCATCTGGCTGGGTTTCCCCAGCCGCTCTGGGCGGCTCCCAACAAATATTAAAAACACGATAAAAGATCAAACATTAAAAACTTCCCTAAACAGGGCTGCTTTCAGGTGTCTTCCAAAAGTCATATAGTTGTTTATTTCCTTGACATCTGATGAGAGGGCGTTCCACAGGGCGGGCGCCACTACCGAGAAGGCCCTCTGCCTGGGCGGCCACTCTCAGTCACCAGTCTTGCTGCCACAATCTGGATTAGTTGTAGTTTCCGAGTCATCTACAAAGGTAGCCCCACGTAGAGTGCATTTCAGTAGTCCAAGCGGGAAATAACTAGAGCATGCATCACTCTGGCGAGACAGTCTGCGGGCAGGTAGGGTCTCAGCCTGCGCTCCAGATGGAGCTGGCAGCCAGCTGCCTGCACACAGATATGCTCTGCAGCACACCGCAGCCTGGCTATTGAATAGTAATAACTCTGTTTAGTGCCTTGCAGCCTTGGTTACACTGAGGGGAGACGAGCCGTCATTTATAAATGATGACCGTTGGCTTCTCATGTTTCCTTAGGGCAGGGATGGGGAACCTGTGGCCCTCCAGATGTTGCCTGAATCCAGCTCCCATCTTCCCTCACCATGCTGACCGGGACTGATGGGAGTTGAAATCCACCAGCGTCTCGAGAGTCACAGACTGAGCACCTCTGGCTTTAAGAAAAGAAAACACTGTTTTGGTGGTGCCTTGTGGTCCGGTGAGTTTATGCATAGTGTGCAGATGTCAGGGGCTGGACTGAGGAGGAACGGTGGAGACCGCCCCTCCCTTCTCCTGAACCTTTCCGAGAACAGGAGAACAGTATAGATTTAGAACAGTGATTTGCAGAAGGGCACACAGAGGGGAGAAGCTGGGAGAGGAATAGCAGGAAGAAGAAGAAGCACCAGGGGAGAGAGAGCTGACAGACTCGGTGTCTCTGGAAAGCATTCCAGACCCCAGCCCACCCCCTCCCAGGACCCGGCAGGCGTTGAGAGTAGGAGAACAGAAAGCTCAGAAGCAGAAAGCACAGATCAGCCAATGTAGGGATGATGTATAATAGGAGAGATGAAGAGGGGTGGGACTTCACTTGGAGCAACATCATTATCCACCAGAGATGGCATTTCTGTCTGTCTCTCTGTGAATATTGAATAAAAGGCTTGGTAAGAACTCTTCAGGGGATGCGGGTGGCGCTGTGGGTTAAACCACAGCGCCTAGGGCTTGCCGATCAGAAGGTCGGCGGTTCGAATCCCCGCTATGGGGTAAGCTCCCGTTGCTCAGTCCCTACTCCTGCCAACCTAGCAGTTCGAAAGCACATCAAAGTGCAAGTAGATAAATAGGTACTGCTCCGGTGGGAAGGTAAACGGCGTTTCCGTGCGCTGCTCTGGTTCGCCAGAAGCGGCTTATCATCATGCTGGCCACATGACCTGGAAGCTGTATGCCGGCTCCCTTGGCCAATAAAGCGAGATGAGCGCCGCAACCCCAGAGTCAGTCACGACTGGACCTAATGGTCAGGGGTCCCTTTACCTTTACCTTTAAGAACTCTTCTTGTTTATCTGATTCTTGGCTGCCCACCATGGAGGGATCCGATTCCCTGGAACCTGACAACAGCTAGTAAAAATTAGACGAGAACCAATGTGGATCTTTTTTTAATATATAGAGCAGTGGTTCTCAAAGTGGGTGATACCCAGTTGTAGGACGTAGGTAGAAATATAGATACATAAAAGAATGCAAATTTGTCACTGGATCTTTCTGTTTGTCCGCTTTAAGAAGGTAGATTTCCAGGGGTGTGCTGAGTAATTATTATTTTTTTCTGAAAAGGGGGCCAAATAAGTTTGGGAACCTCTGATATAGAGTGACTTTTTTATACTGGACCAGGTAAGTCTGAATAATAGGCTGCTGAGGCTTTTAAAAGGCCACAGAAACCTCCTCTGCTGTTGCAAAGAGTCACTGTGCTGATTTTGTGTCTGTTTCAGACTATTTAGACACTAAATAGTCACTGTTTATACTTTTTACATTTCAGCTCCCCTCAGCTCACTGCTTTCAATTCTGCCCTCTCCTATACTGTAGGTGGCAATGTGTAAAGCCAAAATTGCGTTTACTCAAAACAACCCCCTGGAATTGCTCCCACAAAAACTATCTTACCTTCTTGGAGCCAGTGCGAGATCTCGTGAGGCCCTCCGAAATCTCGTGAGAGCCTCCCACAGCCCGGCAAGCAAGGCAATGAGCTTTTAAGCTCTCTGCCTTTTGTGCATTTAATTTGTGGGATTTCAACCAGACTCTGGCTGCCAAGAGTGTAAAGTTGAAATTCCACAAGTTAAATTCACGCAAATTGCGATCCGATTTCTTCTGCAACTGAAGGTCACACTTTGTGCATTTGACGAAGCGGACATTAGTCCACAAAAGCTTATGTCATAAGTCATTTAGTCTTTTTAGTGCCACAAGTCATTTTTATAAAATAAAGTCTTAAGTTACATAAAGTAAAAATGCTTGTATTCAGCCCTCGTCTCTCCTGTTCATTCTTTTCCTCTGTTCTTCCTCTCTGCTTTCAGACTTATATATATCTATATAGATATAGATATATAGATATAGATAAATTTATTATATATCTAAATATATATAAATTTTTTTCTACTGCTTTCAGACTTTAAACTGTAAGAGCCATAGGGCTGTCAGTTGTCTCAGAAACTTTAGGATCTCTCTCCTCAGGGAGTCTTAAGCTTTTTATTATTAATTATTATTATTATTTAAATAATACCGCAAAAGCAGAGCATCAACAGAAAAGAAAAAATGAAATTGTAAAAAAACCAGTTCAAAAACATTGAAAACAAATATACTTATTGTATAGTACTCCCCACACCCACCCGCAACTCCCCTCTGCCACAATTCGACTTCTTTAAATCTCTAGCTTCACATTTATCCTTGCATTCTCCAAATGTATCGCTATTTGTACTTTGTACTTCTTTTATCTCTTTTCTTCTCCCATTCATACATATACTTTACATTTTTATTCTAAGCATATTGGCATATCTTTCTTAGAACAATACTTTAACATATAGGAGTCTTAAACTTTTATTTCTTTTCTAAGGGAGCTTAGGATCTGGTTTCAACATGTTAAAAGGTGTTGGCTGTAATACAGAGGCTTTGCTTGTCTGTTTTGTGTACAGGTCTTTGGATTGTATCCTTTATGGCTGCTTATGTTATTATTATTATTATTATTATTATTATTATTATTATTATTATTCCTGTTTTTACAGAGGCGATGGACTCCCAAAAACCGAGTTCCCACTTCACACTTTATGGACCTGAAGCAAATTTTCCATAAGTTATCTGCCCGAAAAATAAGCCCCACCTCTGCTCGAAGCTCAGGTATAACCGAATCAGAGTCTGAAAGCTTGCGTTCACAGAAGCTGTCCATTTTCCGTGTGAAGTTTCCATCATCTCTTTCGAATCAAAGCTCTTCGTCCGGAAGCCCAACCAGCTCCATACTTTCAGGGCACGACCAAACAGAGACCTCGAGTAGATCAAAAGAATTGGCACCCGGAACCGGGGCTGGGTCATCTCCTGAAGGCGATCTGTTCTATGAAGCAGAAAGCCCTGACGAAGCAGCCTTGGTTTACGCTGCCAGGGCTTACCAATGCCGTTTGCAGTCCAGGAGTCCTGAGCTGGTGACGGTACACTTGGAACCTTTGGGACTGTTAACGTTTCAGCTGCTGCACATCTTGCCTTTTGATTCCGTCCGCAAACGGATGTCCATTGTGGTGAGGCACCCCATTTTGAACCACATTGTCGTCTACACCAAAGGAGCAGACTCTGTCATGATGGATTTGCTGGAGAAAGACCCAACAGGTATTTCTGAGAGCCAGTGTGGTGTAGTGGTTAAGAGCGGTAGACTCGTAATGTGGTGAACCGGGTTCGCTTCCCTGCTCCTCCACATGCAGCTGCTGGGTGACCTTGGGCCAGTCACACTTCTCTGAAGTCTCTCAGCCCCACTCACCTCACAGAGTGTTTGTTGTGGGGGAGGAAGGGAAAGGAGAATGTTAGCTGCTTTGAGACTCCTGAAGGGGAGTGAAAGGCGGGATATCAAATCCAAAACAGGTATGGGGGACGCTCTAGTCAGCTTTCTAATAAACACTGGCAAACACAGAAGCCTTTAACCTCCAATTCAGACATTTCATAAACCTCAAGAGTCTGTACGTAATCTGAGAAATGGCCAATGGAGTGTTGTGTCAATCCCATCTAGAGGCTGCCAGTCCATGGACAACAGTGGCCAGGCTATCTCAATCCAGGAATGCCCTTAATGGTCTTACAAACTAAGGGTTGTAAAAGGCACTCCTAACAACTGAGGTCACTTGGGCCTCTAGCCATGGTGTATTCTGATAGAGATATTGTACCCTAGTGAACAGTCGTGCCACTACATTTTACATGAGTTGCTGCCTTGCTGTAGGAAAACCACGTTCATGATCAAGGTATCTCCACCGCCAGGCAAAAGACCTGCCCAATGCAAGGGCCAGTAATATCCAAGGCAACACAATGACATCAACATAAACTCTTTATATAGTCTATACGGAACATTGAGCGATATGAGAAACCAAACAGAAAACATAGAACCAAATAAACATAAGTCTTATAAGTCTCTGAAATGCCAGGGCCAGTCAGTCAAGTTTATTTACCGTTGGTCACCACAAAAAGGCAAACAATATTTTGGTACATTTTAGCATAACTAGGCCCCAGGGCACTGGACTCCATAGATTGCACAAGTAGCACCCGTCAAAAAAATTTCCCTATTATATCTCAGGATCTCACTCAGAATATTTTACAAAGCTCCCCACCCTCAGGAATTTGATCCTTTTACATAGATGACCCCTGTGTTTAGCATTTAACGTTTCCTGCTTTTCATTATCTCAAATCTCAGGTATTAAAAAGATTGATGCGCAGATGCAAAGAATTAAGGAGAGAACTCAGATGCATTTGGATGATTATGCTGCACAAGGACTGCGCACTCTCTGTGTAGCTATGAAGGTGATATTTCTTTTAATGGTTAACAGTACAGAATTGGCAAAACCTTGGTGCCAGCAATAAAACCACTAGCACGTTTGCAAAGGGTCTGGTGGGGTTTCAGATTGGGGGGGGCATTGTGTTGAGATTCCTGCATTGCAGGGAATTGGGCTAGATGACACTTGCAATCCCTCCCAACTCTACAATTCTGCGATTCTGTTTTTTTCTATTCTTGAAAGAATAGGGTGCTATTTATTTTACAGTTCATTCCTAAACTGGGTGGAGGATCAGTTGCTGCTTCCAGAGACCTGTCATCAGAGCTTCAGAGCTGTCTGTGGGTGTAGTGGAAGGCTCCACAATTGCTGTGGTCCTTTGCGAGTCGAGCTCTTCTCTGCTGGAGAAGCCCCTCTGTTTCTTCCTAACTCCTAGCCAGCAGATCTGGGGTTTAGGCTCGTCCAGTTGGGTGGGGGCACCTTTTTCTCGGTTTAGGATGTAGTCAAAGCACTGGTCAACAGATTATATATGGAATATTTAGAATTTTCAAACATACCTCTCCATGATCTGTGTCCAAACCACAGTTGAAAGCATACGGATATGGTCTGGCCACATGGTTTCCCATCACAAACTGATTTCAAAGGAAGGGCAAGTTCATTTTCTACAAAGGGATGGTTAAATGAAGCCACGCCCAACATTTAAATGAACGAGTAAACTGCATGCACGTGTCAGGACTTTCTTTAGCTATTTTTTAGTATCAATATTGGGAGTTTTTAGGAGGGATTTGTTGTTATTTTAAGCCTTTATTTTACTTTCAATAGATGGCAGTGGAGGATAGGCAGTTACATAGCTTGAACGTTCCCCAGGATTTTGCTCTCAAAACCTTGGTTTGACATAAATTGCATTTGTCAAGCAGTGCTGTACCAGAAAAAAACTCACTTCGAGAAACAAAAAAATAGGGAACTTGACTGATTTGGGTGGTTTGTTGTAATAGTGGAAGATGCCTGTCTCAGTCGTATAGTTCTGTAGCCAGCCCCATTGTAACACACTCTGTTATTCCCTTTAAATGAAGTAATGTTTTAATTCTTGCAGCACCCCCATTCTCTCAGATACTGAGCTTGGTAGTTATGTAAGTGACACGGGGCCACCTCCAGAATACTGTAGATTTGGTGTGCATGTATCATTGCTAGGCATACACTCAGTTTATATCCAACCTGAAATAATTCAGCCAGTATATGGTGCTGCGAGGGAAAAAGCAGCAAAGGACACCGTCTTTGTTGAGTGCAGTTCAGAAAACACATAAAAAAGCAGGGATGGGTGCATTGACTGCCAGCTGGCCAGTCTAGGAGCTCAGAGTGACAAGGCGGAAGGAAGGAAGGAAAGAGTTGGCTCTGGTGTCACCTGAAGACTTGATTATTGTAACTCGCTCTACGTGGGGCTGCCCTTGAGACTGACCCAGAAACTCCAGCGGGTGCAGAATGCCGTGGTGAGACTCCTTACGGGGTCCTCGCTGCGGGATCACATTCACCCAGCTCTATACCAGCTGCACTGGCTCCCGGTAGAGTACAGGATCAGGTTTAAGGTGCTGGTTTTAACCTTTAAAGCCCTATACAGCCTAGGACCCTCATACCTACAGGACTGCCTCTCCTGGTATGTCCCACGGAGGACCTTACGGTCTTCAAACAAAAACATCTTGGAGGTCTGCGGCCACAGGGAGGTTAGGCTGGCCTCAACTAGAGCCAGGGCTTTTTCGGCTGCGGCCCCGATCTGGTAGAACACTCTGTCACAAGAGACTAGGGCCCTGCGGGACTTGACATCTTTCCGCAGGGTCTGCAAGACATAGCTGTTCCACCAGGCCTTTGGCCAAGGCACCAGTCCTTTGGTAATCCTCATAGAACTCTAGCCCAATGGTTGCCATTAATTTGATTCTGAATTGATTTTAGAATGTATTTCAATTAATTGATTGTGATTTTATGTAAACTGTGTTACTTTTACTGTTGTTAGCCACTCTGAGCCCGGCTTTGGCTGGGGAGGGTGGGATATAAATAAAAATTTATTATTATTTATTATTATTATTTGGTGCATCATGCTTCTGCAAGTGGATGGCAAGTTTTCGCCTCCCTCCTTGCGCCAAATGATGCTGTCTTCTTGCTCTAGCCCTTATCTCCCCCCCCACACACACCTATTGGTATAATTTCCACACCTCTCCTTCTGTCACACATTGTGTTGGCCAAAGACCGCTTGCAAATGGTCAAAGGGACTCTTAAAAAATATATCTGGATATATAATTTGCTTTAGAGAGATGAATGCTGTGAATTCTCTATTATTTTAAAATGGCTTTATTTGCATGACGTTGATCAGTACGGTGATGTCGGCTCTTTGCTGACTCTGCAGGTGTTGACTGATGAGGAATACAACGAATGGTTAAAAGGATATTATGCCGCGGAACACAACATTGAGTGTCGGGACGATCTGCTCCTTGAGTCGATGCAGAAGCTTGAGAACAAATTAACACTGCTTGGTGAGTTGGGAAGAAGATGGGCAGCACAGTTCAAGAAGGACACTGACAAGCTGGAACGTGTCCAGAGGAGGGCAACCCAAATGGTCCAAGGCCTGGAAACGATGCCTTATGAGGAACGGCTAAGGGAGCTGGGCATGTTTAGCCTGGAGAAGAGGAGGTTAAGGGGTGATATGATAGCCATGTTCAAATATATAAAAGGATGTCACATAGAGGAGGGAGAAAGGTTGTTTTCTGCTGCTCCAGAGAAGCGGACACGGAGCAATGGATCCAAACTACAAGAAAGAAGATTCCACCTAAACATTAGGAAGAACTTCCTGACAGTAAGAGCTGTTCGACAGTGGAATTTGCTGCCAAGGAGTGTGGTGGAGTCTCCTTCTTTGGAGGTCTGTAAGCAGAGGCTTGACAACCATATGTCAGGAGTGCTCTGATGGTGTTTCCTGCTTGGCAGGGGGTTGGACTCGATGGCCCTTGTGGTCTCTTCCAACTATGATTCTATGATTCTATGGTTGTTTTGCTAAACTCCTAAATATACAGTGGTACCTCTGGTTACATATGCTTCAGGTTACATACACTTCAGGTTACAGACTCCGCTAACCCAGAAATAGTGCTTCAGGTTAAGAACTTTGCTTCAGGATAAGAACAGAAATCATGCTCCGGTGGCGCGGCGGCAGCAGGAGGCCCCATTATCTAAAGTGGTGCTTCAGGTTAAGAACAATTTCAGGTTAAGAACGGACCTCCGGAACGAATTAAGTACTTAACCCGAGGTACCACTATAGGAGCCACTGTATAGGCTCAAACCTTATCAATGAATGCAGCTCCATCAAATGCACTTAGCCCAGTGGGCTTGAACATGCTTAACATTTGTGTTGGACTGTATCCCCGTCTCACTTAAATTCTCTGAAGTTGCAAAACTAATCTAAACATTTGTTCTGCTGCTTAATGGGGTTCGGAAGAAGGAGCATAATTTTTTAGAATGAAGAGTAGATGACTTAGGTTCAATCTGGTGGCTCCTGGGAGCATTCCCTGGAGGCGAAAGTGCCACTGCGCCACCACTGATGGCCAGCAAAACTTCTCCAGAAATCAGCGCTGATGGCGGAGACAGCAGGGTGTGTGGGTGCCACCTTATGAATTTCTGCCACCTGAGGCTGTGGCTTCACCCTGTCTAATGGCTGGGCTGGCCCTGCCTGGGAGGGCATCCCAGGGGCTATCAGATACCACAAAATTCCCCCTCCATGGGCTGAAAGGGGAAGGCCTCTGCAAGGAGTGCTTCTGATCAGGATTCCAGACATTGCATTCCATTCCCCCTCCTACCACCCAATTTTCCAATTTTTACCCTCAGCAGGTATCTGAGGGTACTCAGTACTCATCCGGCTGATTTGGTAGGGATGGAGGAATTCCATCCTGAGGGGTTTTCCCTCCACTAAAGGTTGTTTTTGTTACTTGCCCACATGAGGTGGGCCCGTTTCCCACCTAAGGACCAGCAATCAGAGAAACTGAGGTTGCTGTTAGGATACATGATTTCGTAGGCTTTGATTCTGTTAGAGAAACTACTCCATATCCTTTACGGTTCAGACCAAGGCACCACAAACTCATCCTGGTTCCATATTATTTCTCCTGATTTCTCAAACATTTCGGGGAATTCTCTCCCATGTAAAATGTGTTAGGTTGCGAATCAGCACATAAGCTGATTCCTCATCATTTACCTCATGTTAGGAGTTGGGAATTATAACCACTTTGCCTAGAAACCTTTGGTAATTGAAATGGTAATAAGTCTTTTGCACTCCCACTTGGAAAAAAATTATGAACTTTAAATCTCAGCATATTTTTGCTTAGGAGAAACTTGGCATTTCTCAGCTCTATATAGCCACTCCCAACTGCTGAGTAGTATTTATACTTAATTGCATTTTTTAATTATTTTCTGCTATTGTTATTGATTTGATTTATATCCTGTCCATTATCTAAAAATCCCAGGGCGGTGTACAAAATTAAGAACATAATTTATGTAGCATAATAATAAAAACATAATACAGAGCCTAATGGTAGATAGAAGAAGAAGAAGAAGATATTATTTATTCCCAGCCCATCTGGTTGAGTTTCACCAGCAACTCTGCACAGCTTCTAACAAAATATTAAAAACACAATAAAACATCAACATAATAATAAAATAATCATAACAGTCCCCTCCCACGCATTTAGCAGGCCATACATTATTGAATGATCAAGGGCCTGGGTAAAGAGCAATGTTTTTGCCTAAATATGTGTAATTACGGCACCAGGTGAGCCTCTCTGGGGAGAGAGCATTCCACAGATGGGGAGCCACCACAGAAAAGGTCCATTCTTGTGTCACCATCCTCCAAACCTCTTGGGGGCGGGGGCACAGAGTAGGGCCTCAGATGACAAGCGCAGGGCCCAGGTCAGTTTGTATGGGGAGTCGCATTCCTTAAGATATTGAGGTCCTGAACCTTGTAAGGCTTTATAGATCAGCACTGCACTTCGAATTGGGCCTGGAAATGAATTGGCAGCCAGTGCCGAACAGGGCAGTTTGACCTAATCACACTGATTGCTGCTTTGCAGGTGCCACCGGGATTGAAGACCGATTGCAGGAAGGTGTTCCAGAAACCATAGAGGCGCTCCGAAAAGCAGGAATTAAAATCTGGATGCTGACTGGCGATAAAAGCGAGACAGCCATCAACATAGCACATTCCTGTAGATTACTGGCGCCGAGTGATTTCATCTTCATCCTGCAGTCTGATCGCCTGGTGCGTGTGGCATTTGGTTTTTCTGTAGCTGGAACTGTTTGCATTGCTGTATGACCGCAGGGCCAGAAAAGACAACAGCAGCTAACTTATCCACCGGACCTCTTCCGGTTTTTGCTTTGGGTTACCCAATTCATCTTGCAGTTGTCTTTCCCATCTCGCCCCACTGCTGCTGCTCCTCCTTTCCTTTTTGGCCAATGGCATCACACTTGTCTGTGCAGTTGGGGTGTTCCCTTCGCTTCTAAAAACTGCATATATATTTTTAGGATGACCTTTATAAATTCAGTATTTTATGTTAAATGTGAGTGTCTAAGCTGTAAGGCTTTGTACAATTGTACTCCTGAACAGAAGCATAAGTGGCAGTTAATTATTTAAATGCAGCCACCAATTCATTTGTCCTTCCGCCTTGCGCAGAAAGTTGACACACTGCAAAACGTTGTTAAAATGCTTCCAAGGGCTAAATGCTAAACTACACTAGCTCTATGGATGTCGGACTAGGAGCTTTGTCTTGGAAATTGGAACAAGTTCAGTTTTTGGAAGTTGCTCTTTGTCGTATCTCCCTGCAGCCGTGTTTGATTACCATTAATGTGCTAAGAATTATCTCATTAAAATGGTATTACATGCAGCATTCCAGAAAGTTAATCTACTTACATTTCCTAATGCAGAAAAAATCTTGGTGTTTTTGTGTTCTCTCTTAAAAGTAGTCAGTGTTTTCAAATGGGAAGCCAGTTCCCTTTTACGTGATGGAAATATCTTTATTCACATTATCCAGTACTAATCCTAGCCATAACTTGTTAAAGATTGCTTAAAAATTGGGACAGAGAATGCTTTGCCGTAAAAAAAAAGCCAACAGGTTGAAAAGAATATTGTATGATGGCAGGAATGGATATTTTGTTTGTTAGAAATTCAGGCCTTTGTTTTGACAGATGACTCACTTGAAGACTGATGAACTAATCACAGTAAAAATGTTGTCTAGACCAGTGTTTTTCAACCTTTTTTGGGCAAAGGCACACTTGTTTCATGAAAAAAATCACGAGGCACACCACCATTAGAAAATGTTAAAAAATGTAACTCTGTGCCTATATTGACTATATATAAAGTAATTCTCTTGAATAGGAATCAAATAAACACAAAGAAAGTATTTTATAATTACTTTATTATGAAATAGTAAGTAAACAGAAATATGAAAAATTATAAAATACTTTATTCAGTGCAAACCTGGGCCTGTTTGGCTGAACACAAAGCTGATATTCTGGCTGGAATCGAAGAAAGACACACACGTAGCTCTTCGTCAACAGCTCTCAGTCTCTCTCTGTATTTAGTTTTTATAGCAATCATGCTTGAAAAGCTCATCTCACACAGATATGTAGTGGAAAATGGGAGCAATGTCAAAATAGCTTTGTTTGCCAGAAGGGGAACTCCTTGGCAGTATCCAACCAAAAACTGTCCAAAGGTAGATCAGCAAATCTTAGCTTGAAACCACGATTTTGTCTCAGTTCAGTTAGTTCCTCCTGCTCCTGTAAAGTCATGTCCTTTCCACCAACTGATGCTGAGCTATAAGGGTCCCTAACCCAGTCAAGGCATTCAGTGGAGACTGAAGAGAAATAAAATGACAACTTCTCCGGTCCTCCTGGTGACTCAAGTCGCGACGTCTTCTTCTCTCCGCTGCTGCGCACACTGTGCTCGGGTGGGAAGGAAGTCGGAAGATGATGTCCTACTGTGATAGGTCCAGGCTGGAGTCTGGACCAATCACAGCCCGGACATCAGAAAAGTGGAGGGTGTCCCCCTGAGGAGCGCCAATCGGCGCCCCTGCTGGCCGAGGGTGGGGTCAAAAACCCCAGCCCCCATACCCAGGACACAGTCCGGCGCCCATCTAGTGGGCGAAAATTTGAATTTTTATTTTTTAAAAAATCTTTCGAATTTTTCAATTTTTCCCACGGCACACCAGGCAACATCTCACGGCACACTAGTGTGCCGCGGAACAGTGGTTGAAAAACACTGGTCTAGACAGTGTTATGTTTCTTTTAATTGCACATTCATAGAATCATAGAATTGTAGAGTTGGAAAGAACTTCAATAATGATCTAGTCCAACCCCCTGCCATGCAAGAATCTCAACTAAAGCATCCATGGCGGATGGTTATATTTAATTATGATTTTTGGGGAGGAAAGGTCCTTTCAGTTCAAACCCACTGTGTATTATTGAGAAAGCAGCATACAACTTCATGTACAGCTCCCATTCATTTTAGTGAGCCGTGTGTCTATAAACTCTCAGAAATTTCCCTTGCACTTCTGCAGATCCCATTTATTTTAGCTGAATTATGTAAGATGAGTTTATTTTATTTCTTTAAATAAAAAAACTAACTACTCACATGCATATGGATCACGATTTAATAATATAGCCCCTTCCATTAATCAGATTTAAAAAAAACATATTGCAAGATATATCTCTTTCCAGTGTTTCCTTCAGCCATTGGATTCCTGCCCCTAGCTAAATGTAAACTCTGTGTGTGGCTCATTTCTTAAGCATTTAACGAACCCTTGCTCACGTGACAGTGAGCTGTTTTGTCTAAGCCATGGTTTATTTCAACAGGAGCAAGCCGCAGTGAGCCTCAGAATTTTAAATGCATTCCTGCTGCAGACATGAAACGAACAGAAACCTTTGTTTCCATTTTGATTAACCATATTGTTGCTTCATCTGAACCTGACAAACAGTGTCTTAAAATATGTTTGAAACAAGCCAAGTTCAAGGCATGGGTTCTGAAGTTGGCTCCTTTCCACAAACCATAGTTAAGGTAGACTATAGTATAGGGTTTGGACATATTGCAGTTAATAAAAAATGGAAGTGAAAGCTTCTGATCTCATGGCTGTGATGGAGAGTCGTTCCTTTGGCTTATTCCCCCTTCCATCATAAACCGGTTTATGGTAATATCCAAACTGGCCCAGAATCTTTGTGATGATGGCTTTCCCTATCATGGCCTTGCAGATCTTTTGCAGAATTAAAAACGGCGGATCATTTTCATTAATGAACGCACTCAAGATACATCTATAGCTGACAAGCTGTTAACAGCTATTGAGATGTGACTTGTAAAGCGAAGCTTTAATACGTACTCAAAAGAATCTGATCCTAGATAAAACCTACCAATGCCCTTGTCCCAAGCAGCAGCATCATCATCATCATTTTTATTCGACCGTCAGTCAGAAAAAAGTACATTTTGTCCTTTTCCCAAGCAGGATTCCTGTTCGTTGAAGATGGACAAGATTTTGGAAGACATCAAGTGGAAAGAAAGCTATGAGGCAAACCATTTGAGAATCCCAACCTCATCGGTTGCTCAAATTCCACATTTCACTGCTGCCCTAGTTATAGATGGAGCAACATTAGAATTTGCCTTGCACGACAGTGTGGCGAGCAAGTTCCTGCAGCTCACAACACGTGTACGGGCTGTCATCTGCTGCCGAGCCACCCCTCTGCAGAAGAGCCGAGTGGTGGAAAAGATCCGAAAGGAACTGAAGGTGATGACATTGGCTGTAGGTGAGTCATCTCTCTCTTGCAAGGGAGCAGCATATATGCTATACAGCATCACCTTTTATTTCCCTGTAAAGCAGGGATGGGGGATATCTGATCTCCATCATCCCTGACCACTGGCCATGCTGGCTGGGGTTGAAATGAGTTGTAATCCAGCAACAGCTGGAGGACCACAGGATCCCCACATCTGCATTAAAGGTACGTTCCTTAGATTTTCCTTGGGATAACTATTGACACAAACCAGAGCAGACCAGCAGGCAAATGGCAGAACGTGGCTGTAGAATCCCAACTGGGATCTGCTAGTTGAAAAGCCCTGCTGCTCCATAGATACAGACAGCCAGCCAGACAGTCTGTCTGATGTAACAACTGCATCAGCCAGGCATTTTCACTCTAGTTGCCTCCTTCCGATTGCAGTAAGCAGGGAAGCTTGCTCTATGTACGTCAGAATATTTTCAACACTCTCATTCAGAATAACAATTTCAAGGTGACTTTATATGTTATGTGAAAACACCACAGTGGGACTTCCTCTGTCCAAACTCTTGGGATTATTTGCAACCGGGGAGCGGGGGGTTAGCATGCATTTCTGGCGACCACATAACCTTTCTCCTGCAGCCCATGTTCTACATATTTGGGAGATAGGTGAAAAGGAGAATCATGACTCACCTCCATATAAAGTTCACTTGTTTGTTCAAAATATTTTTGGCCCGCCTTCCCATTATAAAAGCACCCACGGGACCTAATTATAGCAGCAGAACATCCGTCCCATAACACTAGAATTTGTAGACACAGTGATGCTGAATGTTGGAAGATTCAGAACAAAAGAAAAGTACTTTGTCACACAACACACAGATAATTCCACAGCTAACTCCCACAAGAGGCAGCGATGGCTTCCAGTGTGGATGCTTTAAAAGAGGATTGGACAAATTCATGGAAGATAAGGTTGTTCATGGCTGCTAATCCTGATGGATGCGTTCTGATAGATTAAGATAGATTAGATGGGCTACTTGTCTGATCCAGCAGGCTCATATCTCAAAAGTGCTCATGGAAACAGCTTTACCTGGCACCAAAACACGAATAGCATTGGTGCCTGTTTTCCTTTGCCCGGGGAGCGCATTCACAAATTAGATGCTATCACACAGAAGGCCAACAATATGTGATGCTGTCGTCATTCCCCATCTGTGCAGGGTAGTAATGCAACCAACAAGCCTCTGAGGTAGATCATGAGCTGTGTTGGCAATATAGTTTTATTGCACGTTTCAAAAAATAGTAATTCGTTTATAAGGTTTCTTTACATCAGATACACTAATTTCATATGATAAAAACATTTATCACAATACCCAACATATCTAGATCCAGGTATAATGCAAACTTAGAATTGCTCTCTAGATAAATAGCCACATAAACTATCAATAAATATTGCATATTTTATAAATCTACTCTCCTAAAATTCTCATTATTTCATTAGATATGCCAACATGAACTCCCCCTATCTTCATGTTGCACTTTATAGAGTCCTTTTTATAATGCCTATAACTTGACAATAATTCTAAAACCATTGAACAAACTAGACATAAATTTGCATTTGACGTGCAGCAGTAGGGAAGGAAAAGCTTCATTTCCTCTTTTGATGTCTGCAGTGATAATTACCAGCTCTCCCAGCTGATGACATTTGCACTTGTATTTAACATCGCATCTTGTGAGGCCATGAAATTTCAATCTATTTTTCTCTTTCGTCAAGTCTGTGTGCAGTGCATTAGCGCGCCCCCGCCCAAACCAGTTTCATTGCAACATTGTTCTTTTCCTTCTCCTGGAAGGTGATGGTGCCAACGATGTTAGTATGATCCAAGTTGCTGATGTTGGAATTGGAATCGCTGGCCAAGAAGGCATGCAGGTAGGACGGATTGAGAGAACTGTAAATGGAAGCAGTATTGCGTATAGATTGATGACTGTGAGAGCCATAACACTTATTGGTAGCAGAATACCGTATTTTTTGCTCTATAAGACTCACTTTTCCCCTCCTAAAAAGCAAGGGGAAATGTATGTGCGTCTTATGGAGCAAATGCAGGCTGCGCAGCTAGCCCAGAAGCCAGAACAGCAAAAGGGATTGCTGCTTTCACTGCGCAGCAATCCCTCTTGCTGTTCTGGCTTCTGAGATTCAGAATATTTTTTTTCTTGTTTTCCTCCTCCAAAAACTAGGTTCGTCTAGTGGTCTGGTGCGTCTTATAGAGCAAAAAATACGGTATATTGTTAGTGGAATCAAAAGCTGAATACCCCAAACCCTAGAATTTGCAAGAGGTCTTTGTCAAAAGAGCTGATCTATTAGAAATACAAGTACTATGGTGTTGTAGGGAACCTGTGGGACAGTGCGTCTTGGCTGTTAACCAGAACCTTGGTGGTTCATGCCCACTCAGGGATGTCTGCGGACAGAATTCCTGCATTGCAGGGGGTTGGATGACCCTCATGGTTTCTTCCAGCTCTACAATTCTATTATACTATTGCAAAGGCCTTAAGAGCCATATTTACACTGTATTAGGTTCTAATATGGACATACGTTCCTAAGAAATCAGATTATATACCAGGAGAATGTTCCTTGAAATCAGAGGACCTAGGAATTTGTACAACCATGGGCATCTTCGTGGAGCATGTTTGAAGCAGTTTCAGGTAGATATCTGAAGAGGTTTGAAGAGGATTCATTCAGGTGGCTTTAGTTGTCACAGAAGTCATTCATGGGAACAGTGTAATAATTTATGAGTTGGTAGTGCAAAGATCAACAACTTCCTTGATTCGTGAGGAACTAAAATATGTCCTCATGTTAAGAGGGTGGATTAGTTGGCATATAAGAGACTGCTCAATAAATGATGATTGACGAGTGTGGGTCCGAATCAAGGGAAAGAGAGGATGAGTGGAGGATGAGTTAGAAAGGGAGAGAAGTATAACAGTATACACAACACCATGACTTCTACAAGGAAACCTTTGTGGAGACATATATTTGTATTTTTGGCCAATGGGACTTGTGCAGTCAGCTTCAGTGGGATGCAGGAGTGGTCAATGAAAGTTCCTGACTTCATTTTGTAGCTATTTTCTCGGTGGCTGTATTTCATTTATTTCATGTTTGTTTTCAGGCTGTGCTGGCGAGTGATTTTGCGCTTTCTCAGTTCAGACATCTCAGCAAGCTGCTGTTCGTACACGGCCACTGGTGTTACACACGATTAGCGAACATGATCCTTTACTTTTTTTACAAGAATTTGGTATGTAGCTTCCGGGGATGCCTCAATGGGTTTGACCTTGCGGAAGGACAGTTTCTTAATGATTAGAAACAGGCGAAGGACGCTAGTAAATTCTGTACTCTGAATCTACAGCAGCAGAAATGGGAGTCTGCCCACCCGCCTTGGGTTAAGGGTCACTGCTCCAGTGGCATTTATAATAAATTTAAATACGGTCTATGCCAAAAAGCTGTCTGTTAGCACTAAGAAGATTGTGACAAGTTGGCTCCACTATTGAAACCTGCAAATTATCAAAGGATTATTTTACGCCGTTTCTGCCTGGGGAAGCGTGTCCGAAGCAGACAGGCCTTGCCAGTTTCGATGTTGAGCGTGGACTTTGAGGTTTACTTCTGAGCAGTAAGAACTCAAAATGAGTTCATTATGTTACAGAGTTAAGACAGAGGCAAGCAGTAACCACATGGTAACTCCTGTAAAGCTCAGCTGCTTTGCCACTCACTTAAGAAATTTCCCCCCTTGCAGCTCTAACCACTGGAGAGCTAATAATCTGTAACCTCTGACCATGGAATAAAGTAAGCATTACTAAATATTGGTAACTATTTGAAATTCTGGGAAAGCAGGAATCACTTTTAGCACTCAGCTTAACAAGGCTAGAGGCTACAGCCAGCCCTCTCTCCAGGCAGTTCGTAACAGTGGTGTCTTACTATCTTCACGCTGGTAGTCAACATTTTCACCAAATTATCTTAAGTGTTTGGTGCTGAGAAAATGCAGTATTTGCAATCCTGAGCCCTTAGTACCATTTCTAGGACAACAGATTCGTATCATTGGCATTCAGCATTTCTGTAGCCAACTATAAGAACCATTTGACATTGCAGTTCTTTCCCGCAAAGGGGCAGAACTGTACATCAGTAGTGGAGCAAGGAAAAGGTTCCAGGTTAATCCAGGTAGGGTGGAAAACTCCAAAACTCTGAAGAGCTTCTGCCAGTCAGTGTAGACAAAAGTGAGATAGACAGACCAATAGTCTGACTCAGTATATATAATTCCTGTTGGCTCTTGTTTATAGATTCTCACCTTTTAATTCCCACCTCTGTTCCTAACAGGCGTATGTGAACCTCCTGTTCTGGTTCCAGTTCTTCTGTGGGTTTTCAGGAACACCCATGACCGACTACTGGAGTTTGATTTTCTTCAATCTGCTCTTCACATCAGTACCACCTGTCATTTATGGTGTTTTGGACAAAGATGTCTCCGCAGAAGTCCTGTTGCACTTGCCAGAACTTTACAAGGCTAGTCAGAGAAATGAGGTATTTCTTGGCTTCTTACAAATATTTGAAAGCTGAAGTGACTCACATGTTCTCTGTTGTGCATTCCTTACCAGTTAAACGTGAACATTCCCTCCTGTTAAATAATCTGGTGGAGATGAAAGGCATTATTCTTCACTGGCTTTACAGCCAATGAATGTAGGTGGCCTTAGGAGGGCAACATAGTTTATACACAAACAGTTATTTGATGGATGCCCTGTTACCATTTTCTACCATGTAGACTGCTGTTGCTTATTTGTGTTTCTCCAGCATGGCGAGGAAGGCCTCATCAGAAATGTGGGAATATTGTGCGCTGTGTGCTAGACATGCATGCTATCAAAGTCAAGCTGAAACTCTCTAGGAGGGGTTTCAGATTAGATTGCTGTACTGTCTCACCAGCCTGAGATGGGGCCCCCCCTGCAGCTCTGACAATGAGTATCTCTGGTTGGTTGGTTTGCTGAAAATACAACAGATTTTTTTATTGAACCAATTTTTGTTCAAAGAGGTTCAAATACTTCCTGCCTGACCATGGTATTTGTGGTAATTTAAAAGCTGCATTTTTATATACCGAGAAGTGTTAGTCTTATAACTAGGCTCACCTCCTCCCTTTAATCTCTCATTTGTGACTTGGGCATATTGCAGACTAGCTCCGGCTCTCTCACTGAAGGTTGAGACCTGGATCTTGGAAGGTGATACTGTATGTGTGAGCTTTTGGAAGCTCAGTAAGGCTTTCAGGCTTCCAAACATGCAGACAAGGCAAAATGATAAGAATCTGTATCTTCCCAAACTATGAGTAGAATTCAAAATAACCCTCTTCTGGGGGTTCTCCTGAACCCCCTTAACCCAATTTAAGAGGGGGGGGGGAAGACCCATTGCAGAAGTGCTTGTGTGGGGCTCATTAGGTGAATCCCACCCTCAATAAGTGTTTCTCCTGTCTTTCCTTTTCAGCCATACCTGTTTACAACCTTCATAATGAACTTATTAGATGCTTTTTACCAAAGTCTAGTTTGCTTTTTTATCCCTTACTGGGTAAGTGTTAGGATATTTTACTCCTTTGTCTCTATCTTTTATTTGCCTTTTTATTTGCATGATCTTTAAACTTCCTCCATATTCAAAAAACAGTAGGCTTACAGTACTCATGATCTGGAATACAAGCACAGAGGACTTCCGGTGGGTGGGTGGGGCATGGCAGATTGAATCTCTGTTGTCAGCAGTCCACGGAAATAATTCCATGATAATTGATGACAGCCAGGAGTAAGCTTCGACTGTCAAATTCACCCTGGGAAAAAAGTGAATAGGGATCCAACCTCTGATGTGCTGAAAAAGCTGTTTTCTATGTCAAGAGACCGAGAAGCTGTCAGCTCCTGGGAGCTCTGGTGGGGTTAAGCGACTTAAGAACCAAGGAGTCTACATCTTGCCCAAAAGCCACATAAGAGCCCTGATGTGCATGTGATCTGCAAAAGCCTCTCTTTCTTAATTATTTCTCGAAATTTATAATTTATAACTCAGAGAAATTTATCCATCAGCCAGTGGAAATTTACATTTGATGCATGAGCTGCTTTTTGGCTTCAAGTAGAAGGGAAGAGTAGTCAATTGTTAAAGGGCTGAAGGCAGAACCAAAAGCTTGTTTTAATGGCTTGAGAAAAGAAATTTGCAAATGAATGAGACACTTGTGTGTGTCAATAATTTTTATTTCATGTTGTTTATTTTTGTTTTCTCGATGAAAATGTTGCTTAGAAATCAAAAGTAAATGTGCCACTTGATACTTCCTCCACGGGAAAGGATTATCTATTCTAATAAGAGATATGGCTGTGAAGATCTTAAGGTGGAGACAGGAGATGTAATGAGACTGAATTGTTAATAAGATCATGAAAATTCAGTCTGGCAAATATACCTCTATTTGGGCATTCCACTGACTGTTGGCATCTTTCAGCAAATGTTTGACGAGCAAATAAAATTGACTAAAGTTCCATTGGGGTCTAATCCAGTGGGGAATGAAAGTAAACCAGGAATGAATGAAATGAAAGGCAGAATCAGAGACGATACAGAGACTTTGGAGAAGAATATGGATAAAGGACTGGCAGAATCAGAGTGTGAAATGGTAGAGTTGGAGGGAATAGATGGTGCATTTGAAAAGTCATTTACACAAGTGTTTGGAGGAATAAAACAGCCATATGGTGTTGTGATTCTGGAGGAGTAGAATGAAATCATGGATGGAGACATGGACAGACATCTGGATCTGGCAGAGAAAGGGCTCTGTGTACAACTTGGAGTGAACTCAGAGGGGAAAGGTACTCTGGTACTTTCCTTGGGAAAAGAATAGAAAAAATGTAAATGGAAGAGGTAATTTTTTTTTAGGATGGAACACAACAGGAAATGGGAACTGAGGATACAGAACTGGGTGCGAATTAATGGATACGTAACAAGAAAAGAACTATGGAATAATTTCTCAATATATGATCACCGTGGAGAGACTCGTACATAGACAAAGATAGAAAGATTTATTATTGTTTAAGACCAAGTGGAAGTTGTGGTTGTGGAAGACCAAGTGGTTATGTTTGATTGGAGAAAAATCATTACACATATTTATTAACAATAGAGAATTTGAACTTCTTGTGTGAAAAGAAAAACGAACGGATTTCACACATTTGAGTCTGAAGATTGGGAAAATTTTAACAGAAAGCAGAACAGTTGGATGTCATGCTAGGGCAAATGTTACGAAACTTATTTTTCTTTAATGTAGTGGGCAGATGTAAAATCAGGAGTCCTTTTATTTATTTTTCATTCTTCTTTTCTTTCTCTCTTTTTCTTTCTTTTTTCCCCCCTTTTGTGTCCTCTGCTCTGAGCCATTATTGGGGTCCAAGGATTACACACACACGAAGGTGGTGTGTGGTTTGTGGCAGGACCCTGAGTGAGAGGCAGGGAAGTGAAGATCTCCCAGGCTGAAAGACTGGGAGAAGAAAGGAAAGCTCCCAGGTGAGAGCTGGGAAGGTCCATCATTTTCTGTTGGTGACAAGGATTAAGAGCTACATTTAAGAGAAAGACTCTGTGTTTTCTTTTCTCTTTCCTTCTTTGTTTTTGTTATTTAGATTAGTTTCTTTTATCTTATTGTCTCATGAAAAAGCTTTAAAGAAATCTTAAGGAAAAAAGGGGGAATACAATCACAGAGTACATAAACTTTAAATAATTGTTCCTTTGCAGACCTACAGTGGCTCTGATATAGACCTCTATTCTTTCGGGAGTCCTATTAACACCTCCATGTTTTTTACAATATTATTACACCTTGTGATTGAAAGCAAATCTTTGGTGAGTACGTTGTTCATTCTAAGGTTCACTTTGCAAATTGCTCTTGGACAGGGTCAAGTTAACATTTATCATCTCGTCACATGGTGGATGTTGATGCTTAAATGTGCCCGCACAAAGTGTGGGATGGTATTTGCAGCACCACAGCAGTCTTCAGTAGTTGATGAGATAGATATGCATTCACACGGTTAGAATGGATATCATTTGACATGTTAAATGGACACGATAAAAATCATCTTAGAATGATGTTGCCATGTCCAAAACTAACGTGAGAATCGGGCCAATTCTTACCAAAAGTGTTTTCCTTCCTTTATGCCAGTATTGAAGACATGAGCTATCTTGCACCTCACCCCATAGGGTCCATTCTTTAACATTTGTGGGTGAGTTCCCTTCAGGGTGAAAGCTGAACACAATCAGTTTGGGTAGTTAGTTCCAGGCGAGGAAGAGGCCTTCACTTCCTTTCACAAAATGTGAAGCAAAGCTCCTGCAGGAACCTTGGTGGGAGAAGAGTTTGAAGGGAAAAGTTTCCACTCTCCATGTTTCTCTCTAAATTTACAGTGGTAGCTCGGGTTACATTTGCTTCAGGTTACATACGCTTCAGGTTACACACTCCGCTAACCCAGAAATAATGCTTCAGGTTAAGAACTTTGCTTCAGGATGAGAACAGAAATCGTGCTCCGGCGGCGCAGTAGCAGCAGGAGGCCCCATTAGCTAAAGTGGTGCTTCAGGTTAAGAACAGTTTCAGGTTAAGAACGGACCTCCAGAACGAATTAAGTACTTAACCCGAGGTACCACTGTGTTGGATACAGAGTATTCACACCCCCACCCCCACGGTGAAGTCTTATCTTGCCCAACATCTCATCCCTCTGCCTCCCAGTTCTTTTGAGCAGAACCTGTGAACAGCCCCTGAGAAAAAGGAAGAGAGAGGGAGGCAGGGAACTAATTGCTAATTTACTCCTCAGAAGCCAGCTTGTGCCATCTGCAAGTTCCTCCCCTGAACCATATTCCTACCTTTAGAGCAAGTGTGGGGAATCTTTGGCCCTTCAGATGTTGCTACAGCTTACATCAGCCTCTGCAAAAATGTCCAGGGATGATGGGAGTTGTTGTAGTTCAGCAAGAGTGTCAGAGGTTTCCCACCCAGACCTGCTTTAGAGAGTATTAGTAATGATGTCATAACAAGGGCACTGCTTTTTGTAACAGAAATTCTTCCCAAATTAACTAAAATTATTGTTTTTAAATGGCAGCATTGGATAGAGGCAGAAACTGGGGTGGCTTAATAGCTGCCTCTTATTACTGCAGAAAAGGAGACTGAACACTGAGAAGGGAGGAGGTAGCAAGGATTATTTTCCTGCCAGGGCAAGCAGGGGATATGACTTTCCAGACTGCCCTTTCTAGGAATTTAAAGGGAAACGCCCTGTGTTGTAACCCTTTGCTTACCTGAAATTTTGGGGAGGCTGCAAGATTATTTCCCACATTAATAAGCCTGCTGAAGTTCTTTCTAGTGCTTCTCTTTCAGACCTTTCCCCCTTGTGAATCCCAACACAGTGAGGTAGGGTTAAGAAGGAAGTAATCCCAGTGGGTGAAGAAGAGGGGAACCACCTTGGAACATCCTCGGCCTCCCTTGATTTAAGGGTGCTGCTGGGCAAGGCTGTGGCAAAGGGCTATGGCATTTCCTGGGTCTTGGCCAGCCAGCCAGCCAGCACTATGAAGAAAAGGCCAATGAATGACTTCAGTGCCTTCTGTCCTCAGACCTGGGCAGCCACAGAAGAGCAATGAAACCACCCTTTCTGTCTTAGCAGAGAATGAGCTGCCAATAATAATAATAATAATAATAATAATAATAATAATTTATTTATACCCTGCCCATCTGGCTGGGTTTCCCCAGCCACTTTGGGCGGCTTCCAACAGAACATTAAAATACAATAATCTAATAAACATTAAAAGCTTCCCTAAACAGGGCTGCCTTCAGATGTCTTCTATAAGTCTGGTAGTTGCTTTTCTCTTTGACATCTGGTGGGAGGGCGTTCCACAGGGCGGGTGCCACTACCGAGAAGGCCCTCTGCCTGGTTCCCTGTAACATGGCTTCTCGCAACGAGGGAACCGCCAGAAGGCCCTCGGCGCTGGACCTCAGTGAGCAGCATGCCTCCCCCACCCCGTTGGGCCTGGCCATGTAACAAGTGGGAACTTTGATGGGTACTATATGGGACCTTCCTCAAATCAGAAGAAGCTGCTTGCAGCCTTTGTTCACATTAAGCCCATCCACCCATGGCTACTTGGAAATCTGGAGAAGCAAAGGGGGGTTAGCCCTCAGCTTAACTGCATGGGTGGAGTCTTCAGACAACTGCTTCCCCAGTTAACAGGTGCCACACAGTGACCTTTCAAGCAGCTGCCCTGCAGCACAGTTACATGAGCCCACCCTTAAACATTAGGGGCTAAGAACCATGGAAACAATGCTAGTTTGGAATGGTGAATGAATATGTGATTCTCTGAGCTCGTACCGCTGCCTTTCAGTTCTTCAGAAATGGAAGCAGATTCTGTCTCACTCAGTTTGTCCTTCTGTGGTGTGTGTTGTTGTTTTTTAATTTCAGAATGTGGCACACTTCTCTGTTCTAGCTGGTAGCGTCTTCCTGTTCTTCAGCATTATTGGGACCTTTGGAGCTACCTGCATCCTCTGCAACCCACCAGCCAATCCATATTGGATAATTCAGAAACATTTGTCTACTCCAAGGTTTTATCTGGTGTGCATACTTGCGACTATTTTGGCTCTTCTTCCAAGGTATTTTATTGGTTTGGGACCAAGCACTGTGGTGTAGATAGAAATTCAATGTTCATGCTGTGATTCTTCTGTCACATGTGACAGAGCAACAAACCTGTACGTAAAGTCAGTAGGGAACTGCAGCTAATTCTGTCCATCTGCTGAATATGATACAAACACATGTAACATTCACGCTTTACATTTTTACTTGTTCACTTCAAAAAAAAAAACTTAGCAGTACTAAAGATTTATTGACCATTGTAGAAAAGCTATGCTGAATCAAGCAAAAAGAGGTCACTCTTCACTTTAGGTCTAAGTCTCATTGGGGTGGTAAACACGTGGTCTGGACTGTACCACTTCAGACTCCAAGTGGGTGCTCACATAATTGAATTATCCCAACCTGACCTCCCCAAAATCATTCCATAAAGAAAAGTAGATGTTAAGAATAGTTCTAGCCCATCAAGCCTTTTGATAGGCTTGTTTTCCCCCCTTGGGGAAACATTCTGCTGCATGACATCCACTTGTAGGCTAAGTGGTACTACCCAGACATTTTATCACCTCAATGGGAAATAGGTTAGTGTCTCCAATACAGAATACCCTGGACTCTGGAATTATTGGCCAAAATATCCAGGGTAATAAATTACAGCACTTTCCCATCAAATTTTTAGTATCTTCGTAGTTTGGATTCTAAGAACTAAATTTTATAAAGGGACCACACCCACACACCCACACCCACTTTTTTCAAGTTTCTGGTCAAAATGGTTGAATAGTGTGTAACATTAGTTCAGACATCTCCTTAAAAGCTGAATATTGAGTTCAGGGCAGTTTCAGTCAATATCCAGATTTTGCCACCTTGGGCTCTGAACACTTAAGTCAGGAGGAGTTTGGGGGTAATTGGGATTTTGTCCTGCTGGTTTTCTATTAGATTACATTTGTATCCCGCAGTTCCTCTAAAGAACTTGAAGAAGTGATCTATTGTCATAGCAAGTCTGTGAGGCAGGGGAGGTGGCTAAATGCCACTGTTGAGATGCATAGCTGATTTGAGGTTTGAACACGGGCTGCACCATGCCCAAGGCCACTGTAACAGCACAGTGCCATTGTAACCAGGGTTGCCATATGCCCGGAATTTCCAGGGCATATCCAGAATACTGTGGCTGGAAGCAGTGTCCAGGCAGAAATTGCTGAAACGTCCAGGAAAATCCGAATGTATGGCAGCCCACACCGGCAGTGTCATTTTTGGTGATTTCCCTTAAAAATAGCTCAATAACATCCGAAAAAGCTCAACAACCTTTCTGAAATATGGCAACCCTATTGTAACACCATAGGATCTCATGTGTTGCTGTTGCCAACATGAGCTTTTTTTTGGCTAGAGTTAGAACAGGCACCCCCAATCTGCAGCCCTCCAGATGTTTTGGCCTACAACTCCCATGATCCCTAGCTAGCAGGACCAGTGGTCAGAGATGATGGGACTTGTAGTCCAAAACATCTGGAAGGCCGAAGGTTGGGGATGCCTGAGTTAGAATATAAACTTTGCCTACATCTATAATCCTTAAACCATTCTCCAACATTCAGTTTGGCATTGGTTTCAGTATGATACATTTGTTAGGACAAACTTAAGTAATTCTTTTTGGTAACCCAAATCCTTTCCGTAATTGGTTGAGATAAAGGTGGGAGGGAGGGAAGGAGCCTTATTACCACCTGGTTAATAACAGCACACTGTTGAGAAGAATGCCTTTTCACAGGACGCCCTTTGCCTCAAACCAATTTAAATCCATGCCTACACCGCTTATTTGAATCCTTCCTTATACTGTAGGTATTTGTTCAGGGTGATCCAGGCCACAGCATTTCCAACTCCACTGCTAAAGGCCAAGAACTTGGAAGGTCGGGTCCTTACAGGACGGAAGAGTCTGCTGCGCAGTGCAAGTGTAGCCCCATCGTGAGGGGTAGAATTGATCACCAAGGGACAAATGGGGATTCTGGGTCTGCTAATTCTGAAGACTCAGCAAAAGAAAACAACATCAAGTGTTGTGGTTTGTTGCTGTTGCCAATACAGCTAGTGCCGTTTTGTAATAATGTTGGAGACAGTCTGAACAGGCACCAAGGCACATCTGAAAATGGCGGCAGGCTGAGTTGTGAGGGCACTGAAATGTTTAAGCCCCTCAAAGGAATTCTATTCCATCACATATGGAGCTAGTGATTCTTAAGTTGGAGGGTTAGACTTTACTTCTGAAGAGGACCACACTGATATTTCTCTCGTGAATAAGGCTGATTCGGATTCTGCCTAGGGCATATAGGAGGGTTTAAAACACTCTGCCAAAAATAGAGTGTTATTTATGCTTTAATGTCCAAAAGAGGAAGGGTGGTACATTTAAATGATCTTTCTCACATGACTTTTCTTCTTTTTATATGAAATTCAGCCACCACCCACTGCTTGTGCTTTTTTTTATAGACAAAAAAGTACTTAGAATAATTTGTTCAAGATATAAGCAAACAAAGAAATGCTGCCCCTTGTTCCACGATGGATAAATCATTTCATATGAGCCTTGATAGCATGGGAAGAGATATTTAAGCCTGGCCAGGCAAGGAGGTTTTGGGATTACTGAATTTTGACTTTATTCTTTCTACTGTTATTATAATGTTTGGTTCTGGGGCAGTCAGTGTTAGAGCAGCTTTGTCTAACAAGATGCACAGTAGTTCCCTCTGAAAACAGCTGTGCAAAACCTAAATCACTTTCATAATAAAACAGTATTCATGGAAGCAAGATTCATAGATGATAGGAGCCACTTCTCTGGAGAATAAACTAGCTGAGGATGCAGGAAAGACATTTCTACACAAGCACAGCATTTTTGTATATATGATGATTATGTGAATGTGAGAAACTGTCTGCGCTTTTATTTCCTTATGGAAGGAATACTGTTAAATTTGTTCTTTTAGAAATGAATATTTGTACTGTAAACGGTGTGTGGTACGGCTCCTCCTTTCTTTCCCTCTGCAAACAGATTGCTGTTTTCAGATAACAGACTTTTCACTACGCTTGCTTAAAAGAATGTTCCATAAAAAACTGATGTTAAAATGTTTAGGATTTGGGGGTGGGGTGATTCTGTTGGTTCAGTACTCTGCTAGGGACACAGCTAAACTGAACATATTCTGAATTAATTTACCAAGGTTCTGAGGAAATCCCCGAGAGGATGAAAGCACTGCATAGGTAATCAAAAATACTTCTAAACAAGATTTACTGCACAAATTTCCTTAAGACCTTTCTGCATCATATCCTGTATGTTAAGAGAAAGACCTTCCATTTAGTCCACATGTGAACCATTCTGGCACAGCTTTACCTATAACTCAGACCTTTTGGGGAGGGTAGCCTGATTTTAACTATAATTGCTGTTATCTGCAGCTGTACCCACTTAGCATTCCCCATCAGAGTTAAAATACTGGTTTCTTCCAGCTGGCATTCAAGATTGCCTTGCCATAACAAATAGTAATCTCTATTCAATATGCGACTGTATTTTGCAGGATAATGACTCCAGGTTATCATGACCTGATTTTGTGTCACTGTGTCCAGTTGAAACATGCTCTTTCTGCTATGCTCTCCACAATGCATGTGGAAATATATAAACACCAAATATTGAAAGTATTGGTTTCTAATCATGTGTCACAATTTTTAAGGTAGGGGGTAGGAACTTTTTGGCCCTATGGGCCAGATCTTTATCTCCTGCCCACTTCCCCTTGCCAGCTTCGGCACGCAGGTGGGCCCTGTCAATCATCTGATGCCATAGTGGCATGTGATTGACACCTGCCACAGCCCAGCACTACATGCTCAACTATCAGTTGAGTGTCAAAAGGCCCTTTTCAGCCAAGTCCTGCCCTTAGCTGCTGTGTAAGACTGGTGCATGTGCCTTGGCCAAAGTGACTTTGCTGACCCAATGGGGAGGCCAGATTTGGCCTGCAGGACAAGAGGTTCCCAATTCCTGTTTTATTTACAGTGCACGACATGGAATAAGTCCCATGGGATTCAGTCCAACCTATTTTTGAGTAACCACACAAAGCACTGCACTGCATCCTTCCATGCTGCTGGTGCCCCTCTTGTCTAACAGCAGTGGAAGATGCCTGCCTCAAGGGCATCTTTCCATTCTTGGAAGGAGAAGTGAGTGCCAGTTCCCTGGCTTAAGCTCTAGAACAGGGGTCGGCATCATAAGACCCATGGGCCACAAGCGGCGCATGGGGGTCGTTTAACCAGCCCATGGACCCCCACTGCCCGCTCGGGGACCGCCTTCCGCGACACTGGCTGGCTTCCCATTGGCTGCAGGAAGCGCCTGCTGCCAACAGGAAGCTGCGCATGCCTATTCTGCGCCGGAATTAGCGTTTGCGCATGCGTGCGCACACACTCCGGCCCACCGCAGCGTCTGCTGGACCGTGAACAGGTCCAAGCCACAAAAACTTTGCCGACCCCTGCTCTAGAAGTTTCTGAACCCAGATGCAGATCCTGTAATTGTGACTGCACAGACCACCATTCAAAAGACACAAGTATGCAATCTATTTTAAGTCATGGAGCCTGAATCATATGATTACTTCATACATGAGCACCATTCATCATTCACCACTGGCAAAAGAAGGAAGCGTGTACTTGATTTGGGCAACCCTTCTACATGCTACTCAAGCAACAAACAAACTGGTCACAGTTTTTTAAGCTGATAATGTGCTTTTGGATTAACCTGAACTGGAGCCAAGTCCTGCTTTCCTAGATGTGCCAATCTTATTTTTTTATATTCCATTTATCTTGCTGGACCGCACATGCTAAAGAAGAATGCATCAACCCCTTTACCATTTTCTGTTCCTTTTTAGTGGAAAAATAACAACAAAAGAGGGACCTGGGCGGGGGGGGGGGAGCCAGATGTTTTCTATAAAACAAATTATAGGAACAAAATCCAGTATTGTATTGTTATCCAAGTCCACAGTGGGAGCTTGATTTGGGGAATTTAGCACGCCTTCTTGGGGAGGGAGGGAGAATTGCCTGTTTTTGAAAGTTTAATGTTGCCTGTTTGAGCCATACAGAAACTGCAGCCGCTGACAATAAATCGCTAAACATTGAGCTCCATTTTAGTATTCTCTTTTTATGTTTGCAAAATGAATAAATTACATGAGACAAACTTTAAACTGCGGCAGGCAGGGCGTTGCGGGGCTATGTTTAACTTTCCTTCCTAAGTCTGTAACCAAACACTGTAAGGTCTCTGAATAACACTCGCAAACTGAAGCTTGAGGACCATTTGGTGTTCATAGAAATTGTCATTCCTGCATCTCACCGAAACATTTGTCCAGTGCTATTTTTCTAGAAAAAGAGGTGCCAGAACTCACTCATTCTCTTATAATGGCATAGGCGCCCGTCTAAGAGGTGCCGGAATTGAGTTCTGGTGAGTTCCAGACGGAAACAAGCTCTGCATTTGTCACTCGCAACTAACTCATCTTACTGCTTTCAGTAGGATTTACAGTAAACTCCAATTAAGTTCAGTGGAGCTGACTCCCAGGTAAGTGACCACAGCATTGTAACCTGAGAAAGGCTGCCTCAGGTTTGAGAAGGTCCTTGGCAAAGTAATTTCTGGTGAGCCCCTTCCTACATCAATGCCCGCCAGTCCTGTGGACTTACCTGGCAGCAGTAAGCAGTACTGTTTATTTCCAACAGTGACATAGCACCAGTCTGGAGCATGGAAGATCACCAAGTTGGCTGTTGCACCATTCTTCAAATGAGTCGCAGGCGAAAGGAAACCCAGGGCAGGGTAGGAATCAATAGTCCCAGCAGACGTCCAAGGCTATTGGCAGTCCTGCATGTGAATTACAACAAACTTTGGTTCAGGTCATTTATAGGTGAATGTTAAATCTTCATAAAGTCACTTACGGCAAAAAAATCTAGCACTTAAGTGCAGTCATGTTACCTTAGTAGCACAGGAGTATCCCAATTCAGAAGATTATTTGCTATATAAACATCAGAATGGGATATACTCTATCAAAGGTCTTTGATGCATCCATGGAAGGTATGTATGTGGTCCAGTCTACCCACACGCTTCAGGACTGCCTATTTGTTAGAAAAAGATTAACTGCCCTATATGTTTCAGTTCCACAGTTGAGGTGGTGACTAGAAGAACATTACTAGCCAAAAAGCACTTTGCAATTATATCCCCATCATTGATTGATTAGGATTTTCCTTAAATAACACTTAACCCCCACTATACTTACAACTTTAAGCATTTTAGCAGCTACTGAAGCACTTAAATCAATTTTCTACAGCCTCAGATACTATGAAGTTGGGGTTGCTTGACTGCAAAGCACATATTGAAAGGTGATTGTTTCATGTGCCGTCTCAGCCTGTTAGGAAATGAGGGAAAGCACCACAGGAAAAACCATTTCAGGAAATGCCTTCAAAAATAGTCCTGTATAATACTGCTCAGCTCTGCAATGCTTTTTTTGATTAATAGTGATCTCTTAATTTGCAAGAAATAGATTTTTCACCTCATCAATGACCTTGAAGAGCAATCAGATTGGCTCAGGGCTAGAGGTCCCTATATCAGCTGCCTGGGTCTGTGAGAGTCAGGAAAAGTTGGAACAGCCAGCTCCTAGATAAACTCCCATTCTGGGCTGCTTCACTGCCAAAGCTCCAACCTTGCTGACCTGGAGAAACTACTAATTCATTAATTAAAAGATGATAAAAAAGAATTGTTGCATAACGTGGTCACTCAAAAGATTTGAGTACCACTGGCCTGGCATATATTCATCTATGATATCACTAGTTACCTGTACCATAGGTGCTGGCCATGTTCTAAAACAGCCTCTCCCAACCTAGTGCCCTCCAGATGCTGTGGACCACAACTCATGTTGGCTGGGGCTGGTAGAAGTTGCAGTCTAAAGCACCCAGCGGGCACCATTTGTGAAAGACTCCCGTAACAATGCATTGATCATGCAAACTTTTGCACATTTCCTCATTTTTTGGAGAACTATGTAGTCAACAGCAGTTTCTATGATCACAATAGTTTTGGATTTAAATGTAAATCTTTTAACCATTATGCCCAGTGATGTTATTTCCAGCACGCCACAAAATGGTACATTCTAATATATGTTAAATTAACTGAGAAATTCTGCATTTGTGTAACTCGTTTCACAGCAAGTCTTTAATTAATGTGCTGTGGTTATGCACATGTATAGAGTGACAACCTTTTTATTTTAACTTTTCCTGCTGCTGAAATTAGCGAATGAAATTAGCTATGGACACAGCAAGGAAATGGACTTGGGGTGCATTCATGACTATTGCATGGTGAAAATGAGATTTCACATGCTCTTCTACAATGAGCCAGGCAATCGATACAAAGGCCAGGTTAATTAAAGAGTCTTACCTTCTGAAATTGTCCAGTATTCATCACTCCATCCATATATTTGTCAACAAGGCACATCAGTGTTGTTCTTCCTTTAAGATGTTGGTCTTCAAGATGTTGGTCTAAAACTCCCATCATCGCTGATCATTCTCCATGCTGGCTGGAGCTGATGTGTGTTGGAGTTCACAATGTTCTTTACAACAGAGGTAAGCTATGCAACAGCTTTACCTATTGACCATTAGATAAGCATTCACATTATACTGTTTTAGAAGCCTGCTAAAACCTATCTTTATTATTTAAACAAGCCTATCAGGATATATACTTTAGTATTTGCTTTATTACGGTATTATTAGTAATAATTTTATATTACTTTATCTACACTATTAATTTGTTTATAGTTGCATGATGCTCCTAAATATATGAAATGGAGCCCCTGAGACTCCCAGGTGTTCTGCTAATAAGATCTAAATAAGATTCCTTTACATGTCATGGCCAGTCTACAACATATCTCTCCATTACAAAAAGAATACCATATCTTCATAGATCCCATATGTTATTACTGCATCAAGGCCCCAACAACTCAGTGGGTATTAACAAACTCACTCCTTTTCTTTCAGTGATATGAGAGATGCCAGCTGATCTGCGCACAAAGAGAATGGCTCAGAACCTCTATTCAATCTGATATGCTATTGTGAAGGGAGAAGGGGAGCTGAAACGATTTTTGTTCACAGAATTTATTTTGAAAAAATAAATATGTGCATTTTTGCTCACTTTGGGTTTAAATTAAAACAAATCATTTCGCTTACATGACATTGGTTACATATGCTGCTTTCCTAGCGGCAGTAAAACAACATTGGGAGTACGAATCTCATCAAAGGCTCCTTTCTCACAATTGTTGGATACATTTGATTGTCTCTCTACAACCACACATCTGGAGACATCTGGTACTTTAAAAACCACACTTCGGATGACATCTGGTTCCTTAAAACCCACACCACATACAAATATTTGCATAAGCATACATAGGAGGGGGAAGCAGTATAAAAATACCATGTATAAAATAATAGAAATATATTTTCTCTACGTGGAATGTTGTGGGGGAAATGAGAGTAAAATGAGAGTACTGTTTTCAGGAGAAATATGATATGAGCCCCAGCACACAGTTCCTACAAAGAATGGCAAAGACAATGCAGAGCTAAGAAAGCGAACGGCCATGAAGGCAGAGGGCCTAGAAGATGAGCAGGCAACCCTTTTGCCTCTGAGGGTCAAATGCAATGGTGGTCTGTGAACTGGGAGGCTGCATGCAGGCGGTGGGGGTGGGTGAGGCCTGAGTGAGCCCCTTCCCCAAGACACTTTTCCTCCTCCCCGTCCCCATCTCTCTGTACAGGCATCAGGAGATCCTATCATGCCCCTCCTGCTGCCTCGCTTATCAGTGCTAGGAAGGTTGAGAAGCTATCCCTAGGGCTAAAAGCTGAGCAACAGGGAGGGAGGAATCAGCTGGAGATTCCAAAAGGATTCACAAAAGTTGGCCGAGGGCTGCATGCAGCCTGCGCACCACAGGATGACCACAAGTAAGGTAGGGGGGAAACCTAACAGGGCTAGGGAACAGGAATTCCCAAGTATTTTATGCAATGAGTGAAAATTAGGGAAGAGTAGGCTATAGGGAGGAGAGACCAACTGGAATAGGGCAGGCCAGAACCTCACATACTGAATTGAACCAGTTAGCTAGATCCAGGACTCTGCTACACAGCTGCAAATATAACGTTTTAAGTGTGTTTTAAATGCATTATGCAAATATGGCACTAGATGGTGATGGTGAGCTTATGGCAAATTCACTGAATTTATGAACACTTGACTTTTGTTTTTGAAATGTGTCCTTCAGGAATACTTTTTAAAATCTTTGTCTAGGATAACGAACGTTAAATATCTATTTGTAATTTGTAAGATTAATTTCTAAAAGTTAGTTTAAAAGAGTTTCTTCTTCGAGTTTACATGTTGATTTATGTAGCTAAGGATTTTTTCCTACATAGATCAATGTACAAATGACCTACAGATCAGTCCACAACTGGCCTATGATAAACTCTGTAGATTTTCTCAACTGCAGCCATACTTGTATTTGAGTTTTTGGTGGTTCAGTACACACAGCAAAGGGGCTACACACATATATATTGTATACTGGGAGAAAAACTGTCTACAACCATGGTTTGAATAAGAATACAGCTATCCTGTTTATGTGATCATGTACATGAAAGGAAAGGCTAGCATGATGCAGGCTGTACACATGGGAAACTGAAGCCTTTTTCATGATAATGGCTGCATTTTTCCAGCAGCTGAAAGCACGAAGATGGCAACCATATACAATCTTCCTTTATACAATAGTGTACCCACATACAGAGTCACACGGTAAAATTTGTCAGTGTGGACTGGACCTTCATTACTAACCAGTTGTGGTTCAGACTACCTGTATTCAAGACAATAATGCCTGCAACCTACCTTATCCAGGGGAGAAATTTGCTCAGTTTTTCTGTGCCCCAATTCCACAGAATGAACAAAAACATAGAAAAGTACAGTGTTTTCTTTGTGGTTAAGAAAGTAGAAACAATCAAATACAGCTTTTCAATGCACATAAATAGCAACATTTAGTACTACAGTGGACATTTGTCTATTACAAGCTCCATAAGGTGCATCAAAAGAGGAGGCGAGGTTACGAGTTCTGTAACAGTAGTCAGGAGTATGT